AAATTAATGCGGATATAATTAAAATGCAACCGAATCAAAAAGTGGCTTTCAAATTTAATAAGATGCCAAAAACTGTCATCAGAATACGATGTGATTTCTTAAAGTATACAATTATGTTTAGTTATGTATTAAATTATGTAACGATAGTCGTCCTTCGTACATTTCTCGAACATTAAAAACCCTTTATTTGAGATTTCATTGATGGATTTCCCTAATGCATTTTCCGATAAAACCAGAATGCATTTCATATTCTATGCTTACGATTTATATTTGAGATTAAAAATATAAAGGACAAGCATCGTTGACCCCCGAACTATGTAAATTCTCAAATCGTATGCCAAAATCAATACAAAATAATAAAAATCATGGATTTCTTAAATATCCTATCAATCGCTCAATGAGAAAGCTTTTTCAAATATTCTTTAAACCAACAAAAGTAATTCCTCTTAACTTTCGATTCTCACAGCAATCTAATTAGAACCCATCATTAAACTTAAGCCAAAACTTAACAAAACGAAAAGGTAAACAAGAGTCTTTTTTCCTGCAAATCAATTAGAAAATTCCCCCAAAAGTTGCACGTTAAATGTTATGTTGTAACGCGGAACCGGAGATCCATCCAAGCATCCTTCCCCACACGACACGTAACCAGAACAGAACCCGATAGAGGCCCACCACTTCCTGGCTTGGCATTACAAATGGCTGAGACTTGGCTGGCTGTCAGTTTGGGTTCAGTTCGTGTTTTGTTCTGCTGTGACTTTTAACCTAATGAATAATAAATTGGGCCAATTGTCACGCAAAAACAATGCCGCGAAATGGATGGATAAGGGTTTTCTTATGCCCAGAGACGATGTGATGTCAGGTCTGTGAAGTTGCTTTTCCAAATTGTAGACACATTCTCCATGCCTTCGCTCACTCTTCGAGCTGTGTGCTGTTTTGTGTTTGTTTCTTTCGTTGGAAGTGTCGCCTTCAATAGATTTTGGCATTTGTTACAAAACTTGCAATCACCTGGGGAAATCGTGGCAGGCAGGCAGGCAGGCAGGCAAGGCATCTTGCAACGATTAGCACTTGCCCCCCCACTTGCCTCGGGCTCAGTGCTCGTGAGCTCCCTCTTTTTGGTGGGCGCCCACTTGCATTCGTTCTGCCATATCCACGAGTCAGAAAGTAATTAGCATATTGAAATGTAGCGAAGGCCTCCTCCTGTACAGCCTCATCAATAATGCACCAGGAAAACTTGATGCATTTCTGTTACGGTTGCTGTTGCAGCTATTTCTGCATTTCCACTTCTTTGCAACAGCAACATGCTTCCCTTCCCGTATCGCTCTAAATATTTAATTGGAAAAATCCTGAGGCCGCGAAAGGGGTTGCATGGACCTCTGTTCGATTCTCCTCGTACTATGGATGGCCTCCTCCTAAAAGCGTGTCAACAGCTTGTCAATCACAATTTGCCAAATAAAATGTAAGTGTCAGCCTATGTAAATTTAGTTTGCAAATGTGTTGATTGTGTTTTAGTTGCGGTTGTTCAAGAGTAATTGACGTGCGGTGGTATAAGGGTTTCGGCATCCGCATTATCCTCTTAGGAGTACCCATCTTTCACTTACAACTCTTGAATATTTTGCTTAAGTAAATAATAGACGTCACTTCACACTATTTCCCCGCTATAAGCCGTGCTTCATATTCGTACAGACTTGCCTGATATTCCAATTTCTATATCCATATCCATAACAAAATAGAAAAATATGCATTGTTTATATATTTTGTGGGTAAAGTGGTCGATTCCACTTACCATAGCCCGAAAATATTCAGAAACTCCCCTTTTAATTTTCAACAAATAAAATATATTTCGGATCAATTCTAAAGCATTCATCTAAAGAGATAATTCTAACTATGAAGGCTACTTATCCTTTAGTTGTATTTGCATTTGATACTATTTCTAATAAGTAATTGAAGTCAGTCCCACCAACTAATGTGTGTCTTTGATTTCGAAAGTATTCATTATAAGTCCAGCGCAGATAGATATTAATAGAATACAACCGACTTCTCCCTCCACATCGCATGTGTATAGTATGTGCAGACATATCTCGGTCAAAGCCTATTTGCATTTACACTTAATAAAAACCATTTAAACAATTAAGAACTTATGCGAATATCCTCAAATAAATTTAACTCAAATTTAGGGGCGTTACAACTGTAAAACGGGAAAAGGACCTAAAAATAAAATGTCAACTCTTGACATAATTTACGCCTGCGCCGTGGAGGAAAGTATTTCCTGTGCCCGACATCACTAAATGCCGGAACGCTCATTGGTCGCCTGATGCAAAAATGCCGAACAGATGTCGGTGCCGAGGCCGCGTCGCTTGCAGTAACAAGTATACGCCGTATAGGCGCAGGATAAAGGCCGCCGACGACGAGGGATGCTATGCTGCTTCCGTGTGTGGCTTTCGTTAGCTTCGGGCCAGTACTTCGTTGCAGCCAGAACTTTGGTTCGTGCGGCGTGGCAATGTTGGCCAGGATCAGAAGGATACAACGTGACAGCAGGTACAACGGTGTTGCAGTTCCAGTGCGGCTCTCACACCGTGCAGACGTGTTTGTCTGCCACAAAATAACATCCCAAATTGTGCATTTAAGCTGTGAATATAACTCTGTGTGAATTGTAGTGTGGACTCCTGAACGGACACTTATCTATTTTTGATTGTTGCTCAGAAAGCCCTTAAAATTAACCAGTTGGCTTTCGAGCAATAATTAAAGCCAAATAAGCGATCCCAGCAACATTTTTAGTGTGAAATAACTCAATGGTAAGATCAAATTTGTTTTTACTTAAACTACTTAAACTCTTCAAATCTGCTCGCAAGATAATAAATATTATAAGTCCAGTTTCAAGTCCCTCCTAGAATTAAGTCGAAAACATTAGTCCCAGCTTTATACATACTAGGTAACTTCTATGAACCGTTTCGTTTCCTTAAATCTCATGCAATCTCGTGGGTTCATTGTTCCCCCAACAATATCCCATTGCTGTAGCCCGCCCGCATTAACGACATCCAAAGACTTCCCTCTTGCAATTAGTCATCCAAACAAACGTCGTTGAACTTTGGAAAAATAGGAGAGAAAAACAACAAAAGTAAACTGAAAACAATTGACAAACAAATGCTCTCCGCAACAAAAAGTACAAATCGAAGCGAAACGAAACGAAACGAAACGCCGCGACCTTCACATTGAATGCGCCCAAGTTTTGCCTGAAGCGGGTGTCAGTGCACCTGAAACTCGTTTCTGTGGAGCCCCCAGTTTGGGGTTTGTTATTATTGTTTACGAGTGTATTTGGTATCGTATCGCCTGTCAACAGCAGACAATGGCCAGTGCTATACGTTTTTATGGCCAATTTGTTTTGTGAATTAGCATTTAGTGTGAAACTACAGAATTGCTCGTACAAGCAGTCGCGATCAATGAACTTGGATGGGATGGGACTGAAACATACTGAATATATATGTATATCTGGCTTCGGGCCAAAGAACCAAAGTCAAGAAACCAATCCAATTAATATTCAAGCGTATTGGAGTGGTCTACTGAACTGATTTGCGATTCTCGATTATGAATTATTTATGGTCGGTCCAGTCCACTGGATTTGTCATTCTCTTGTACCTCAACATTCAGTTTCAATTCCTGCTTCTCGCTTTCAATTCCTTATTGCTGTCACTCCATAATTATTGTATGTGTGTGTAACTGATTGTGTCTAATTAAGCGCTGCACTTCCACCGGCATCAATGTATTTATAAATAGAGGTGCTTGTAGATAGATGGGATGGCCTCCTCATGTCGCCAATTGCATTGGGACTGCAAGCCACGTTTGCTTTAGTTTTAAGGGCAATGTTAATGCCAAAGCTTTAAACATTACATTGATTGTACCGACATTGAATTTCAATTATTATTCGGTCTCATTATTATTCATACACAGCGCAGACGACGCGTCGTCTTCATTTGCATTCTGCCGATGATTAGACCAAGTCCAATTGTTGATGGAAATATGACGTTAAAGGCTATTTACAATGTGGGAACTTAATTATGTCCAATGCCTGCAATGTCAAAGCTATTACGGATCCAGAATTTAAAGGTTTGTGGAGCACCTTACTTACAAGTTCCTCTATAGAGGCAATTTTCATATCTGTACTTACATGTTTTAAGGTATTCAAAGGTAAGCGACTTTTGATTCGACATGTATAGAATGATATAATCTCATATCATAATATTTGCATTACTATGACAAACAATAACACATTAAAAATAAATGTCATAAGTCTGATATTATGCATAATAAAGAGTATGTAAAATGTACTTACTTAATTCTTATTAACAATCATTCAATGATTATGTACTTCTTGAAATACCAGCAAAATAAATCATTCCACAATCGTCTCAATATCACTTTTAGTACGTGTTATTAATTACGTAAATATGGTACGAAAATAAGGATAATGGGGCAATAAACTCTGATGCAACAATTTAGCATAAATATTGTCGCACCCATTGTTGTACGCCCATTCAATGTCATGAACTTCATTGGGTCGTAAAACGCAAAACATACAAAACTTTGTTTTCAGCTTTTGTTGACGTTTCAGTTTCGGTTTCGCTTTCGTTCTTTTTTTTTGGCAGCTCCTTAATTGAAATGCCAAAACGTGTGCACATGACACCCACGCACCCAGTGCACCCGCCAAAATAAAGCTCAAAGCTTAAGGCAACAGGTGCTCTGCTCCACAGACTTCCGTTTGGTTTTTTATCACAACGAGAGAGACAGACAGAGCAGAGGGAGAGCGAGGCAAGGCGAGGAGGCGAGCGAAGCAAAGCTCTCCAGCTAATCCGCATAGAACCGCGGCAGAAAACAATCAAGTCGGTGGAACAGAGACGACGCCTAGACACCTATATATAAATTAATTGGCGCACAGAATTTCAGTGACAGTTCGTTGAATAGTTTCGTTCCGCAACAGCAGCGCAGCCGCTTTAACGGGGTTTTCGGTCCTTAGAACAGAACTCTAATTTTACTAATATCATGAAAATGTTTCAACTGTTATCCATATGCGTGTTGGCGTTAACTCTGAGCTGTGCACAGGCGCAAATTGCTTGTGAGTCAATCAAAATCAAAATGAAAATCCAGTGATGAAAATGTACCTCTGAAGAATCCCATTCCTGATTAACGAATATTCTCAAAATCCTCATAGTCACCAGCCAGCCCTGTACAGTGCGAAATCCAAAGATTGTTGGCGGCAGTGAGGCGGAACGCAACGAAATGCCATTTATGGTTAGTCTGATGCGTCGGGGTGGACACTTCTGCGGCGGCACAATCATATCCGAGCGGTGGATCCTTACGGCCGGCCACTGCATCTGCAATGGGCTGCAAAAGTTCATGAAACCGTCACAAATTCAGGGCGTTGTGGGTCTGCACAGCATCAGGGAGTATCTCAATGGAATTGGCAATGGCCCGGATGCACTGAGAGTGGACTTCAAGAACATTGTGCCTCATCCGCAATACGACTGCAACAATGTTCAGCATGATATTGGTAGATATTCAAATATATATTTGCCTTCTGGAACAGTTGTATGGCATTCTTTCGATATAGCCCTGCTGGAACTTGTCCGGCCCATCAGCTTTACATTGCATGTGCAACCGAGCTGTGTTGGCTCGGACAGCTTGGAGCAGGAGTACGGCACCGTCTCCGGCTGGGGTTGGACCCATGAAAATCAAGCGGAGGGCGATCGTGCGGATGTCCTGCGCAAGGCCACTGTCAAAATATGGAATAACGAAGCTTGTGAGCGTTCCTATCGCGCCCTCGGCAAGAGCAACAGCATTGGGGAGACACAACTGTGCGCCGGCTATGAGAACGGTCAAATTGATTCGTGTTGGGTGAGTATGATTCAGGCTGATAGAGCACAAATGTTATGTATGTTACCACTTACCATCGCAGGCTGATTCCGGCGGCCCTTTGATGTCCAAGGAGCACCACCTCGTTGGTGTGGTTTCAACGGGCATCGGCTGTGCTCGCCCCGGCCTCCCAGGCATCTACACGCGAGTCAGTAAATATGTGCCATGGATGCAGAATGTGATAGCAGACAGGAAATAGTAGGTTGTAATAGCAGAAGAGTAATACAATGGCTGTGATTCAAGTGTGATATTAGTTTTACAATGTGATATGATATTGTTAATAAATTAAACAATTACAAAAATTATTATTATTCATATATAATGCTACCATATATTTGAAACAAGACGCAAATTTGACGGAGATATAGCAACAGAGGCCTTAAGCTCGCCAGAGTTATTAAGTATTGTTTATAATTATAATGGTTTTATTATTAATGTTTTTTGCTTCGATTTAATGAATGATTTGGGAGTTCTCTAGGTGTTAAAGCATAAGTGGGGCTATAAATTGATTGGGATATGAGTTTAATGAAGAGCTTAATTAATAATAGATGATTTTTTCTGGAGATCAGTTGGTTTTTCATTGAGGTTTAATTGTTGTGGATAAAGTGTTTGAAGAAAGTTTGGCAGTCAATTTGGCTGTGGTGTCAGCAGTTTCAGATGGTTGTTAAGACTGGTGAGGGCGGTAGTTCACATAATACATTTAATAGTTAAAATATTCAACTTAAAATTAGGACTTCGTGTGTGTGTGTTTAACTGTTGAGCTCTTGTACAATCCATCAGGGGATTTAAAAAGATATAGAAATGGCATCGTACGCGTGCTGAAGAGAAACCCGCAATTATTAGAGGAATAGATTCATTATAACATCATATATTTATATTCATTACTTGATTAACATTACAATTAAAACTAACAAATACAAATATGGACACAACCGTTAAGGAGCTATGTTGTTGCATTGGTGCGGTCACTGAGATGCAATCAATTGTGGAGAACTTACTCTGATTGGTTGGGTTGGGTTCTTCCAATGAAGTGGATTCGAAGTTAAAAGGAAGTTGGGTGTGGCTTGGCAAATAATTGGCAGAATGATTGAAAATAAAAACAACATTTCAAAGCAGCTTGTTTACGATGTTGACCGTATGTGTATCGATAGGCGATTTTGTCGGTATCGGTTCTGTTGGTAATATCGATATTGGATAAAAAAAATATAGTTTTTAATGTTTTACAACTATACCCTCAACTATATTTATTACGGTTCGTTGTTGTTGTTGTTAGTAGGTATAAAAGCGCAAAGGGTTTGTAAAGCTCAAAAACAGTGAAATATGCCGTAAAAAATAATCGAACGAAATAATTCTAATTACTCAATAACCTGCGCCTGTCAGTCTAAGCGCCGACTCTGCGTCCATTCCGATACAGGAAATAATATTTCTAGAAATTACAATTTATTTATACTAATAACAAGTAAATGTTTGCTATATAAATTTTAAAAACAGCTTTGAATTAAATCGTATGCTCTCAGAATATCCGTAAGATATTGGCGTTGCCATATCGAGCCTAAAGACAGGCAGGTTTAAATATGTATAAAAACGAAATAAACTGCATATTGCACATGTAAAGGCACAATCGGATTGTTCTAGGTGAAGCAAGCGTCTCATCCGTTGAGAAACTGCTCCAAGGCATCCACTTCGTTGGCCTCTAAAACCACTTCCTCCAGGGCCAACTTGTTGCTCGTAGTGGCTTGGATTTCTGCAAAGACATTAAGGGTTTAAAGCATCTATTCATAGTCGGCCTGTCTTCACATACTTGTCAGCTGGCCGTGCTGTTTATACTCATCCATGTCACAACGAAATGCATCGTCAAAGACCGCCTGGCGCTCGCGTTGAAGCTTTCTCAACTGCTGTTCATGATCTTGGATCTTCGCCTGATGTTGGGAAGCAATGTGCTGCCTGTACTTCTCCAGTTCATTGAGCTTCTGTTGCTTGTGTCGCGACAGTTCGAACTGCTTCTCCAGCATGAATTCCTGCAGATCGCAATTCTCGCAAAGATCCTCTAGCTTTTCCAGTTCTATTTCCAGATGCTTTCCCATATCCTCCAGTGCGTGAAGAGTTTCTATACTCGCCTGGAGCTTTGATATCAGCGCGGGTATCCCAGCCAGGCTTACGCTGAGGTCGCTTATGGTCCTCCGCTGCTGCTCCGCCCTCTGCTGCACGGAATTAATCTGGTTGGCAACGGCGGTCGCGCGTTCTCCATTCTCCTCATTGGTCACATGAATTTGCTGCCAGTCGTCTTCGTACTTGGCCAAGAGACTGCAGCCCGCCGCCACATTGAGATGCGATGGCACACCATCCGCCAAGTGGAAGGTTGCACCTAGGGTGGACAGCGAGCTACTTCGACTCGAGGCCAGACTTTCGTTCAGTCCCAGGGGCGAGGTGGGTGTTGTGGCGGCGCTCGACTGGCCAGAACTGACACGTTGGCGATATTGCTGCTGCAGGCTCTCCGAGATCACAATGCCCTCCTGTATGGCACTGCTCAGCTTTTTCTTCAGGCTTCCAAACATGGCTAAAGCATTTATCGTTCTTATTTATCTATTTAAATGCACAGCACAAGTTTTTAATTCACACCCGCAGTGCTGCTTGAAAATGTAAATAAAAGAACAGCTGATTGAGAGATGTATACCCTACCAACATACACGGCACTCTGCTTATGCCAGGAGGTTTAATCAAACCCAAAAATTTGATTTTATTTCAATAGAAACACATTCACATTAATATTATTTTCCTTAAATTTGAAAATAAATTTTTGTCCTAAAATCAACCATCTTTGTATCAGATCTAAATAAATGTTCTGCGTAGAATCTTATGAGTAAATAGTCTTGAGTGTGAACGAAAAGCATTTGTGTGGAGGTCGTCTTTTTCTCTCATAGATAATAAGTAACCTTTCTTTCAGTTAAACATTAAAATTATGCATTAACAAACTAATCTTCAGTCAGGTCCACGGAGTCGATGGTTCCTCGTTCAGGTTCAGGTTCCTCGTCTTGCTCTGCTTGGCATTCTTCGATTATTTCTATATCACTGTTGTGGCCGGACTCCAATTCGGTTGTACTATCATCCAGAGCTATGAAGCAGCCAGCGCCATTTTCTGGATCCGATTCTGCACCCCTACTCTCCGAGGAACTCGAGCTCACATCGATGGTTAGCAGCTCTTGCCCTTTGTCGCTAGATGACAGAAAGTCAATCAGTGTGGAGTCTGCATTACCGTTGCCATGCTCATCATCAGACATCAGCTCCCTGGCTATATCACTTGAGGAAGACGCTCGTTCTTTGGTTTTTCGTCCATTCTCTGGTGCTCCGTTGGCTCCTTGGCTGCTGTATGCCATGGCCACGGCTAAGGCCATTTGCCTGGAATGGTGGAAAAATAATTCTGATGATGACATTCCTGTCACGGTGGGTACTGGTTTCTCCTCGCTACTACTGCTGCTGCTGCTGCTGGGGCTCCTTCGCCTGTGTTTGGTTTTCTTGCGGCGTTTATGTTTACTTTGATGTTTCCTCTTCTTGTGCGAGCGGTGACGACTGCGACTTCTGCTGCTGCTGCTCCTGCTGCGTCGCTTTTTCACCTTCCTGGCCTGCTTCCTTCGGCTCCGACTTGGGCTCCTGCTCCGATATCTGCCCGCATCTCTGTTGTAATAGTAATTGGATTTCCTCTTCTCGTATCTTTCATCCAAATCCTTCAACTTTCGCTGGCATTCAGCCTGCGTCCGCTCACTTTCCCGTTGGTTATGGCGCAGCGCAGTTGTTATGGTCCTTCCTAGAAATCGTTTGTTCGGCTTGTTTACCAGAGGATTTACCTTGCGCTCTTGCACTCGTGTGGACGACCTGGGCTCTCCGCTCTCGATTTCTCGAATGAGCTCGGCAATAGCCTGACTAGATAAATCATAAAATTCGACTTTTAAGTACATGTATTAACGAAATTTTATTATTATTGTTTACCTAGTTAAATCGTCCCCATCCCCCATTCTTCTTCTTTTTTCAGTGTGACCATTCGACTATCGGACTGTTGATAGTATCGATGACGCCTCGCATATTAGAAAATACAATCATATTTGTCTTTGACACATATGCTCCTACATAAATAAATATTAATTAAATTCTTAGACCAAATTGATTTAAAACTAAAGTAAGTACTACAATTCCTTGACTTGACTTGGCAGTTTCCACCTCCGTAGAGGAGGGCGAGCAAATAGTCTCCTCCCACGCTAATCTTACTCTGCTCAAGGGTGGCGAGGTCACTTAAAACCCATCACTAAATAATATAAATTTCCACGCAGCCTGCTTATCAAATCCAAGCAGCCCGGCCCGTAAAATTTCCACTTCCCTCCTGTAGTTTGAACTTATGGGCTCAGTTGGTTCCTCGCTGCGACCACAAACCATCGACATGTCTTCCAAGTGTGCAAAGTTTGTGGAGAACACAATTGCCAGCAACAAGGTGGTCATATTCAGCAAAACCTATTGTCCCTACTGCCAAATGGCTAAGGAGGTAAGTGGAATTATCTTCAACAGTCGCAGTACGCCACAACGCAACTTTCTGTCTTCTTTTAGCCGTTCCAGAAGATCAACGTGCAGAACGTAAAGATCATTGAGCTGGACGGCAATCCAGACGGCGATGAGATCCAGTCCGTGCTGGGTACGATTACAGGTGCCAGAACGGTATGTTCGATTTGATAATAAAAGTAGTTTTATTTGTAACCTTTTTTTGGTCAATATGCAGGTGCCCCGAGTCTTTATTGATGGCAAATTCGTTGGCGGCGGCACGGACATTAAACGGATGTACGATACCGGTGCTCTACAAAAATATTTTAACTAATCGGTGGTGCAATACTATATATACCTGGTGTCTGGTGTTAAGCTCGTTTTCATGTACAAAAATTTATTATCATGATTAAAGTCACTTGAAATAATAGATGCATTTACACTTTTTAAGCTAATATCGATCCAATCCATGAGTCGTTGCTCACGGAGGGAACTATTTTTTAGTCTGCTGTATGGAGGAAATGCACAGCACCAATGAAAGATTACAGTATAGTCGAATGAAATATATTAAGATGTGTATAACGCCATTCAGTTTGAGGGGAAATTGTTTTTCAGTGGAACATTTTATAAAGATTGAATGCTAGCGGAACCAGCCTAATCGCTATTATTTAATTCTGACAATATGTATCTATTTTGTTATATATAATATCCTGCGATTCAACATGAAAATACCTGAGAATAAATCAAACATAAAACATAATATATAAAACAAAAAACATAAAAATTATCTTCCATCATTTTCTTGAATTCAAGATTCGGTCATACTGTTTAATTGGCTAAATTGGCTTAAACTTGTTGCAGCCATGGCCGATCTGGTGAGAGGAGAAGCCTCCGAATCCGATGAGGAAATGCAGGACAAGCACAAGGTGAATATTTGGTCACAAAGGGGAAATACTTGCGTTGCTAATCTACAGCCTGCGATAATAGATTTTTGCAGCAGAGGTGCCTGGCGAGGCAACCGAGGATGATGACGACGATGAAGACATTTATGAGCAGAGAAGGAGCACCCATGTGCCGTCCAGCACAGCCTCGATCTATCGCAACAACCTGCTGCAGCGCAAACTAAGTACATAAATCGCTCACAAGATATATTCTCTTTCTTCAGAGTCCAGTCCACTAAAAGTCTAATATTTCAGTTGAAAACAACATTGCCGTTTTGAGAGATCTGACAGCTCTGACCCGCAACCTGGTGGTAAACGCCTCCAAACAGTTGCTTACCACTGATCAAATGCTCATCAAGTCCCAGCTATCCATGCAGTCGGCACACACTTCCCTGCAGCAGGCCCAGCGCCATGTTAGTGAGCTGCAGTCCCGCACGGCGGCCGTGATGGCTGGCAGCAGCTTTCTACCGCATATAAATATTACGAATGCCTGAGAATTTACTACTAGCACACACATTAATGAATAAACGAACCAATGTAGCCTAATTCTCTGTATCGGAGTTGCGAGACTACGCCTGACTGAACGTACGTACTTTGAAAACATTGTGAAAAGATGGTGCGCATCTTGGCGTTCGGACGACTGCTCTCATCTTCTTGGCCACCAAACTGCCTGTGCTTGGTGGTTTGTTCTTCTTTCGTGGAATTGAAATTGTTGGATATGTCCATGAAACGCGGCCAGACAGCACTTCATGGATATCTTACAATAAAAGTCCGAGCTTCTGAAGACTATGCTGCCTATAGCCGACTGTCACCTTTATGGCCCGGGCCCTACAATCTCGATGTTGACAGCGACTGCACCAGCCCTGGCCAAAACTGTGAAGGAAAGGATTAGGTGGCTTACCGCGAACAATGCTGCCTTTTAAAGTGTATTACATATGCAATAAAAAAGGAATAAACTCTGCTGGCAGCACGGAATACGCGCTTTGAAGACAAACGAAAAGGTGTGGCCAAGGCAAATAAATATCTACTAAATATGCCGCAATATGCAGCCACATTATAATGCAGCCACATTGCAATGCAGCCGGTCGAACGCCACATCAGTTCTAAATTTTAATTAGTAGAAAAATAGCAAAAAGCATTGTTTAAAATTGTTGAAAAAATAAATAGAAAGTGCAACCCCGTAAAGCACACCCCTGTTTGCCCATAGCGGCCGGGCACATGAACGAAAACATATAACAAGCACGCAAGCAAACAATGTTACGTCTCTTTTGTGTGTTTGTGCTGCTGCAGTCGGCGGCCCCGATCTTGGCCAGCGCAGAATCCAGCCAGAGCTATCCCATAACCACACTCATCAATGCCAAATGGACGCAGACGCCATTGTATCTGGAAATAGCCGAGTATTTGGCTGACGAGCAGGCTGGCCTCTTCTGGGACTACGTCCGAGGGGTGGCAAAGCTGGACACGGCTCTGAACGAATATGGTTTGTACTAGACTCGATGGTTGAGGGGCTGTATTGCTTGATTGATTAGTATTCTCGTCTAGATACGGAGTCGCAGATGTACAATGCCGCCCTAGAACTTGTCAAAACCCATGTAAGTTCACCGGAGCTGCCTTTGCTCAAGCTGGTGGTGTCCATGCACAGCTTGACGCCGCGCATTCAGACACACTTCCAACTGTCCGACGAACTGCGTGGCGGTGGCGCCTGCCAGGGCTCTACTTTCGCCCAGGTCGGCACTGAGTTGGCCTGCAGCTACGCGGAGTTGGAGAAGAAACTGGAACTGGCGCGGGCCAAGGACAGTTTAGATGCGCCAGTGGATACCTACAGCTTTGATCACATCTATCCGGGCAGTGAGAACAATACCCGCACGGTTGTCTTGTATGGCGACCTGGGTAGCTCTCAGTTTCGGACGTATCACAAGCTCCTGGAGAAGGAGGCCAACAATGGCAAGATTCGATACATCCTGCGCCATCATTTGGCCAAAAAGGAGAAGCAGCCGGTGCGCCTCTCTGGCTATGGCGTGGAGCTGCACTTGAAGAGCACCGAGTACAAGAGTCAAGACGATGCTCCCAAGCCCGAAGCAGGCTCCACCTTAGATGAGGACCTGGACAATGAATCGGACGTGCAGGGCTTTGACTTTAAGGCGCTGAAGAAGAAGCATCCCACTCTTAAGCGAGCCCTGGACCAGCTGCGCCAACGTCTGCTGCAGGGCAACGACGAGATCGCCCAGCTGAAGGCCTGGGAATTCCAGGATCTGGGCTTGCAGGCCACTGCTGCCATTGCAGAGATTCAAGGGGATGAGACCCTGCAGATTCTGCAATACACTGCCCACAATTTCCCCATGCTGGCCAGGACTCTGCTGGCCCACAAGGTGACGGATGCGCTGAGGGCGGAGGTCAAGCACAACTCGGAGACATTCGGGCGCAGCTTGAACGTGGCGCCCCCGGACGGAGCGCTATTCATCAACGGCTTGTTCTTCGATGCGGACACCATGGACCTGTACTCCATGGTGGAGACCCTGCGCTCGGAGATGCGTGTGCTGGAGAGTCTGCACAGCAACAATGTGAGGGGAGGCCTGGCCAGCTCCCTGCTGGCCCTGGATCTGACGGCCTCGAGCAAGAAGGAGTTTGCCATTGATATCCGTGACACCGCCGTGCAGTGGATCAACGACATCGAAACTGATGCTCAGTACAGACGCTGGCCGTCGTCGATAATGGATCTGCTGCGTCCGACCTTTCCCGGCATGCTGAGAAACATCAGGAAGAATGTGTTCAACCTGGTCCTGGTTGTGGATGCTCTCCAGCTGACGGCCCGAAGTGTGATCAAGCTATCCGAGTCCTTTGTCATACACCAGGCTCCCATTCGTCTCGGCTTGGTGTTCGATGCGAGGGAGGCCGGCAAGGACAATGCCGAGGATTACATAGCCATCACGTGCGCCTTCAACTATGTGAGCCAGAAGAAGGATGCCCGAGCTGCCCTGAGTTTCCTCACTGACATCTACGCGGCCGTGGGTGAGACGAAGGTGGTCAAAAAGGAGCACATCGTGAAGCAGCTGACAAAAGAGTTCAGCACTCTAACCCGCGCGAAGGCCGAAGAATTCATTGAGGAGGACTCCACCTACGACTATGGCCGAGAGCTGGCGGCAGAGTTTGTCCAACGCCTGGGCTTCTCCGACAAGGGACAACCGCAGGCCCTGCTGAACGGGGTGCCGATGCCCAGCAACATTGTCACGGCGGACAGCGAGTTCGAGGAGGCCATCTTCACCGAGATTATGACGCACACGAGCACTCTGCAGAAGGCCGTCTACAAGGGCGAGATGACGGACAATGACGTGGCCATAGACTACCTCATGAACCAGCCCCATGTCATGCCCAGACTTAATCAGCGCATTCTCAGCCAGGAGGATGTCAAGTACCTGGACATAAATGGCGTGGCCTACAAGCAGCTGGGCAATGTGGCCGCTCTGAACCGCCTCTCAAACCGGGACATGACGGCAACGGTGATGGAGAACCTCAAGTTCTTTGGCGGAAAAAAGTCCACAGAGCGGATTGGCCGAGCCTCCCTGCAGTTCCTTACCATTTGGGTGTTTGCGGACCTGGACACGGAGGAGGGACGCACTCTGCTCACCCATGCCCTGGAATATGTCCAGGGGGGCGAGAGCGTACGCCTGGCATTCATACCCAACACTGAAAACGTTCCGGCAGGGGATTCGAAGAACCTAAATCGTTTGGCTTGGGCCGCCATGCAGACCCTGCCATCGACTCAGGCCACAGAGCAGGTGCTCAAGTGGCTGAAGAAGCCCAAGGAGAAGCTTGAGACACCGTCCAAGGTGCAGGACATACTGGGCTCCACGGAGCTGCATCTGAAGATGCTACGAGTGTATGCCCAGCGGGTCTTGGGCCTGAACAAGTCCCAGCGATTGGTCATTGGGAACGGTCGACTGTATGGTCCGCTTTCCGCTGACGAGAGCTTCGATAGTGCGGACTTTGCCCTATTGGCGCGGTTCAGCTCACTGCAATACGGCGATAAGGTGCGTCAAGTACTTAGGGAATCTGCCCAAGATGTCGGTGCGGATTTCACCAGCGACACTCTGCTCAAGCTCTACGCCAGCCTCCTGCCCAGACAGACAAAGAATCGCTTCAAGATGCCCACCGATCTGAAGACTGATCATTCGGTGGTGCTGCTGCCCCCCAAGCAAGAAAAGTTACCTCACTTTGATGTTGTCGCTGTCCTGGACCCTGCCTCGAGGGGAGCGCAGAAGATGGCGCCCATGCTGATCCTGTTGCGCCAGGTGCTCAACTGCCAGCTGAGTCTCTACATGATTCCCGTGCCCCAGCACAGTGATATGCCAGTGAAGAACTTCTACCGCTACGTTGTGGAGCCGGAGATCCAGTTTGAAGCAAACGGAGTCAGGTCGGACGGTCCTCTGGCCAAGTTCAGCGGCCTGCCGGCCAATCCTCTGCTAACCCAGCAGATCCAGGTTCCCGAGAACTGGCTGGTGGAGGCTGTGCGCGCTGTCTACGATTTGGATAACATCAAGCTGTCGGAGATCGGAGGACCCGTGCACAGTGAATTCGACTTGGAGTATCTTTTGCTGGAGGGGCACTGCTTCGACGCGTCCAGTGGAACGCCGCCCAGAGGCCTGCAACTGGTGCTGGGCACCAAGAGCGAGACCACCCTCGTGGACACCATTGTGATGGCCAATCTGGGCTATTTCCAGCTGAAGGCCAATCCCGGAGCCTGGTCGCTGAGGCTACGCGAGGGGAAATCAACGGATATTTATGGAATAAGTCATATCGATGGCGACAATACCCATTACGATGCCGGTTCCTCGGTAGTGCAGGTACTAATCACCTCCCTGCGTTCGCATGTCATCAAGCTGCGAGTGTCAAAGAAGCCGGGAATGCAGCAGGCGGAGCTGCTCGCTGATGAAACTGACCAGGCGGCACAGTCGGGCATTTGGAACAGCATTGCGAGCAGCTTCGGTGGCAGCAATGGGAATCAGGCAGCGACAGATGAGGATACGGAAACCATCAACATATTCTCGGTCGCCTCGGGACACCTGTACGAGCGCCTGCTCAGGATTATGATGATTTCTCTGCTCAAGCACACGAAATCGCCGGTGAAGTTTTGGTTCCTGAAGAACTACCTGTCGCCACAGTTCACCGATTTCCTGCCCCACATGGCCAGCGAATACAATTTCCAATACGAGCTGGTCCAGTACAAATGGCCACGCTGGCTGCACCAGCAAACGGAGAAGCAGCGCACCATTTGGGGCTATAAGATCCTCTTCCTGGATGTCCTGTTCCCGCTCAATGTGAGAAAGATCATTTTCGTGGATGCCGATGCCATTGTCAGGACGGACATCAAGGAGCTGTACGACCTGGATCTGGGCGGAGCTCCCTATGCCTACACCCCGTTCTGTGACTCGCGCAAGGAAATGGAGGGGTTCCGCTTCTGGAAGCAGGGCTACTGGCGGAGTCATCTGATGGGCAGGCGCTACCACATTTCCGCCTTGTACGTGGTGGACTTGAAGCGCTTCCGCAAGATTGCGGCTGGCGACAGGTTGCGTGGCCAGTACCAGGCCCTCAGCCAGGACCCCAACAGTTTGTCCAATCTGGATCAGGACTTGCCCAACAATATGATACATCAAGTGGCCATTAAATCGCTGCCCGACGACTGGCTGTGGTGTCAGACCTGGTGCAGCGACACCAAATTCAGCAGTGCCAAAGTCATCGACTTGTGCAACAATCCGCAAACAAAGGAGGCCAAGCTGACTGCAGCCCAAAGGATTGTGCCTGAGTGGAAAGACTACGATGCAGAACTGAAGACGCTATTAGCCCGCATCGAGGATCACGAGAACTCACATAGCCGGGACATTGACGACGATCCGGTCGATGATCATGTGGTGGTCACCACCCTGCCGCCACCGCCTGAGCCCAAGCACGGCGAACTGTGATTCCCACATAGCTAAAGTTCCCCCAAATGTCGTCTTTAGTGAATTTAAGTCGAGTGTCATCGATGCATGCTTAACTACTGTCTAGATAAGTCCCAACCCCAAGAGTAATTTGTACATTTTGATTAGAAATGCAAACAGAGATACGAAAAGCAAATGGCTCAGCTGAAAAAGATCGAAATTTGCTTCTTGTCTTGCATTCCATTTCCAGAGCTATTGCCACAGCACACCACACCCCACTTTCGAACTAAGTTAAATTTGAATCATGAATGTCAATGCATGTAAACCACGCAGAATGCGCCCAAAGGCTAAAAGTTTTGCCAAGGTATTAAATGATGAATGAAATCCAGAAAAGAGCAACTTCTTGGGAGGGAGGGCGGACAATGTCTAAGCAACAGCACTGGACGACTGAACGGCTGGTGAGGCGCTGCCCACTTTTCAATATTTCATTCGTTCGTATTAAATTAGTTCGAAATTAGTTCTACATTTTGTATTTTTATTTCAAATCATAATTTGAATTATTTGCTTTTTTATCTACATAAAGAAATTATTTATTTAATATTATTATCTGCTGCTTTACTTTGTTGTTTCGAGCATTTCATATTTACTGTACTTATTAAGAGAGATTTATTGCAATTATTTTTTATATAAAATATTTTGCGTTTCATTTTGGTTTTTTGTTTGTTTTTTTGTAAGGCAGATAGTGCAGTCCAAAGAAGTGGATCCTTTTTTTATCATAAATATATTAATTGTATTTAATTTGATCTGCTTCTCCGATTGGCTCCGATTGTAGCTCAGCACTTGCGTAGCATCTAGAATTAATATAAATTTTAAAAGATTTTAAACTAACGCTGAGGGCAGCTCGCACTCGCGGATAGTTAATTAAAGCTTTCCTTTTATTAAACTGGCTCAATATGTGTTAGTTAGTTATCGTATATGTATGTGTGTTTTTGGTTCAGACTACGCAATCGTGCTCTATTCACTTTGAACTAGACCATAAGGGAGCGGTTAGGGGAAATATATTTAACATATTAGTTAATATTTCGTTTCTCGATTAAATTATATAAAAATGCGGCTGTCAAAAGGTTCTCCTCTCCTACTCTTCTTCTCTCGTCCTATAGTTTATCTGTATCTGTATTTGTATTTGTATTTGTATCTGGTGTATCTTGCGCTTCTCTTAATTGCTAACAATTGACGAAACTATAAAATTCGACTCTTCTCCCATTTGGGGCCTTCAAGTATCTGCGTCTGTAGTCTTAGTTATCATCAGTTTAATATGGTTTAGTTTAGGCATATATTTTAATCGTTTTGAATGCTTTTGCTCATTATTATCATTATCATCATCATCAACATCATCATCATCATCATCATTAGTTCCATTATCTTTAGTTCGGTTCGTTGTTTTGCTTGTGTTTTGGTGTGTGTTTCTCTTGTAAAATATATAGTAGGTATTGCTTTAATCCAAGTGCTTATACATATCCTCCAGTTGCGGCTTGAAGTAGCTCTTAAGTTGTGGTCTCTTGGCCTTGAATGTGGGCGTTAGCAGTCCGTTTTGTACGGAGAAGGGATCAGGATGCAGATAGACATCCTTGACCTGCAATTCAATCACATACATTTATTAAGTAAACGGTTCGCTAGGGGCTGGCGATGCCATGTCTCTCACCTGTTCGAATGACTTCAGTCCACTCTGTTTGCCCCAGTTGAGCATGTCGTTCATGATCAGTTCCTTGACATTCTTATTATTGCACAGGACGGAGAGTGTGCCGCGTACATTGTTCTCCGTGGCCCATTGTTTCAGTACATCGGTATCAGGTACAACGACAGCAATTATGCAGCTCTAAAATGGTTTCAACATGTGTCATCAATTTCTTTAAGTTTAAGTTTCAGTTTAAGGCAGTCGCCAAGTGCCACTCCCAGTGCTCGTACCTTTAAGCTCTCCCCATAGACATAGACTTGATTCACATATTGACTGAGCGTATAGATATTCTCGATCTTCTCGGGCACTATGTACTCGCCCTGGCTGAGCTTGAAGATGTGCTTGCGACGATCGATGATCCGCAGGGTGCCATTCGGCAGCCACATGCCCACATCGCCGGTGTGATGCCAGCCCTCCGAGTCGATCGCCTCCGCCGTCTTCTCCGGATCCTTGTAGTACCTGAAATGGATTGGATCAGATGAATGGGATCAGACCACTCTCCAGAAAGTCTCGGGCTGCACTCACCCATGGAACACATTTGAGCCGCGCACACAGACCTCGCCCGTGTTTTGGTTGGAAAAGTACTCCATCTCGGGCACATCGACAAGCTTCACAGCATTGCAGGAGACGGGCGGACCCACATGATTGGGCACATGATCACCCTGAACCGTGAGTGTGATGGCGCCAGTACACTCTGTCTGGCCATAGCCCTCCAGCACCAGACAGCCCAAGGCACAGCGCATGAAGGTGAGAACGTTGCCGGCCAAGGGCGCCGAGCCAACGACCATGAGACGCAGGTTGCCACCGAAGGCCTGGTGCACCTTCTTGAACACGAGCTTGTCCCAGCAGCCGTTGCGCCGCAGGACCCCGCGGGCAATCTCCTTCTCCTTGGCACGCATGGCCATGTTGAAGAGACCACGCTTCAGACCCGATGCGGAAATATCATTCTGGATCTTGTCGTAGACGCGATTCAGGAGGCGAGGCACAGCCGGCATAACCGTGGGCTTCAGCATCTTCAGGTCGTTGGTCAGCTCCTTAATGTCGCCCGAGTAGAAGCCGACACAGCCGCCCACATAGTACATGCCGTTCTCGCAGCACCGCTCGAACATGTGGGCCAGTGGCAGGAAGGAAACCATCACATCCCCGGCCCGTATGCGATGATCGCCCATCTGCAGGATCACAGAACAGACGCCAGCCACCACGTTGCCGTGGGTGAGCATAACGCCCTTGGGATTGCCGGTGGTGCCCGATGTGTAGCAGACCGTGCACAGATCCTCCGCTGCGGGCGCAATTTCCGGGTGATTGCCCTTGGCGCCCAGCTTCTCCACGTCGATGAACGAGAAAATCTGTATGCCCCGACTGCGCGCCCGCTCCAGCGTCGTTTGGCGTATCGGCTTGATGGCCACGATGATTTTCAGGCTGCGCGGCGCCTTCTCCAGGAGCATGGCCGCTTTGCCATCATCCTCCACGATCACAATCGACATTTCTGTCTGGCGGATGATGAAGGCGCAGGCATCGGGACCCAGGGTGTCGTACAGCGGCACCACCACCAGCGAGAACGAGTAGCAGCCCTGCTCGTACAGTATCCACTCCGGACGGTTCTGCGAGTAGATGCCAATCAACTGTTTGGGCCGAGCCCCCAGCGCCAGCATGCCTGAGCCAAAGTTCTTGGCCCGTAGCAGCGCCTCATCATAGTTGATCCACTGGGGAATGGAGGATATACGAAGTTATACGAGAGACTGGCTCGTCGGACGGTGCTCCCTCGGCTCACCTGATAGGGCGACGTTAGTGTCTCTCGCCAGCCCAGACACGGACCGTTGTTGGACGCATAGGCTCCCTCGCGGAACGTCTGATATAGGGTGCGGACGTTCTCTGTGATATAGGATACAAATTTTCCATTTTTCGACTCCTTGTAGAACTTGGAGACGTGAATTTGTTCTGGACCCTGCAATGGGATTGAATTGACCCCAAAAGAACAGAGAGAAAGAGAGAGAGAAATCGTGTTCATGCAATGAGTGGAGAGATCTTGTAATGAGAATACATCGAACAGCAGTATGAGCGAAATTCAATCGGAGAAAGTGTTTTATTGGGGAGCAGCTTTGGTTGGGGATCGGGATGACACACAAGTATGCTTCTGATTCATGATTTGTTTGTCTTGAACTGAAATTTAATGACATCTGAAAGTTTCCTTGGCATATCTAAGCCATCCCTAACAGGTCTAGATCCAATTAATAAATAAATTGAATGATTCAAAGTGGAATTTGGTATCGCTGTTATATAGATATACTTCAACAATAAAAAGCTATGACCCTTTGGATTTTCCTTAAGTTTTTCCATTCCCAACCAACCTTGAGTTCTGACCAGTCTTCAATTGATTTAATCTCAATGCTGTGTTGCACGAAAAATAAATCACACCCAATTGTTAGATTCGAATCCATAAATATCTGCGCTTTCAATCTGCGCTATGATATATGGTTTATTTTTGCGGATAGACATAAACCCATCACTCAGCGGACTTTCATTTGGGCGCCTTGCCTTGGCCATAATGTCGGGCAGTAGATACTCGAACAAAGTGGCATCAATTCGATATGGCCAAAGAGCAAAGAGCACTTCCTTTATGACCCACAGATGTGAGAGAAATTCCCGCAATGGCCGAAAGTGTTGATGTATGAGAACGAATATCATAATATTGTACAGTCCGGAATCGGGAATTGGAGATGGGGAATGGGAGGCAAGGCACGTATCTTTTGGGTGCTGGGAGGGAGGAGGTTCAAAAAGTTGGTTTGTTTGTGCTAGCTGATTTTAATGAGTAAAACGCAAATATTTTTCAAAAATAAATGCTTTTTCATAGATTAAAGTGCTTTCCAATTCGATTTTGTTTAGATTTTATTGATGACGCACGCGGCACAGAATGGAACATGAGAACTTTCAGAGCATACCCCACGGGGCAATGAGGCTAGCATACCCACCCTGTGATGGATATCTTGACGATGATCGTATATGATCTAACCAATAAGTGTTCACAAAATGTAAATGAGCAAAAAAAGAAGCAAAAAAAAATAAAGTATTGATTAGTGGATTGCATAGTCAAGCTGGTGGTTAGAGATATTCTTTTTGAGTTTTTCCTTTTTGGGGGGATTACGTTGAGGGGACTTTCCCTCTCTTGAGGATTACCTTGAGCACATCGCTCTGATTGCTTAGCTCGATGGGCACCCGTATGCTGGTGATTTGACCGCAACAAGACATGTTTCGAGTCTCACGATTGTCTGAATCTCACGGGTTCACTTGATTGTCTTACACTGATTTGACTTCTGCTTGGTTTTTAGGAACCACTTTTCTGGCTGGGTTTTATGGATCAGGCTTTAATATGCACATTTTACGAGAAACTGCAAAAAGAATCAGCACACACACCCACGATATTTTTTCACTTTTCCCACAATTAGCCCAACCTGTCGTTGCCGGGGCCGTCGCGTCATCTGTTCGATTTGCAGGTTGGTTGATTTTTATTTTCAATTTTCCTATTTAAAGTCTTTCATAATCGCAGAACCATTTAAATGCTAATTATTGCGTGTAAAAATAGATTTCTGATCTTAGATTGAAGCAAATTGGATTTTCATATGCGGATGGGCTGTATTTTCCTGCTCTGCCGAGATTAATAAGGGAAAACTGCCTGAATTATTTTCGTTTTCTACATCTGACTTTAATTGGGAACATGTAGGTTGCTATTTTGGCCATTTCCATTTAATGGAACAAATCCACTTAAATACCTTTTTTACTGCTATAGTACAAAAATTCCTATCTGAAATTACCTAAGATGATTTTTATTAACCCTTTGTCGTGGGAAAAGTAACCCCGAACCAAAGCATAATTATGACGCCGCCCTGTCCGCTTAATTTTTGTCTTCTGACAAGTTTGGCAAATTCAATTTTGTTTATAATTATTCAATATTGTCAGCAGCGGACCAGAGAGAGAGATGGCTATACTGAGGCAGAAAAAGAGAGCGATAACACTGCTACATATATCGACAAGACGTCGTCGTCGTCTGTTGCTTTGGCGCGGCCTGCCCCAAATTAATTTATAAATAGTTCGTTTGGGGGCAAGAACGCTTCCACTCGGCTGTTATCTATGAGAGGCGGTGTGTGTGGCCGCATAACACACAAAGAGAAAAAGGAAAAACAAAAGATATTTTTTGCAAAATACAACAAGAAGTGAGAATTTCTTTAGCAGCTACGATCAGAACCTGAGTCATGGGGGATGGCGTTTTGGACCCAATTGGGTTGCCGATACCGATGGCTCGAGGCTGCCACAATTGCCAACATTTTCCTCACTGAGGAGCAATTCTTCTTTGAAATATGCCACACGCAGAATACGTACACAGAATATGAATGAATAAAGAGCTGTATTTCAATTTCAGCTAAAATCTGCAACATATCAGTGGTTTAGCCAACATATTTGTTGAAAAAATAAACTAAAACCGGGAAAATACGCGGGAATTTCAAGGCTGTGTATATGTTTTATAGTGGATTCATAGAAGAAGGGATATTCAACTAGAATTACTGGTTTCTGTTAACGTAAACTGTGTTTGACCATTTCCTAATCCTTTATTAATGGAAATATTTATTGCCTTGTTTACTAATATTATTCTTCTATATAAAAAATGTAGACTAAGTATATATGTATGTAAATTTGTATGTGTATATATAGATCAACCATAACTCAATTATATACCCAAATTCTGATTCAGCTTGACATTTATTATGATTATAAATTAACCCACAAATAGGTCTTTTGTTCTGCCTAAAGACTTTGCAAAAGGAATTGAAAATTCTAGGAGCCAAATGCCTTTTGTTTATATCACTACTATAGATAGACACATAGATAGTTGTCTAGTAGCTAAGCTTCATGACATTTCGATTGATTGATTGATTGTACTGACACACAGATCTACAGAAGATCTACACACAGATGGGCCACGAAAATATTACAGAATTTTCTATATGAAATCATACTTCTGGAATTCGTTTTGCTACTTTAAATAGTAATCTTAAAAACCCACTTCAAAACAATGTGGATAATTATCGAATATTTTCGTTCCCATATCCGCGCACATGGCTCAAAACTATTCCGATTTGCATTCCCAAAGTTGCTACCACTGTAAACAATCGTAAAACTTGATGGAACATTGCTTAAGTATCGTAAATCCATTCAAATTAAGGTGCTCTCAATTGGAAGCAAAGTTCACTGAAACCGCAAGAATACATATGTACATATATCACATCAATTTGGAACAGAAATAATGTTTAATGTATTTTTATACAATCTGTTTTATGTTTTTTTAGGTGGGATGTGGCCCGTCTGGGGGGAAATATATATGTACGTGTGTATGTAGGACCAGAATGAACTTGAACTTGAGGGCCCGGGTTCAGAAGACGACAACGACTACGACGACGGCACTTGGACACTTTGGCAAATCGATTTCTTTTAAGTTTCTTCTTTGATATATTCGTTAAAATTTTATTTGAATATTATTTCTTTGGTTTCTGGCGCTTTACGTAATGAGATTAAACGCTTGTATTTTTGTCAATTTGTTGCAAATTGTCGTGCGTTTTTCTGTCTCTCTTCTTAATTTTCCTTTTGTTAAGTATATGCGAGCAATTATTTATAAAAAAATACGTTTATTTCACAGATATATGTATATACTATCTGCTTTGTTTTCCGTTGTGTTGTTTTCCGTTTCGTTTTTTTCTGTTTTAAATATCTTTTAAAATATATGTATGCTCCGTCGATCCGCCACGATCTGCGCGACACGATGCTTAATATCGAACTGAATGGCAGACGGAAGGCAGAAATATTGGCCGCGGCTAAAAATTATTTTGGCCCGCCCGCAGAATCTTCTTCAATTTGGTATCAACCGAAAGAAAGAGAGAGAGAAATGGCGAACAGAGAAGGAGAACCTGCAGAGGGGACTATGAAGAAGAATGCAGCGTTCGCTTAGGAATTTTATTCGTTTATATTCACTTGATTTTGATTTTGATTTTACTCGTAAACGGTTTTTCATAGTCTCATCGTTGTTTTTGTTTCTGCTTCTGTTGCTGTGTAGTTTTCTTGTAGTTTTTCGTGTATTTTCTGTTTGTTGTTGTTGTTGATTCGTTGATCAAGTTGTCCGCCTGTGTCTTCCTGCCTGTTGCCCCTGCCTGTTTTTGGTGCACGCGATCTAAGGCGGCATGTGACGTGATCAGTCGCTAATGGGGCAAAGGTGGAGGCGTTCTTGCTTTGGTACTCTTGGTGACGGCGGATTTTCATTAAAGTAATATGATTTATGGTCCAAAACATGGACCATTCTAGGCAATAAATGGAACAACAAGTGTGAGAGATTCCATCTTCGTTCCATTACATATCCTCCACAGCCTTTAAATATACAAATGCGATTTCAGTTTTAATTTCCATTAGAACTGAAAATTCACCATCACGCACTCAATTATGGGTAAATACTAGATAACCTGCATTGCATTTACTCTTACAAAATTCAGTTTGCTCGCACGCACATCATTTACACCCCAATTTGCACTCTTTTGAATTTTTAATGTTCTATCTCGTATCGGAAAACGCTCAATGCAAGTGAAAATGCCCGGTTGTGTGCCAAAACTTGTTTGCACATTTCCCCCTGTAGACAAACACACAGAATGACAAACATTCATATGTTTATACATTTGTACATGTGTATGTTTGTATGTACAATCTATTCTATAGATTTACATACGAGTGTGTTCAGAAGCAGACAGGTTGGCCCTGTCTCGTCAAAGCTTTGACATTTCCTTATTGTTATGTTGTTTTATCATCTCATGTCACTGTTTGTTGTTTCTGAGCATTCTTAGGGTGAAAAGGTGAAGCAGTTGGTTTGACATTTAATGGGGATTAAGTATTGAGGACGGTTATCGGTTATAGCTCTGAAATCCTTTGTATAAAAAAATATAATAAGTTCGAAATATTTATATAATGAAATTATGTTCTATTCCCATTCCATTCAATTTCAATTAACAAAATGTGACAGCCTGTTCTACTGTCCGTACCTCCCCCAGTCTTTTGGCAATGCCAAATATCGCAATAAATACGATATTGTGTCAATATTTGTTTATTTACATGGCATCGCATCCATACAAAAGGAAGAGTTCGTTATACCATTATACAGGCCGAAAAATTTTAACAAATGAAATGCCGGGTGGTGTCAGAAGGAGGAAAGGAAATGTTTATAGCGAGGGTCGGGGCAAGGCTCTGAGCTGATGGAAATTGGGAGAGCTCTGCAACTAATTGGGGGAAAATGCCAATTGAGCCATGACAAGATTTATTGTGGTCGTGCCGCTGTCGTTTGATAAATTATCATCTCAGAGTGTTGCACATTTTTGCAGGCGAGATCCCTCTCGTCTCGGCTTGTGTCTCGGTCTCAGTTCTTTTGCGAGGCCTCTCAATCAGAGCGTGGGGGCCTGTGGCTATTTTTGATCCTCATTTGCACCACTGTGACGAACACGTCATTCATTGCCTGTGCTGCTGTGGCCACAACACAAAGGCCAACAAGGCGAAAATGAAAATATAAATGGCGAAAGAATGGTGAAGAAAAAGTGTGAAAATCATGTGACGACAACAACGAAACAGAATCACTATCTGAATCCAAATCGGAATCGGAATCGCACTCAACGTGATTGTGGACATGTGCACATGGTTGCTGCTGGCACATCAAAGGTTTTTCTTGGCCATGCCATCATGGGATTCGCCTGTTCTACCTCAAATAAAGCAAGGCAACAACAGCAACAACTATGCTGAGAAAAAACAGCGAGCCGAACCCAAGACAAACAATTCGTAATCGAGCAATCGATGATGTAATTGATGGGATATGGGATGGATGGCATGGCTAAGCGAACGAAATCAAATCGAATCGAAATCACTTCTGGCTTACCTCTAACAATGGGGATTGGTTTTCCAGAGGCACTAATGGTTGTTCCGGTACTGGTCGTGTTGCAAAATAATACGCAACACTGGCCGCCAAACTACTGAGAGTGAGGGTGCCCAGAGATCCGCCCAAATAATACAGATATCCATCGATTTCGTCCCCTGTGAAAGACAGAGTGTACTAGTTAATACAGCCTTCCCGGTATTCTCTCTAAAAATTAATTACAATCCTGTCAAATGGTATTCTTTTTTATGGTTTTCTTTAATTGTATCCATCGTAATTTGATTAAATACTTCATTTCCAATACATTAACAAGTGTCAATCGTTGCTGTGTATATTAATTGGTCTTGGGCAATTTTCCATACGTATTGATCAATCATTGGAGGGAAGACTCAATTACCTTCCACTTCCCTTTTTGTGATTTCGAAAACTTACCAATAAATAAAAATAATATTCTCAATATGTAAATCCTGGGATTGAGTTTTTATCACTTTCCAATTCCACAAAAGTCCACAAAATGCAATCAAGGGTAAGTAGACCAGAGTCTTACACGTTTTTATATATTTTTATAGGTTGTTCTGTTCGTTTGGCTTTTGACCAGATAGAAATGAGGATTTCTGTATGCTGAATGTATCCAGACAGTCATTAACATACTGTGTCCCTTATATTGCTTATTTGTGTATTTTGAAATAATACTTACAGAAATATGAAAAGTTGCTGACTATCAAATGATTGATATAGGCTATAATCGATTTCTCTGGTGTCATTTTTTTTCTTTCGTTATTACTGTTGTTGTTTTTGTTTTTTGTTTGTTTGTTTTTTTATTTTTTGCTATTCTTAGCTTCCTGAGTGAGTGTTACGTGTTTAGCTTAATGATTGCCCACAATAGATAGCCTGAAAAATAATCAATAAAAAGTGCATGCATCAATTATCAGTAGAATTATTATAAAAAGGTTCTGCAGTGTAATTAAAGGGCCATTCGAAGTTCCCACATTAACAGAATGCAATCAAGCCGAACCAGGGGCCAAGCCATAGAGCACCATCCATTTTCTGCCTAATTAGAGGTTTATCCACATGCATATATGTACAGTACAGTACTACACGTATAATTTAATATATAAATAATTGCCATTTGCCCAGTCAAGTGGCAACAATTCAAATGCGTTCAGTTGAGGATGATTATGCAAATGGGCTTTGTGTACATCAGCTCTGAAGAGTAAAGATTTTGTTGTTGAGATAGGAGAACTACTGAGCATAGATACATATACAAGTACATATGTATGTATGTACAACAAGAATCATTTGTCAAAGTCCACTGATCAATTGCCGAACACATACAGCGGAAAAGTGCAAATGCTTGTATATTATATACCTCAGCAATATGTGTTTTTGCATATGTACATATATTCCGGCAAGAGATACACTTGTCCAACAGCCGAACCATTATATTATGGCTTTATCTGTAATGTTTTGAATGGAAAGCATCTTATCAGGCAGTGGCAAAAAAAAATGCAGGCAATAAAACTAAGAACGATTAAAGTTGGCTACGATGAGGCTTGAATACTCTTCATTCATTTATAAAGATGTGCCACAAAATATGATAAGGGACAAATTTAAAAAAGAAAAGATAAGATAATAAAAAAAGCATTAAAGACACATCTGTTTGGAAATTGATTTAAATGAATTTTTTGCATTCGTGGTTATTTAAAAATTAACTATGGCTCCCTTGAAACTACATTTCCAACGCTATTTCCGCATTATAATTCCTAATATAACTTGGCCTTATGTGTAAAGCTGTATCAACTGCAACCTCAAGTTTTATGGAGGAAAACGAGTTTATCAACTAAATACAATATAGAATAGTACATTTCTGAATTTCCCAATTATAAATGCAAGTACGTGTAAACTGGTTTTAAAATGCAAATCAATAAGAAATCATTTGTAGAATAATGCAAAAAGCATTGGATAATCTCGTTCAATTGCGCAATTGTTAAACTTGAGGAAATCTAATGCCAGAGTAGGAACTATTCTTGGCTACTGGGAAAATTTCAACTATGTTGGATACTGTAGCACTAATGACACCGGCCGATCGAACCGACCCGATTCAGTCCATCCACATTCCCTATGAGGCAGAGGCAGACAAGGCGCATCCCGTAAAGCGACTGACTGACTGACTGGCTGATATAGCCGGAGGCAGCAGAAGTGCAGAGAGCTTTATCAGCCGTGTAGTGAAACTTTGCACCCCAGACAGCAGCGTTCCTAAGGCGATTACACGTACATATACTTTGGACAATGCACACCCGACCGGACGATGACCCAAAAAATCTCTGAACCCAAAGGAAGATTTAGATTCTTCGGAATATAAGTAGTGCGGATGTTATGCAATATCGTATGTAATGTAGGTTTATGCGGGCCTTGTTATTGATTTTATAGACAGTTTTCTTTTGCCGGGTCAAATCAGGTTCAGTTCAGAAAGAGACAGACAGGCAGAAAGGAAAACAGAGAAAGAGAGAGAAGGGGTGTGAGTGAGAGTGAGAGTGAGAGAAACAAAATGGAGCCTCCTTTTTAGGCGGCTTTGCAGAGGGAGGTCAAGTCGGACGCACATGCCATTTTTGGTCATTGATTTTTTGGCAGTTAAGGCTAGGCTACGGATCCGGCTACGGGTTACGGGTTACGGGAAGTGGGCATTTCTGTGAGCAGAAACTTACCTCGGAATCTGGACTACTTGTAGATGAAACACATTTGTTGGGATCTATTTATATTTGGGTGTTAAATATACATATATCCACTAAACTGAAATTAGCACTGAGGGAAAATCAATGAAAAGTTTACGTTTCGGCGTTCACAATTGTGTTGTTTTTAGCCGGGTAGAGCCAGCGCGAGAACGGCCGAGAGTGAGAAGAGAGAAAATCTTAGAACCAAGAACACGGGTGCCAAATGCCGAACTAAAAAATTACTGCTAAACGCTTCGGCCGACGGAACAGAACTGAGCCAGACCCCCAGACCAAACCAGACCAGGCCAGACCAAGACCAACAGAGGCAAACAAAGCCTGTTTGTAACTTGAGTTTTGAGCATGCGTGCAACGTTATCGCTTTATAAAATACCGCTGCTGCCGCTGCTGCCGCTGCTGCCACTGCTGCATGAATGAAGCCGCAAGAGGAGAGCCAGCCAAAGAGTGTATTTACAAAAGGTGAGGTACGTATACCGGTCGCGAACACACACACCACACAAACAGGGAGTGCGTGAGAGCGCACTCTGATAATGCCTCACCCCGATATTCACACACTTTGAGCCACCAAAGAGAGAGAAAGGCTGGAGAGAGCGTTCTAAGCGGGGCGCCAGCTCCACGTCATAACAAACATTCGTGGGTGGGCGGGGGATTGGGGTGTCAAGCATGGCAGCCAAAATGGCAAACAAGATGCACGTGCTGGAAAGCACAAAGAGAGCGGGAGGGCGAGCGGGAAAGGGGAATGAATGCTACGAGAGAACTAACAGTTGAGAGAGCCGGACCCGGCATGTGGGAGCGTAACCATTATGTCTGGCGGGTGAGCCAAGAGAGGGCTAAAATAACTCGGGTGATTCAGTGGCTTGTCGATGAGAGGAGAGTGGAGTGGAGTGGAGTGGAGCAGCGAAGTCCTGAACAGTTGTTTGCCTCGCGTGACGCACTTGTTCTTTTTGGGTCCTGCAATGCGACACGAACAGCGAGGGGAGGTGATAATGTTATCAAAGGAAGGTGCACCTGGATTTCAATTGGTACGCTCTTGTGGCATTCTTTCCATTTGATTCCACATCCGCAGAAATTACACTACGAAAACAAATGTACAGATAGTTCATACTCTAATAGCTGCCCCCTCACACCTGGTAACGAAAGTCCTCCATACTTGTGTCCATTGCGACAGCTGTCTGTGCATTTCACAAGTTTGTCATACAATCTATAATTGGGACTTAAAGGCTAACCTCACCCGATTTACCCGTCAAATTGAAAATTCGAACCTATAAATGTAGAATGAGCGGATGGAGGGGGGAGCCTTGGATCTCTTTAAGTTGTGCAAACTGTAATGCACGTATCCTATAGATACATGAGTTTGTTTGGGCCTTGTTTATTCAGGTCCTTGGTGACATTACGATGACTTCTCATTACGAACGCTCTAAAGGATTGCTGTGACGGCAGAGTTTGCTTGAACGTGGATCCCATCCCATTCAGCTCATTATTCTGCTTTAATTTTCACCGTAGTTTAATTTCACGTTGCATACTTTAAGGAGCACCCAAACCCATGAGATACTTTTCGGCTTATTGGGTCAGTTTGTTGTTGTTGGGCCCCACATTTCGCCGCCCGTTGCTTGTCCAGCTGGGTCAGTGTCATTCCCTTTTCTTTTATCAATCAGAGTGAACCGCAGACCTCAAAAGTTTACTACTGGCTGTTCGCCAAAAGCTTTTTGCAGAAGACTCGAGTATTTAATATTGGATTAGCATTGGAACTATACGGGGTCGCAGTATGGACAGCAACGATGTGGAACTATCCCTGCAGGAATCGCCCAGCTCGGAGGGAAGCTTCTCAAGCACTGCGCCCGGACAGTGCTGCAGCTCAGGCAGGGATTTCGAAAAGGCAGAGGGCTTGGTCGACCCAAGAGCTGTGAATGAGGTGGAAGCAGCGCAAGGAAAGCCAAGCAAATCAGGCAGCGATCTATCGGGTGGTAATAGCTATGCCACAAATAAAAATGTGGCTGAAGGTAATTGAAAGTATTGCACAGATTAAAGCTATCGAAAATATATTCTCTTCTCGCTTCCCCAACGAAGGTCTCATGGACATAGCTCTTCTCTCCGCGAATGCCAATCAGCTGCGCTTCCTAATCACCTACAACGACAAAGCCTCCACCTACATATACAGCCTGATTCTGGTGGCACTCTCGCTGAGTCTGCAGCTGCTCGTAGGCCTTATGATGATATTTAAAGTAAGTTACTGTCTACCACATATCGAACCGCAGTAAGCCATATAATACCATATAATACCAACCCATAGAGACGTCTCAAGCGCTGTCAGCATCGGCGCTATGCAAGGACCAATGAGCTACTGGTAATGGGAGTATTCATGATTACTGTGATCAATATCCTGCTGGCAGCCTTCACCACAACGGACGGAAATACGCATTAGAAGATGATGGTTTTTGAAAATACACTTTAGATATACATTTACTTGTATTTGATACAATATAACAAGGGAAAACTATGTATTAAATGCTATGGTAACATGGAAGGAACCGCTAACCGATGAGGGTTCCAGCAGTTCCTTCACATAAATGCACTTGACGTATCTGACGTACGATATCTCAGCTTGTGTATGGGGACGACTTAGGATCATAGTTGACTGCTTCCTCGCACTTTAACTTAGCCCGAATACTCCTTCTTGACGCACTTGGCAATGGTGGTCAACTGCATGTTGGAGGTACCTTCGTAGATGGCGCCGATCTTCACATCGCGGTAGAATTTCTCCTGGGGGAAGTCGCGGGTGAATCCCACACCGCCCATCCAGTCAATGCACTTGATGGCCGCACGCTGGGCAACCTCCGAAGCATAGAATTTGGCCATGGCCGCCTCCTTGAGGAAGGGCACACCCTGTTCCTGCAGACGAGCCGCATTGTAGGTCATCAGGCGAGCCGCCTCGATCTCGGTGGCAATAGTGGCGATCTGGTGCTGCATGGACTGGAAGTTGTAGATAGATTCGCCGAACTGCTTGCGCTCCAGCAGATACGGAATGGTGGCATCGAAGGTGCCCTGGGCCAGGCCCACCATCTGAGCGCCAATGCCGATGCGGCCCTCGTTCAGGAAGCCGGCGGCATACTTATAACCGTGTCCGAAAGTACCCAGGATGTTCTCCTCGGGTACGCGCACATTGTCGAAGGTGAGCATGCAGGTGCCGGAGGCACGGATGCCCAGCTTGTCCTCAGGTTTGTTCACAATCAATCCGGGTGTCTCGCGATCCACAATGAAGGTGGTAATGCCACGATAGCCCTGGTGTAGAAAGAGAGCGAACGCTGATCAGTAAGAGATTCTTCAATGTTCTGATTACTTGATTTTTGATTAGATGAACTTTGATCTTAGGAGATAAGCTGCGCTGCCGATCGCTCATAAATTGTTCTTGAAAATATTGCATGTGAAATCACTCAAGCGATCGGTTAATAATCAATTTGAAAAGTGAATAGAGGTGATAAGTTATTATAATGCAACGATCCGCGTAAGATCTTTCTTCCGCTCATTTGATTGAAGACCAAAGATCAAGACGATTATAATTATCAATGAGCACTTACGTCCTCTGGCTTGGCATTGGCAAAGACCAAGAAGACTCCAGCCACATCTGAGTTGGAGATCCACATCTTGGTGCCGTTGATCACATAGTGAGAGCCATCCTTCTTGGCCACAGTCTTTAGAGAGAAGGCGTCGGAGCCTGCTCCGGGCTCGGTCAGGGCAAAGCTGCCAGCGTATTCCTGAGCCAATTTCGGCAGATATTTCGCCTTCTGTTCGGTGTTGCCAAACTTAATCATCAGGGAGTTGACTAGGGTGTTGTGGATATCTACGAAAGCGGCCACGGCGGGATCGACTTTCGACAGCTCCTCGACAACGATTATATTAGTCATGAAGTTGCAGCCGCTGCCGCCCAGCTCCGTGTCGATTTCAATGCCCATCAGGCCATTGTCGAAGACGGCCTTGACTACCGACGGATCGAATTTGTGCTCGAGGTCCATTTTCTTGACCAGAGGCAGGATTTGATCCTGGGCCAACTTGGCAACTGAAATTTAAATTCAATCCATTTTGAATTAGTTTAAATAAAATAAATAAAAATAAATTCCCATTTCACAAAATAAACTAGTTCGTTGTAAGCTCTTTATAAAGCTTTCAAGAACTTTCAACTGCACGTTTTTCTAACAAAACAAAAAACACATTAAATTAATCAAACTGGTCTGATGTTTCTTCCTCTTCTCACAGAGGGGCCTGGTATGTTTGCTGTTTGGGTTCTGTTTGTATAAGTTGAGGTATTCCATATACATATATGTGGTTATATATGTATGTACATATGTATGAACGTAGGTAGTGCGTGTGTCTTTTTTATCAGCAGATTTTCTCTGTGTTCTCGGATCGCTCGCGTGCGGCTCTCTCACTCTGTTTTACTCTCTGCTCGTGTCTCTCCGTATCTTTTCGTTTCTACTTTTGCTTCTCTCTTCGTATTTATTATTGATCTTTTTTAAGAACTACATTATTTTTTCCTGCTGCTAGAAAGGCTGACAACTGGCACACACCCACCAAGTTCTCACAGCCTTACCCTCTAATACCTGTTCCTTTCTCTGCGTTCAGTCCATTTTCCAGTCATGTTTTACATATCATGGGAAAAGTTTCAATAATTCATTTAAATAATATATTTATTTAGTTACTTGAGCCATATGTGCGGCTGGGGCTATTTTCTAACAGCTGTGACGTGGCCCCATGGGCTTTAGGGCCCCTGCATTTAGGGGAGTCTTATCTAACAGGAAACTGTTCTACGTCCTAAGCTCTTTTCATTTGAGTGTTCCATATATTGCTGGCAGAGCACATTACTTTTGATTCTGAGGCAACTGTATTCGTTCCTTGTATGTTTTGGTGCAGACTGTACTACGTCTTCGCGAGCAGACGGAATCATCCAACACATGTTTCTATGGCGTATTTGAACAATTAAATTGATTTTCAGCAAGGAAGATAAAAACTAACTCAGATCAATTAACTGTATATTTATAAATATCTGTGCCTGTGCCTACTGTACCTAGTGAGTCTGTTTGTTAAGAAAACCAGTTTGAAATTATGCACTAGGCTATTTTGCATGCAGCTCGGATTACGCAACCATCAGACCATAATACCGTACATACCAATATAAATAGAGAATATGTAGGTGTACAGAATCATATAGATTGAGACCAATTGAATGATTGATAAGCCAAACAAGGCGAAATTTTAAGTAAAATATGCAAAGAAGTGTCTGCTCCCCAACTAAGAATCAGGTGGATAGAGGTGACTCCCAGGGGGGACACCTTCAACTGACTCAACTCTCTAGGGGAGTGCGCCGACATGCCACACACACCCATTGCCCGGCGTAGGCACTAGAACAGTGACTACAGTTGAGCGGGGGCGTGGCACAGTCGCAAGTATTGATCTATCACAAGTGTAACGCTATTTGGTTGACATTAAACCAGAACCGAACAGCTGACTGACTCGTGAAAAATGTAGCAAGGACATAAGTATGTGCATTGGGTGTGGGAGAAATAGGAGAGAGAAAGGTAAAGAAATTCTTGAACCCACCCACGCTTCGAACACGCGTTTCGGTGAAAGAGAAAACTCGCATTGTGGACAAGAAAACACTATATGTGCTCCCCCTTAACGAACAGCACCAACGACAACCAGACATAGACGGCGGCTAAAGCTAAACTCAAGCGACCGAAAGCTATATATAGACCGGCTGTGTGTGAGGGGAGGGGATGGTAAAATTTGCCCAACCTTTTGATTGCAATTTAAAAGCTTTACGTATCCTGACCTGACCGACAGATGTCCTTTTGGTTGCGGGATCACTTCAAAGGATTCATACAGAATGGTATGGTAAATAATGTTCATTGGAAAGTATAATCTTCAGGAAGGAATCACATTATCCTGCGGCATGTATTTGTCTGCCTTTAAGTTTCAGAAATTACATAATATTTAATGCCTCAACAGAGTAAATGAATTCAATTATTGGTTCAATAGAACCCATACAAAAGTCCATGTATCGAAAGAAATTGAGAAATGGAGGAAGGTAAGAAAACATCTGCACATAATAGGGAAAATCCCCCAAAAATTATATCAAATACAAAATATCATAATGAAAATGCTGCAAACACACAAACTGATATTAAATGATATTTTTCCACACTATCAAAATAAAAATGTGCTTATCTGGCAGTGAGCCCGGACCGGACCGGACCCCCTAACTAAACAGCTTTATCAGCAAAAAATAGTAAGAAAAAAGAAAAAACTCGAAAAATGAAAAATAATAATACTACTGGAGCAGCCGAGCTGCAGCAAGACATTTCCACTCCAACAATAATAAATAAAAAAAAAAATACAGCCTCCATATGCGATGCTTGGAGTTACGTAACGGGCGACACACAATACCAAAACACAATAAATGGAAAAAAAAATCTTTAAATTCCTCTAGCGAAAAGTATGGAAAAGTATAAGAAGAAAGAACACGCTGGGTTACAGTTACATTTACGGGGGGGAGGCCACTAGAGCTATTGATCTGTGTACAGTGAAACCACTCACCAGTCTCCTTCATCATCTTCTCATCCTCGGTGAGGAAAGTCAGGGGTGGGGGCAAACCAGTTGCCGAGGACATGGCAGCATTTTGCTGACGTGCTGCGGCATTAGCAAGCTGGAATTGATAGAAATAAATATAATTTAAATTAGCTTAATAGTTTGTATATTGGTTGTAGGCGTGGCTCTTACCATGCGCATGGGCAGTTTCTTCAGGCTGTTCATCATTGTGAATGTGGTGGAAATATTAATTGAATCAAGTGGTCTCCGTCTCTGGGGCAGGAGGTTTCCCAAGGCAACACAACAGCAACAGTTGGCTGCACACAAGCGAATGATTTTCCATTCTCCAGACACACATCAGATCAGTGGAGCCGAAACTTTAGGCCCCAAAGCAGCGACGCGATCGACAAGAATAACAACTTAACAGAGCGCCAATCATATAACTGTTAACAGTGGGGCCCGGCCCCCAAAGTACTGTAGAGCGCACGCTGCTGCTGTAGTTTGACATTCCGCACCTAGTGATGACTGCAGCACATATCGATAGCGACTTTAATTTATTATTAATTTAATTTATCAATACCAAACAACGTTGGATCGCGACTAAAAATCTAATCTTAGTCATGTAAATCTCTCGCTCACACTGCATTCTTTTTTTATATCTTTTATTTGTGTTTTATATTTTGTCTCCCTGAAAATAAAATGTAGTGGAATATGACCAAAAAGAAAAAATTCGATGTATCGATATTACGCTACACTATCGATTGCTTTGAGAATTTTGTTTGGAAATATTTACTAATTACAATAATTAAAAGGTATTTTTAAATAATTTGCGCACTTTAAAGGTTTGCCAAGTGTAGTGTAGTGTACTACAGTGTTGGCCTGAATAAACACCAAAAAAAAAAACACGCCCTCACACTGAGCACACAGCTTCCAAAACACAGAGGGCACGCCACACGTGCTAGATGAATTTTGTGCCGCGGCTGGAAGTACCCCGAATAACGATTATATCCACCCGTTTACGTCACTACTTTCGAAACATGAACTGTTCCGAGCTGCTGCCGCCCGCCTCGGTGAGGGGAATGCGGGAGCTCCAGCGGGCCGAGTTCCAAAAGCGTGTGCAAGTGCCCAGACTGCGAGTGCCCGAGACGCAGGTGCAACGTGTAATCCCGCTGGTTAAGAAATTCCTGCTCAAAATGGAGCACATGCATCCGGTGCGCGCTGTGGAGAAGTCGCGGGAGATACTATTGCACCCGCTGCCCATACAAGGCTGGGAATCCCTGCCCACAGAAGATCTGCAGAAACAGCTCGTCACGCAGGAGCACTTTTGCTTTGCTGAACTTGAGTTGAACTACGAGAACTGGAGCGCCAACGAAATTCTAAAGAGTGTGCTCCCAGAGGAGGAGGAGGGAATGACATCCTACTCGCGCATCGGACACATCGTGCACCTGAACCTGCGGGACCACCTGCTGCCGTACAAACAGCTCATTGGAGAGGTGCTGCGCGACAAGCTGCCGAACTGCCGCACGGTGGTCAATAAAGCGTCTACCATAGACAATACGTACCGCAACTTCCAGCTGGAGCTGATATGCGGAGAAGCCGAGTACCAAGTGGAGACCAAGGAGAATGGTATTCCCTTCGAGTTTGATTTCTCCAAAGTGTACTGGAACCCGCGCCTCTCTACCGAGCACGAGCGCATCGTGAAACTGCTCCAGCCCGGAGACGTTCTCTACGATGTGTTTGCCGGCGTGGGCCCGTTCAGCGTGCCGGCGGCGAAGAAACGCTGCCATGTCCTGGCCAACGATCTGAACCCCGTCAGCTTCCACTGGCTGCAGCACAACGCGAAGCGAAACAAGTGCCTTTCTTACATCCAAATGTTCAACAAAGATGGAAGACAGTTCATTTTGGAAGAGCTGCGGGAGCACCTGCTGCAGCGGCTGCGATCGACGGACACATCGTCGTCTGCCACTCACATAACAATGAATCTTCCAGCCATGGCTGTAGAATTCCTGGATGCGTTTCGCGGCCTCTACACTGACAAAGAGCTGGCTGATCTCTCCGATACTGTGGTCTTTCCCACTGTGCACGTCTATTCGTTTGCCAAGGGCGAGAATACCAAAGCATTAGTGAGAGAGCAGGTGGAACAGAACCTGGCCGCCACACTGGACGACAACCAGTTGCAGGGCATCAGCTTTGTGCGGAATGTAGCACCAAATAAGGACATGTACAGGGTATCCTTTAAGCTTACGCGGCATTTGCTAACCACACCAAAAGAAGCCGAAGCGAATAACGCACGCAAGCGGAGCGCGCAGGATGAGGAGAAAGTTGAGCCTGAGGTGGCGGCAGCAAAAGTTAAATATGCTTGAGAGCAGAGCTGTGTTTTTACAATAAAGTTGCCCTGAAACAAGTAAAGTAAACGAACAGCGTCTCTTCCTTTGACTACTTGCAGATGGGTCGCAACAAGGCCAATAACAAGAAGGTGGCTCCTGCAGCGAAGCCGAAGACACCGCTGAACAAATCAAAGAAGGCCAAGAACGTATTCAAAGTGGCCGACAACAGGAAGGGCAAGGGCAAGAAGCCCAAAGAAGTCCAGGGCAAGCTGAAGCAGGTGAGTGGAGGATTCACACACGATTCGCCAGCACAGCGAATTCCCATTGCAATTGGAAGCATCTTCAACGAATGCCAATTTTCCAGATCAAAGAATCTGTCAAGGCCAAGCAGGAGAAGGTGGATGCCACTCTCAAGACATTGCATAAGGATATGGTGGTCAAGAAGCCAAAGCCAGCCGTGTCCCCCATCAAGAACAAACGGAAGCCAGCTGCCAACACCGAGAAGGTGTCCGACACTTTGGGCAAACTTAAGTTCTAAGGACAGCCCCGCCCAATGATTTAGATGTAGTTAGTTCCCATTCATTGTTAGAGGCCGCGGCCGAATGTTGCTAGTGCAAATATCATACAAATATACGATAGATATATTGACCACTCTAGACAACTGGCACAACTGGCACATCTGGCAGTGGTGGCAGCGGTGCCAGTGGAGCTCCGTTTCCCGGAGGGATCACAGCAGCTGGACTTCTTGTGGGAGGTGCTGGCGTCGAGGTTGTTGCAGTTGCTGCAGTTGTTCCAATTGATGCAGTGGTTGGTGCATTGACAACAACATTCCAGCCAAACAGATTGCGTATAATTCCATCCAACTGAGCCGTGTCGATGCCCGCCTGCTGCAGCTCAGCCACAACCTGCACAGTCCCCGGCAAAGCCAACCAGCGTTCGTAGACCACGCGCAGAGCCTGTAGTCTTGACCAGAACTGGGAAAAGATGCCCGGCTGCATCAGTTTGGCATCGATATGGGCGCGAATCGCATATGTGGGCAAGTAGAGCTGTGCCTCGTTGAGGAATCCCTGCCAACCGAAGACGGTGCCCGACCAGTAGGGGAAGCGGTTGAACAAAGTGACGGCTAGCTCCTGCTCCTCCATCTCAAAGGCGCCGCCAGATGCCAGTAGCTGCTGATCGACCCACTGTAGGAATAGGATGAGCTCGGGCTGCGAGAGTAAACGCCAGCGGGCCGTGAAGCCAGCGTTGCTGTTGATAATCCTCACAAAGGCCTGGAACTGAGCATCGTTGATCAGGTAACGCACCAGCAGCTGATTCAGAGGCTTGATCTGAATCAGACGTGTAATCTCGTCCAGATCGCGGGCGAGGGTTGGTGGCGGCGGCGGCGGTGGTGCCACAGGGAATGGCTGCAGGAACTCTCCTCCAGTGGGAGGCGCCCACTGAGCAAGTGATCCGGAGCCAAGGCCGAATAAGAAGAGCAGCCCCAGGGTAATAGCCATGGCTGTATAGTTATGACTGGATGCCAGTCGACCGACAGAGGCTACCTTTTATACAAACTCGTATATCCATTTCCCACTTATCTGCAGATAGCGGCCTCACGGAATTTGTCGCAGCATTTCTGCTGACGGTTGTCGTCATCTGATAAGCCCCCCCCCCGATTCGATCTGTTTATAGTATTACTCGGTTCGTAATCCGCGCGCGGAAGTCTGCGTCCGGGATAAACAGGGAAAGCAAACAAGACAATACGAGTACCAAAACAAAGACCAAATTCGGAATAACAAAACCCTATACATATCTGTACGTATCTCTATACTCGCACGCGAATTTTATTTTGGCACAAGCTTTATTTCCAAAACCACCAACAATTCAGATAGATGACAAAGGACCGCAAACGAAAACTTCACAACATGAGGAGGCACTAAGTGAAACATACACATACATATACTACTTATGTGTAGGATTAATGGTCGGATGGGTCTTCAATGAACAACCCTAACCACTTAACCACTGGCTCGAACTCAAAGACACTTTCGAAATGGGGAAAACACACTTAACATTTCCAAACAAAACAGGAGCGAAGTCTCGCTTCGGGGAAATATCCTTGCAAATTGAAAATTATTATGCCTATGGGTCCCATGATAATACAATTTCTCAGCACTCTGCAGAAAGACATTCTAGAACACGATTGTCATTAACTGACATAGGCGGACCTGGTTAAATGATAAACTTATACTAAAGGCTATCAAATCATAATAGGATAGGATTCGATTCGATTCGGATTTCGGAATTTGCAAGGACGTTTGACGTATACAGAAATTTGAGGATTCTTTGACAGTCCGATCCGTAAGAGAACTTTAGCTTAAGATACGTAAATAAGTCGACTTCAATAAAAACTATCTTAACCGATACGAGTAAACGCGTGTGAGGATGAGGAGACCTGAGGATCAGGTCTCGCCGTTGCCCTTGCGACGCAACCAACTGGGTATATAGCCCCTAACGGCCTCGCCCAGTTGGCGGTAAATGATCAGGCCCAGAATGGGCAGGACAAGTCGCGCGTCCTTGAACAAGTACACATAACAGGCAACCAGGAAGAGAACCAAATCCGTACAGTAGCTCAGAGCCGAGCGGACCTTCTCGTGCGTATGCTCCTCGGATTGGAGAACCGCCAGTGCGGACGCTCTCTCCAGAAGATCCCGTTCGGCGCTTGACAGAACCAGGGACGTCTGCGAGGTCCTCTCCACAGCAAGGGGCTGGCTGCCCGCAGCTAGTGCTGGGGGTCTACTGAGCGAGGTGTCACGAGACCGCGTACTGGATGGAACCCGGCGTTTAATCACCCGTTTAACTTTAACGAGACGCGTTCGTCCCCGGGCATCGGGACGAGCCTCGACGGTCTCGCTCATGACGCTCTCACTCTCCGCCTCGCTCTTGTTCTTTGTCTTGGGTGGGGGCACCACTAGAACGGTCGGATACTCCGGCTCTTCCTCCTCCCCCTTCTCCGCCTGCCTTTGAGTCTGCTGCTCCACCTCTCGCTCTAACGCATCTTTGTCCCGTGATTTGTGGTACGCCAGATTACTGGACGCATCCCGCACATGCACCAGCTGCTCCCTCTCCGAGATGGAGAGACGCCGCTCCCGACTGACCACTGGCGGGGCCAATAGCATGTCGTCGTTGGTCTTGGTGGCCAGCCTCCTCCTGTGCTCCTCCGTGTTGGACATGGAGGCCTCATCCTCGTCGGTTTCGGCTGCTGCCTTGGCGGCGGCCCGCTTCAACTCCTCGCGGTCTAGGTAGATGGGCGTGTGGTATTTGTGGGAGCTGCCGACCTCCCGGACTAGGTCGCTGTAGTGATCGACGGCGGCATGGGCCTCCTCCTGCATGAGGCGCTCAGCCTCTTGGCGACGCAGCTCCTCCTCCTCCTTGGCCCTGCGTTTGACCTCCAAATCGGCCGCAATGGCAGCGGCATTAGTTTTCTCCAGGGGATTCGATATCTCCTCGTTGGCCTCAGTGTTCTTCTCTGTGGCGGATCGCTTGTCGCGACTAAAGAACGACTTTATGCCCTTGGCCAGGTCCATCTTTAGACTGCTGCTACTGGGATTGGGGGCAGTGCTTGGTATGGGTTGTGGGCTGGCTGCGACTGTCACTGCTGCGGTGGCTGTGGCTCCATTGCCGTTACCCGGCAAAGATGGACTGATGGGTGGGCTCGACGGCTGCTCCACATGCTCGTTGGACGAGCGCTTGAGGATCGGCTTGGGCACAAAGTCTGGACTGGGCAGCGGCATTGGGCGAGTGAGCACAACAGCCGCCTGCTCCGGTGTGGGGGCGCGATAGGGTGTGAAGGTGCCAGCGCCCATGTTGCGAGGATGGTACGTCTCCAGATCGCGGGGGCTGGGCGAACGGGTGCGAGCCAACAGTTCCATCTTGAATTTCTCAATGGAGTCCTGCTCCGAGGAGGCTGTGCTCTCCGTGTAATCGGACCCCAGGTCGTAGCTAGACTGTTGTTTTCCCTGTTCTGGATAGTCCTCATCCAGTTCCATATTCATGTCTTCACTGTCTTCTGCCGTGCTCTCGGTCCGCTCTTCGTCGTCAAGCTCTTCCTGCTCCCGCATTTGCTGTGGTTTCTCCTCAGCCACAATCTGTCCCGTGGTGTGGGTGCGTGAGAGGCTGCTCAGATCGTTGACGTTCTCCCTTGAGTCCCACTTTCTGCCCATGCTAACCATGTCCGCTGATTGTCGGCGCAGCTCGCTTCTCCGCTCGAACGAGACCCGCTCCGCCTCTGTGATGGAGCCCAGGCGCTTGCGGAGATTGGCCGGCGGGACTGGCGCCTGTGTGCTGCTTGCTATTCTGTCCTGAGAGGCCTTTCTTGACTTGGCCGCTTGCTCAAGCTCTACCGCCTCGTAGAATCTAGCCATTGCCCGCTCATAGAGCAGCTCAGTGGAGCTCACTGAGCGACGCAGTGGGAAGGTGGTGTGCAGATTGTTGAACTCCAGAAATGCCAGATCTGGTGCGGAGATGGATATGGGCGGTGGCTGTATGGCGTCCTCCAGGTCGAGCTCGAAGGAATCCTGCTCTGTGAGGAGAACAAATGCAAATGGTAATGACTTGGACCACGGATGCACTCTGGGTATACCTACTGTCCTTATCCTTGACCTTGCTGTTCTTGTCGAAGACGACGAGCATGAACTCGTTACTGGTGTGCACCTCGTCGTGCTTGTCCGCTGACCTGAAGGTACGTCTCGAAACTGGAGAATCGTCTGGTCTCTGGTTGGCTTTGGGTTTGGGTTTGGGGGACTCTTCCGGAATCTGAACCGGAACTGTGGCTGCCGCTGTCGCTGTGGCTGTGATTGGTGGTGGTGGTGGTGGTGGTGCACTGATCTCAATGGTGGGCAGCCTCTCGCCAATCACCGCACTAGCACTGGCAGCCACTGCCAACGCCAGGGTGGGTACGTTTCTCGCCGGACTCAGGGCCTGGGCCGAGAATCGTCTCACATTCTGGTTAACTCCCAGTTGGACTGGCTCCGCACTGCGCTGCAGGGCTGGCGTTGACTTGATGACCTCTGGTGGGGGTGTTGGTTGCGTTTCGGAGTGCTGTCGCTTCGTTGGTGGACTCAGACTTCGTTTTCGGTGGAGAACCGATTTGGCAGCCTTTTCCGCAGGCGCAGTGGGCAGGGGCTGCGGCCGGGGCTGCAGTGGGGACCTCTCTTTGGCCACGATCGTGGGCTTGGCATGGAACAACTTGAGGGGTGAGCCAACTGGTGACTTCTGGGGCCTAGCCGGGGGCTCTGGCTTGTCCACCAGAGCGGTGGTGGTGATCAGTGTGAGGTTGAGCCTATTATTGGATCCAGCCGCCGGCTTTGCCAAGGAGTCGGCACTGCTCTGGGAGGGACTCTTGCGCACATCCATTTTCAAAGCCTGGTCCGAGGTGCCGTACGACATTTCATGGTGCAGCTGCTCGTTGTCGATGAGCTGAGGCTTTGGCTTGCGTTTGGCATTTGGCGACTGTTTGGGCGACATGCCCGTCGCAGCATCTGCATGGGGACGCGGTGGAGAGAGCGTCTTGCGACGTGGCGGCACTTGAACGGCGTCCGACTGGGGCTTATCCTTCTCCTCGCCTGCGATTTTGGTGGCAGACTTGGGCTTGGTGATGCCACGCTTGGGATCGGGTATGAAGAGCAGCTCCGATTCCTCGGATGGCTCACTCAGGCCATAGGGGTTCTCAGCCTTGACGCGAAACTTGTACTCCGAGCCCTCGATCAGATCGTGCAGAGTGGTCGTCAGGGCCCGCGTGGTGGCAGCCTTCAGCCAGACGTTCCAGCCAATTCGAAAGTACTCCACAATGTAATTGCCGATCTTGCAGCCGCCATCGTCCAGCGGTGCCGTCCAGGAGAGCGTTGCGGACTTGCCGAACGACATGTTCAGACGGGGAGCCCCCGGAGCATTGGGCCGTGCCGTTACCGTGACCAGAAAGGATGCGTTGTCCTCCCCCAGCTTGTTCCATGCACGTACCATGTACTCCCCGCGATCCTTGCGATGCACGTTGTCTATCTTGAGAAGAGAGTTTTTCTCCGTATTGGTGACCTGCAGTGAAGAGATCAGAAAACGGTTGCAGATAGGAGTTGAAGTGGAATGTTGAAAATACTCAAATACCTCGAATCGTCCACCAGGAGCAATCACGTCACCCTCATGGAGCCAGGTAATGGCCGGCGGCGGCTGTCCGGCAATGCCGACCTTCAGACGCAGCACCTCGTCCGCCTCCACAATAAGTCCGTCCTCGTAGGTGCGCGGCAAGCGAATCTTGGGTGGCGCCTGCACCATGAGACTGGCCTTGGTCACCACGTGGCCAGCTCGGTTCGTTGCCGTGCACTTGATTTCGCCCTCGTCCGTCAGTGCCACTTGGTGGATGATCAGAACACTGGCGTCGTTGTCGTTGACGATCTTGGTGCGTCGACTGCTGAAGATCTCGTAGCCATCCTTGAACCAGTTGATCTCCGGCGGCGGCTCGCCGAGAATGCGCACCCGGAACTCGATCCGCTCGTCCTCCACCGCATCAGTGTCCAACAGCTCGTCTATAAAGCGGGGAACAGTTATCGCGTTGCGCTGCAGTGTAACGGTCAGGGGATCAGACAGTTCGCTAGCGTCGGATCGTCCCACGATGTTCTCGGCAAAGCAGCGAAACTGGTATCGCCAGCCTGGCTCCAGTCCACTGATGCACACATCGCAACGGGAGACAGGCGTGGGTGTTGCACGCACCCAATGCGGCGAGCCCATGCGACGATGTTCTACCGTGTAGCCGGTGATTGGGGACCCTCCGTCGAGCAGCGGACGATCCCATCGCAGGTTGACCACATCGGGCTGCTGCTCCGAGAGCGACAGCGGCGTCAGTATGGGCCGACCAGGCGGAGAGGGTCGTTCTGAAAGCATAAGCAAGCATAAATGATGCACAGAAAACTATGCCCTCTCTCAGCATCGATGACTCTCTCTCTCTCTGTCTCCATAACCAACCCGTAGCCGTAGTTTCGAAAACATTACTTTGTCGTTTTTGAAATTTTAGGCCAAACATTCACACAATCACGGACCAGACCACGGCAACCACTTGAGTGTGCGAGCCGCTAAAAATAGACAAATTTCTAGCGCTCCCACCAGCTATGTGGGCTCCGTCTGCTCTGATTCCCATCCGAATATGCTTTCTATCGGACTATACGGACTGTGATTGGGAATACTTTTGGATATGTTTCTGAAGTTATGCTGAAACTTGCCTGCAGACTTCCAATGGACATTCTTCTTGGGTCGACCGCTCTGTGCATGCGCGTGCAGCTTTCCCGGCTGATTTCCCATCTCGAGCTGCTAAATATTTAACCTATTTGCAATTACTTGTACATATATAGACGTTTCTATATATAGACAGTCGAACTTAAATGAAGACACTCCACTCGCGGATTCGTCGAGAGACCGTTGCTGGCGCTGCCAGACTCGACCAACTCGGGTTCCGGGTGGATATCGGAAAATATCGGTGCGATACTGTACGATATATTTAACAGAGTAGCAATGTGCTATTTCCTATCGATATCGGAATGGACGCAGAATCGACGTTTGCACTGGTATATTTTGGTATATTTCTGAGGGTCAGACGCGTATATTTTATCAATAAGCCCGCGGTCATACTGTTCACTGTTCTGCTTTAACTTTTTTCCATGTCTTTTTCTCTATTTATTTTTGTGCCAAGTGTTAGTTTTTCGTTCAATATAATTGCAATTTGTAGCTTGTGCTGAATCAAATCAATCCAATCTGTGTTGTGTTCACTATATTTCTGTGTACAAGCGTGTCCAAACGGCATAGATATGCCCTGCCACCCTTGGAATGTCTGGAATCCTGTGTAAGGTACTCATGATTATAAAAACAATCATTGTATTTTGGAAAAGCCGCAGCGGTGCAGCTGCCCAATTGTGACAGGTGCAGCAACGTCTGCGGCACGGCACGGCACGCGCACATATTCGCTCACGCACACACACACACAGCTATACCCATCCCTGTTTGAGAAAATCTACAAAAAACAGCAACAACAATGGCTGGTACGGCCGCGGCGACGCCAATGGAAATTGATGAATTCATAAATGGAGCACTCGTTTCTTGGGTGAGTAGAGTGAATAAACATGCCCAATATCTACTTCAAAAGTGGGCTATGTGCTTGGCATAAGTAATTCAAGTGTTCTGTTCCCAAGCCAAGTAATTCCCATGGGCACACACACGAACAGTAGCAACAAAGAGAATAACCAACCTGCTCGCTCGCTCGCATAGGCTTCCGCAGCAGCAGAGCACAGCACTCACCTGGTTGCTGCTAGCTGGTAGCAAGGTCATTGTAACTGGCTTACGACAGCTTACGGTAGAACTTTAATGCTGTTATATTCGCAGTGTGCTTTGTTTGCATGTTCGTGTCCGCTCATGGCTCTGCTCTGCTCCGTTCTCCATCTGTAATGGTTAACTTCTCTTTTTCTGCTCACCCCAGCTGGAGTCATGCCTGCCACGTGCCGAGCTTCTTGCCGGTTACACCTCGCTGCTAGATGGCCATATCATACACAGCGTTTGGCTCCAAATCGACCCGGAGCCGCAAAACAATCCCAGCGAGCTGACCGAACTGAGTGGAAAAACTTTGAGTGTGGCTAGGGCCAAGAACTTTGAGTGCATTGTTCGGAATCTGAAATCCTTGTTCGAGGAAGAGCTGGGTCAGACCATACTGGCCCTGCCCGACGCTGTCACGCTGGGCTACCATCCGGAGAGTAGGAGCGGACTGGAGCAAATGAAAACGCTGCTCACTCTGCTCCTGGGTGCGGCAGTGCAATGCCCCAACAAGGAGCTGTTTATAGCGCGCATCAAGGAGCTAGATCTGGAGACGCAGCATGCCATTGTGGCACTCATCAAACAGGTGACGGACAGCCACAGTCTGGTCCTCACCGAAGACTCGCTGGAACGGCTGTCGCCGCAGAACATGTACACGCACATCCTTCGCCTGACCAAGGAGCGAGATGTCATGTATTTGAAATGGATTGACCTGGTGTGCATGGAGCCCGAGATGACGGCCGGCGAAAACCTGGCGGAGTGCGGCCAAGGGGGTGTCAGTGTGTCGCGTTCGCCCTCGAACGGAACGGCCACCTCAACACCCTCATCGTCATCGAACTCTGAGAGCAATCACCTGGCAGTGGAGTGTGCAGACCTCAGATCGAAGAATCGCAAGCTTCGCCAGGAGCTGTATGTTGAAACGTTTTCCTTGGCTTCCCTCCTGATTGATTTGCTAATAAAGATTACTTTTACAGGGAGGAAAAGTCGGAGAACCTTCTGGAGCTGCGGGAGGAGCTGGACGAAAAGAAAGTGCGGTTTGACAGGCTGCGGCAGGAGAGTCAGGATTGGTTTTCAGAGGCTAAACGGGCATCTGCTTATCGCGACGAGGTGGACATCTTGCGCGAGCGAGCTGAGCGGGCCGATCGGCTGGAGGTCGAAGTTCAAAAGTATCGTGAGAAGCTCGGCGACTCTGATTTCTACAAGTCTCGTGTGGAGGAGCTGCGCGAAGACAACCGTGTGCTGCTGGAATCAAAGTATAAGCAATCAGAATTAGAAATTATTTTTACTAACCAAATGCATGTCCCTTAGGGAAATGCTGGAGGAGCAGTTGCAACGATACCGTAAGCGTTCGGAGCATGCCATCTCCCTGGAGTCTGAGATCATAAAATACAAGCAAAAACTAAATGACATGGCCCTGGAACGGGATGTGGATCGCTCGAAGCTGGAGGAGCTGCTGGAGGAAAATGCCCAGCTGCAGCTGGTGGCAAGGAATCTGAACTCGACGCACGAGGGCGACAAATCCTTTTCAGAGAACGAGGATGATTGCAACTCGGGGGACAACAGTCTGTCCGAGCAGCTCACTAACAATGCTCAGACGCGTGCCCTAAAGCTGGAGCTGGAGAATCGGCGGCTGACTGCCGCCTTGGAGCAGCTGAAGGAGAGCAGCTTTCACGAGTCTACCAACAAAATGTTGGAGCTGGAAAAGGAGAAAAAGAAGCTTTCGCTGAAGATCGATCAGATGCAGGAGAACATTCAGAGGCTAAACCAGCAGAATGTGGAGCTGGAGGGCGTGTTCAAGAATGCCTTGGAGGAGAACAAGAAGCTGCAAGACGCCGTGGACAGTCGCCAGAAGAGCTACGATCGCCAGAGCCTAGAGCGCGAAGTGGATCGCCAGAGGCTGGCAGATGCCGAACAGCACGCCGAGACCCTAAACAAGGAGAAGCAACGCATACAAACGCTCAATGAAAGCATTCAGCGGCGAGCGGATGACCTGGAGCGGCTGGCGGAAAGCAAGAGTAAGGAGCTGGAGCAGCATTCCGAGAAGACAAAGCAGTACGAGCAGACCAAACAAAGACTCTACGACATCGAGGCCAAAGTTTCTGCCTACGAGCGGGAGAATGCCAGTCTGCTCAAAGAGGTATCCAAACTTAAGGAGGGCAGCGAGGAGAAGTCCGTTCAGCTCGACCAAAGCATCAATCGACTGGACACGCAGACCAAAGAGATTATGAGGCTCAGCAAAGTGCTCGAGGAGACGGAGCAGGTACAGCAGAAGCTCATTGAGTTGGAGAAACAAAACCAAGAGCTGGCATCGCAACGAAACATCGATCAGGAGATGATTAACACGCTACGCGAGGACCTGGTCACTGGCACTCTGGTGACCAAGAAGGTGCGACACAATCTGGAGAAACTCGGCCTCACCGACAGCGAACCCGCAGAACTGAATGTGGAGCATGTGGTTGAGAAACTGGTGCGCAATCCAGAGACCTTTAAAACGGTGCGTGAGATTATGTTGAACGTAACACGCGAGCAGCAGGGGGAACGCGATGATGGGGAGGGTGAGGGTGGCCTAAAATCGGACATGTGTGTTCTATGCCATCGGCAAGAGATCTTCACAGTGGAGAAGAACATTGAGCTGGCCCCGTCCAGCTCTTCTCAGGAACTGCGCTTTGAGCACAAGCCTAGGCCGAGTCCTGTCCGGGAATCCGCCGAGCTGGTCCGTGTGAAGGATTGCAACACTCAGCTGCAGACCGAAAACGCCCGCCTGAGTGTGGATGTGGCTGCTTTGGGCTCACAGATCACTTCCCTGAATACCCAGCACGTGGCCCTGCAGCTGGCAAACTCCCAGCTGGCCGCGGAGAAGGACACGCTGCTCAAAGACATCGACTCCCTGCAGCAGGTGCACAAAAATGCGCTGCAAGATCAGGTGACACTTCAGTGTCTGCACGACCAGCTCTCCGCTGAATACGAATCTCTGAACAAGGACAAGGAGCAGCTGAAGGCAGCGGTTCGAGATTTGCGCCAGGAGTTGCGCGACACCCGCGAACAGCAAGCGGCTTTGGAGCAGCGTATTGAGGAGCTCACAGCTCAAAATGGCAGCATGAAGAACTGCAGCGAGGATCTCTCTATCTTGCGCACCGAGCACTCGAAGCTCACCGATGACTTCCGCAATCTGTTTGCCACCAGCGACCGCTTCAAGAACGAATACAAGAACATCCAGGAGCAGTACAAAATGGTACGCATGGAGCACAGCAGCCTCAAGCTTCAGAACACGGAGCTCACGGGAGAGCTCAACACGAAAAGTGATCAAGTGCGTCTGCTGCAAATGGAGTACAGCAAGGTTCAGCAGCGCTGTGAAGTAAGTATCAACCGATCAGCTGTGTATTTTCCCTGGCATCATGCAATGGCATGGCAATCATGACACTCACTTTCAGATGCTCATACAAAACAACGGCGATCTGGACTCTGAGCGCAAGGCACTAATGGACAATGTTTCGCAGCTGCTCTCCCAGTATCAAGAGCTGTTGGCCATTTCCCTGGAGGACAAGAAGCATTTTCATGAGGAAGAGAAGAACTACACCGAGCGGGTGCACAGTCTCAAGCGGCAAAAGGAGAAGCTTGAGGAGAAAATCATGGAGCACTATAAAAAGTCCGAGACGACAGTGCATAAGAAGTGAGTGCTGCCACAAGGCCAAATACACTTGTAATTCGAATTTTCTAATGGTTTCCACCAACCCTCCCCAAGAAAACCCTTTGCCATCAGTCTGGTACGCCGTGTGAAGAAGGCTAGCTCCGATCTAATGAACAAAGTGCCCAGTCGAGTAGGTTTGAGCAGAGAGTAGCCCGTGAAAGACGCTGAACATTGAAGAATTCTCATATGATTTGTTTTGCAGAACCGTCGCTCCTGGGTAGATGATGCTCGTACCAATTCGCAATTTGTTATTGGGTCCGAGTCGGGTGGCAACGAATCGGACAACAGCAACGAAGAGCCCCTGTCCATTGCCTCCGATACGCATTTGCTGCAGCGAAACATACCACTTCGTCAGAGCCTGCAGCGGTAAGCACGCCCTTCCGATACGATTCGAATCGAGTACATATAAGGTTTATTGGATAATATAATGTTGGGGATGTGGATCTTATTCTATTTACATGTACATATACACACAACAACCCGCACACCACCAACAACGCACCACCACACGCACAATACAAAAATCGAACACTCCTCGAGTAGGGATTTGCTGGATAACTCGATCCAACGTGGCGGCGCCGTGCGTAGTAGCTTGCAGGCACAGAAACGTACGGATTTGAATAACTCACGTAGAAATAGCGTGCACGGGTATGCGCTTTTACATGTGTAACAATCTCTCGTACCTCTTCCTACTACTACTACTACTACTGTATCCCTATTTCCCATTTCCCATACCCCAACACTTCCACTGCCCTGTCGCTGTCGTTGTTATTCGGTCACCTCATAATTTAAATGAAAAGCTAACATTTCGCTTTGGAATTGCAGAAGCCTTGAAGCGCCAGACGTGACTGGCAGCAGCCTAACCCTAGGCACAGCCGGCTCCCGTCGCACTGTGTATCTCATTGACGAACACCAGAAGTTACCCGACGGCTCCAGCCCTGGATCTAACGCCCAACAGCAGCAGTCGGCCAGCGCCAGTGGAGCCAGCAGTGCCGGAACACCAACGCCCAACGCAGAACCTCAGACCCCACAAAAGAATAACGACAACAACTGCAACAGCAGTAGTTCAGGCCCAGCCACGTTCCTCATGTACAATCGCATCAACACCACGATTGGGGGAGCATCCACGACTACAGACCAAAGTCCGCTGCTACCAGCTGCGGCCAGTGGCAGTGAAAGGGGAAGTGTCTCTGGCACTCCCACTCAAGATGATAAGTCTGGCCGAAAACGAAGCGAGGACAAGAGCAATAGCATCTGGTATGAGTACGGCTGCGTCTAGAAATACAAATATATAATCAGTATACACACGTCCACAACTTGAACTTGAATTTAAATTGAATGCATTTGCTGACGAAGTATTATTTCGTTTTAGACATTACGAATTTATTTTTACTAATTTACTAATATTAGAACATCGATGTTGCCTTAAGCTTAAGTAAGTGGAACGAGTATAAAGTGCTTCTTAAACTGCTATGTTTTACCTTAAGAAATGTTTTACAATTAGCTTATGTACTATACCTATACCTATAGCTATGCCTTTACCTATATATCTATAGTTTGTATCTATTTATGTAACTGATAAACTCTGAAACAAGCAAGACTACGCGGCAACTTTGCGAATTAATGACTACTACCCAGTTTACACCTTTATACACATAACAAACAATTAGCTATACCTTATACGATGCCCACTTTCGTTGATAAGAACTATTTACTAGCAATATGTACACATATGTATCTATTTAGCGTACTCGAATCTATGTATTCCTATAAATTGTATACTACTATGCTCGTACCCTGCTAAACAGCTCAGCTAACAAATGCGCCTTCAATTTGTGAATATATTTTTATATAAATTACGTGTAGCCTTGTTCGTTCGTACGACTATTTATTGATGCAGCAGAGCCTGATGATAGCGCAATAAAAACATGCATAAATATATATATATGTATATCTCGTAGTGTGTGTGTGTTTTGGGCAGCCTTTTAAGATAAGAATTACGATGATGTTCTCGAGCTACATATAAGATAAATCCTCTGCTCACAGCATTTTAGTATGAATAACGATTAAAGACAAAAAACATGTGGTTGAAGGCGGTAATTCTAGTTCCACTGGTAACTATCCTGGCCAAGCCCACTCCTGGTGCGGATTCTTAGCTACAATTTGTGGCTACATATTTTCCTCAATTCAAGATTTTTGCCCAATACGCGGCGTCCACTTGCGGAGTGTGTCAGACGGTCAGCCAAACGGCGTGCCATAGTGAAAACACCTTTTCCGCATGCATGTCAGGTTAGTATACACAACATGCATAGATGTATCTGGGGAATCGTAAATAAAAGCATAATTTCACTTCCAGGAGTCCCACTAAGTGATATAATTAACTGCCCGCCCAATTACTTTTGCACCGATGGTAAGTACACTTGCTATGAGAATGCTGACCCAGTATGCAAAGCGGATGAAGCAAGCACAACAGTGAAGCCTTGGACTGCTGAGGAAGGCTGCCAGCAAGCCACAAAATCGGGCTTTCAAACAAACGAAAATGATCCCACATGCACTACGTAAGTACATATTCTGAAAGAGTTACCGCCGAAAGAAAACTAAAACCCCAACCTATTCACAGTTACCTGTATTGCTCAGTCGCAGCGGATGGCACTTTCGAAAGCGCTACAATCATGAAATGCAAATCTAACCAATACTATGATGCGTCCTTACCAGGATGTACGTCCACAAAACCCGATGGGTGTACTGCAGTGGCAACCGAACCACCGACAACCACTCAAAAACCTTGGAGCGCTGCGGAAACCTGCCTAACAGTGACAAAATCTAGTACATTTGTGAACGAAGATGATCCCACATGCGCCACGTAAGTATATATTTTTAGTAGTTCGACATAAGCTCTAAACTAAACTGCATATTTTCTTACAGCTACCTTTTCTGTTATGTTTCAAATGGAGTAGCTACGCCGCTGATCAAAACTTGTCCAGCAGCGATTCCCTACTTTGATCCGATAACGCAATGCAGTGCCACGAAACCAGACAATTGTACATAAAAATACGGTTTCAATTATATTTTTGTACCCAGTTGGGTATTGATGTATCTACTTTCCGAGTTTCTTGAAAAGGCCAACTTATCTGGGTCAATTCCAGCGAAAATACTAATTACGCTTAGCATGATATCATTAAATGTGAAACCTAAATAAGTCCGCCATAAAAGTTTATCAGTGTACCATGGTGCGAAGAGATATAAAAGACCATATAGATTAAGAATTTCAGACTTATAAGACCACTCTGTGGCCTGTTCTAAGTTGCCATACTGCAAAGTTAAGTGGTAGGAAAAAGATCATCATGTGGGCGAAGCTTATTTTATCACTAGTGAGTAGCAAGGATAGGCCTGGGGACGTACATCTTAAACATTTTAAATATTAAATATTGCAGCTTCTGGTGCAATGCTTGGCTGCACACCCAGCACCCGAATTAGATGACCAAATCTCACAGGAATGGAGTGCCGAAAAGACCTGCCTGGATGTGACTAAATCGGCTTCATTTGAAAATCAAAACGATCCCACTTGCGGCAGGTAAACAGTGATATTTTTCTGTACCTTTTCCAAACTACGAAACTAAACTCTTATTTGACTTGCAGTTACGTCTTTTGTTATGTGTTAAATGGAGAAGCTAGGCCGCTGATCAGTACCTGTAAAGAGTCCTTGTATTATGATGCAACATTACACTACTGCTCTGCCACAAAGCCGCAGGGATGTATATAGTACAGTGTACAAGAAGCGAGTTCCCCTAAAATCGCCTAGCCCCCACCATTTTATTCAACAACATGGAAGAGATTTCCCTTCCCACTAAATAATATTCTTGGGCAATTAACATATTGGAATTTAAACAAAAACAAATGTATCTTTAATTTGACCGTTTTTAAGCAACTCGCGGGGCGCTCGGCCTGGCATGAGTCGGTATCAGAGTTGTAAAATTCATTGGTGTTGCAGAAGTATAACCAACCCAGGTAATCTAAGCTCAATTTAAAGCAATACACCTACCTGAAATTGGAAAATTTCGTACATTAATAATTCCCATTTAACGCAAAATCAACAATAAAGCTAGACTCACTGTCTGCAGGTTGAATCACTCTCCACCCGAAAGTATCCATTTTGTCGTAACGTTGAACAATAAACATCAACATTTAGTGGAGATATCGTATCATCAGGTACACAAGAAGGCTGAAAGAAGTGAAATGCAATGCGAAATTGTCACGGAAAATAACGAATGAAATCAAATCACTCACTGAGGAGGTCTTTTGGGGAGAACCAATTTTGACCAGCGTGCAAAAATTTGCTTCGGGACACGAAGTCGACCGTTTCCCGGTTAAAGCAGAATCCATAGCTGGTCTCGTTTACGCACGCATAGTGTCTATCTGTCTATAGATTCAATTCTGTCTGTCTGAGTGCACAATTTGAGCAGCCAGCGGATCGACCGAGAGCCGTTTGGAGAAACGGGAAAGAAATGTGTGAAATTGACTTTACTATTAGCTTTACTCACTTTTAAAATAATATTTGCACGCATGTCTATTTAGCGCGAAGGTCTAGTTTCTTGTCATCGAGGGCAGATCTTCTGCCAATCCGTTTTATAGGAGTCTAGGCTTAGCAGAAGTGGGTGTGGTTTGCTTACATAAAGATAAGAAAGATACACGCTCAAGGTTCTGGACCGAACCCCAAATTATTCGGGCCGCTAAAACCATATTCGGCAGTGCTGACGAAAGTGCTAAAAATGTGATGTCTTCCGAGATCGCGGACCATTCGTAAAAGATTAGTTACGACGAAAAGATGTACAAGTGCGTTGTTCTGGTGAGTGCTTCCAAAGTGGTCATAATGAGAGAGATTGTTTGACTTGTTGTGTCTGAACGTTTAGTTGGTCCTTGTGGCGCTGCAGGGGAGTTTGATCTGGTCTGCCTGCGATGTGTGCCAGTCTAATGGGGCCGCTTGCATAAATCAGACCTCGTACAACCTGTGCTTTGGCGGCAGCAAGCCCAATACCGCACAGACCTTCACGTGCACGGATGGCCTGGTCTGCACAGATCAGCCAATTATTTGCTTCCAGCGCAGCGAAACTCCGGCCAGCTGCGGCGATACCGATAGCTGTGGCCAGTGTGGACCCAACTACACTTTCGCTTGCACCTCCCGTTCCACGTTCGCCTTCTGCTTCGGCGCCACCAAGCCTACGAACGTTACCGGCAGCTGCCCCACAAGCTACTTCTGCGATGCCTCTACCCAGGAGATTTGCGTATCGAAGACTACAGATGATTCGATCATATGCCATTTGGACAACCCCATCGTACTCTAGAAGCTAATTTTATATATTTACATGCAATTTTAAAAGTATGAATGGAAAAGTAAACGAAATAAAACGCTAAATAAGGCTAAAAATCGATTGAATCATCAACATCTTCCGATTCTTTGCTGTTCAGCCAGGAGCGTGCAATCCTCAGCGAGGGCAATCTAAAGCGCCACTCCTCGCAGCAATGCTCGTATATATTTTCGCCCAACTGCAGCAGCTCTACAGCAAAGCGCCGCTCGTCATCTTTCCAGTTACGATCCTCGGCTCCACCGAACATTTCCATGCGCACCAGAGCGGCCACAGTGGGTCCCAGATACTTCTTTATGCCGTTGTATAGCTGCGGCTTAGTCATGTTTGTCGAGGAGCTTGACGGTTGAGCTCTACTGGTGGATGGTATGGACGCCTGCTTCAAGTGCGCATTCTCTTCTGAAAGCTTTAACATCTCTAACTTTAGTTTGTTGTATTCCAGCTGAAGTTGGCATTCCTTCGACGTTGATAGCGTTTGCATATCTGATTCAGGAACGGCAGTATCTTCTTCTTCACCCACAGTCATTTCCAGACTTTGCTCTATGGGAAACGAGGGTTCCTCAATTATTGGGCGTGAACTGATTTTACTAATAATTGGCTTGTAAATTTCCTCTGTTTGCGTTTTCAATCCATTTCGAGGCAAGTCAATTATTCTTGGTGGAATTTTAGTACTGATTTGGTGCTCCTGCTCCTGCTCTGTCCTCAAAGTCACCATCCGCCTTTTGATTGCTCTCTCTGGCAAGCTTGTAGCAGGTCTCTTATTTACCAATCGATCCAAGCTAATTACGTCTTCAATGGCATCCGTATCAAATCCAAGAGGACACTCAAATCCCTCTGGTGGTTTCAGATGTGCTGAGATGGGAGAAGGCAGTTTTACAAGCATTGCCTCGCCGTTCTCGTCGATAGATTCAAAGTCCCACGCGAGATCCTTGTTCACTCGCATCAACGTCGGCGTCTGCTTGGCAATAAGTCGGTCCATTTTATAGTTCATGAAGCACTCAAGGCGAAAATGACGTGCACACACAGCCCGGTTGGCCAGCTTACCATGAGATACTTTTAAAATCTCTTCATTGGCGCAAATTTGTAGCCATTTCTCCAATTGTCGCGGGTCACGTACGGGAAACTTGAAGAAGTGCATGGATGGATTGCGGTTTGAAGAGACTTTACAATCTCGAAAAGTGCAACGAGTGCCGCCCATTGTACATTAATTATGACTTTTAATGTGACATTTACTTTTTGCAATGAGCGGATTGCTGCAAGAGACGAAACAAACAGAGGGTTAGTTAGAGATGATAGACCGCCGTTGGAGGAGTGTGTGCATAAAGTGTGGCAATTAAGAGTTTCGCGTATCTACCAGATGCAGATATAAGCAAGATACACTGTGCACCAGAGGCATGCTGCATGCTGCTGCCCAGATTGGACTGCATTAAAAACGTGCGTTTTCCTCAATGGGTTCTCCCATTCCCCGTCCCCGCCCCTTCATCAATAGGGGAAACTCGTGACAAGGCATTTTCCAAGCCACTAATGAGTGGATGGAGTGGGGAGAGAGAGAGAGAGGTCTCCAACCTTATTGGGGATCCTCTCCCCTGCAGTAGAATGCACATCCGATCGACAGGCAGCAGCAGCCTTTTATTTCTGCTGAGATTTTAGTTTTTTGCGCCAGAGCCAAAGCCAAAAGTAAACTTTCTCCTTTAATAGGGGGGACCCATACCCAATACCCAATACCGATCCACATCCATTGAATGGCCATTTATTAGCCGCGCTGGGCAACAGTACAGTTTTTCCTATAGATGGAAATGGAATTTCCTTCTCCAAATGGCGGCTGCTGCTGCAAGATGGGTTATTGTTATGGCTAGGTCTCATTTTCATTGCCAGCTCCCCACAGGCGGCGGTTAATGAGGCAAGTTGTTTGGTTGGATTTTGGGATTGGTGCCAAACAGAGAGAGAGAGGGAGAGAGAGAGAGAGAGATAATCCTCTGACATTTGAAATATTTATGGTTCGCTGCATGAGGCATTCCTAGACAGTAGCAACTCGGTCTATGCCATTCTCTCAGTAAATCAAATCAATCACTTGAAGCGTTGCGGCTGATCTTTAATCTAATCTAAGCATATTGCTTTAGCACTTCCATTGATCATCTCTGTCGCTGCTCAGCGCTGGTTCTTTGTCTTGCCAAAGATTCAATCCACATATTTCGAAATGCCGCTGCCGCACATTTGTCTGCTGCCGTTATACGATGTTTCACAAAAGTCGCGCCAACTGAATCTCCCGCATTAGTGACCAGCCAACAGACATGGCTTGGCATGGCGACATGTATGGGTATATTCTGGATTCTGGATGTTGTATCATTTCCCCCAAAGTTATCTCACAGCGTGAGTCAAGAAGTTGGGGGCCTGGCTTTGGCACTTATACCAGAATATGGTACGAATACGAGTGAGTGTATATTACGGCTTGGCGGGAGTTTTTTTTTTTATAGCGACGGCCAACATTTAAGTACCGCTAAGAAACAAGTTCCACTGTTTTCGATGTTTGGCAATGAAAAAAAAAGGAAAGAAAGAAAAACGAAGCGCACTTACACTTTTACAAGCACTGCCAGGGGTTTACTTTACGAGGAGGATAAAGGACATTCAACTGGGCAGCTGGTTTGGCCAGCACTGTTTGCCCTGCGCCCGTGTTTTTACAATCACTGCACACGTGTGTGTGGCTTGGGGTTTGGTGAGCACTTTGCGAGCGAAAAACGCACCGAACTGCACGCGACAACCAATGAAAGACGCAGATTTTTTGCTGCTGCAGGTCCAAGCATAGGATAGGTGGTCCCAGCAGTGCAGATCCGAAATCCGAAATCCAAATCTGAATCCGAGGCAGAGGCTTCGTTTGCGTTTACGTTTGCATTTTCGTTGGTGTTTTCGGCAGGTATGGTATGTAAAAACAAACGAGGCGAGACCTGCTGACAGCTAATTGGGGAAAATTTTAAGTCAAATTTATTAATATTTTTTGTCATCGAGGGCAGGGCACTATCGATAGTATCGATGTTTTGCTGCTATCCGCTACTTTCGACGGTTTTGCGACTATCATGTTAGTATCGAGCTACAGTTCTTGCGCTTCTGATATGTTTGGATTGGCTGCTATAAAATACGAAGACAAATTTTTAAATAAATCGACAGGTGGCATCTGATTTTTACAATGGACAAGTTCCCAAAAGGTTTCAATGGTTTTTTATTAATTATTTGAGCCCGATACTATTACGACAGTATCGATTGTTTTTTCAAAACATTCAAAACTATCGATGGCTCAACTATCAATCGTTTGACAGCTCTAGTTTCAATAAAATATATCGCTGACCCACAGAAATATATCCAAATATTATCAAAAAATACCGCAAATATACTGACGGCCACGATAAGACGTTGATATTCCTCGATTTTGATATTCCGTTTAATAGTACAAGCTAGTTGGCCCTCTCAGCCCTAAACAAATAATTTTTTATCCGATTTATCAATCAATTTTGTACAAGACTGGCTATTTTTTAGAACTCCTTTTCATTGGATTGTTTACATAATAGGGTTCAAACAAAAACGGCCAAAGCATACAACGTAAATGTTGACTAAATGTGACGTCATTGTTGCTGGTCAACCAAGTTTCTTCTATGCGTGTGGGCTTGTGTATACCGTATTTCCTTTAATTGATGTTAAATTTATTGTTCCAAGCTGCTTTGAAACATTAATATTGCATTTTTCTTAGATTGATATGTTTTAACCTATTAATGCATATGTTTTGTGTTTTATAAATACATTTATCCCGATTCCGATACCGATTGGTACCCGCGAGCTGCAAAATATCTTTAAATAGAGACAGAAACAGAGACTGAGTAGCTTCTGCATTAATTGGAGCATGATATTACAAACAATATCTCAGGTCCATAATATCCATTTTCCCAAGGTATTCAGATTTGTTGCCCATTTCGTGCCAAAGTTGCATGACAATGCTTCCAATTAATTTCCACATGTTGCTGTAATTGTTCCCATACAAATCAAATGTATATTACGGAACGCGCAACAATGAATCTACATTCCAAATAATCAGCACCAACCAATTGAAAAGGTTGAAATTCAGGTACAGTTTCAGTATTTATTGGTAAACGGGAATTATTTTCATCTCATTTTTCAAATGTCGCGTGCGTCAAAAATTTGCCATAGATAGATACCTTTTCGCCTGGAGAACTACGAACTTTTACTATTATTTTAAGCTACTACTTGCTTAAGTTTTACATGTATTGGACATACAATTGCTTGGTTAAAAAATGAGTCAAGTGAAGCATATTCTAGCGTTCCTATTTTTAGAAAACTTTATTTTTGTGATCAGAGAAAGTTAGGTATTGACGTGGGATCTTGTTAAATTTGAGAAACGTACATTTATATTTATCTTGAGAGTCCGCCAGATCCATTTGGCGATATAAATCCCCGCCAGACCCGACTTGGCCTCCACTTAGCCAGACTTAGCCAGACGGCCTTCAATAATAAATATTTTCTTTTTGTACCCAAAAAATACTTTTCGATGTAAAATCCGTTACAAAAGTAACGGTTTTCCTGACGCGTATTCAACTTTCAGCCAATCAATTCTTTCGAAATTTTCTGTAAACATTTGGAGTGGTTTTCTGGGCAAAGTCCAAAAAATGGACGACCATGAAACAATAAAATAGGGCCTCACAAATCCGCTGAGTACCACAAAAATATCCATTGATAATTTTTTAAATCATATCATTAATAATAACGATAAAGAAATTTAATTCCTGCTACGGTTCCCGTTAAGAACATGTGGCTCACACAACCAAAAGGTTGGTAAGTCACCACGAAAACGCTCTCTTCACCTCGGAAAAGAGAGCAAATTTTAAAAAACCACCACGATTTCAGAGCGAATAATATCGATATTTTTTTACGATAAATAGAGATTGGCGGTCATTTTGAAAAGTATCTTAATATATTGAAAAATAATTATTTGATTTGATTTGTTTTGTCGCTGCTGTCCAGTGTGACTGGAACCTCAGAAATATACCAAAATATACCTTCTCACCAAACCCCGTTCTACTTAAACATTTAAAATATTAGAAATATAAGAAAAATGCAATATTAATGTTTCAAAGCAGCTTGGAACAACAAATTTAACATCAACTAGTAATATTAGTAATATTAAATCGAATATCAAAATCGAGCAATATAAACACATTTTGTCAGTATACATACATATGTGCTGTATATTTACGGTATAGTGAAATGAACTGGGGTTTATTGTTTATTAATAAATACATATTAAAATTGACTTAAGTAATTGACTTAAGCTGTGCTCAACAATGCCAAAATAACATTCGTCTGGTGCCTTTATGTAAGGATAAGGGGCTATGTTGCTTATATTATTCTATTAGTATGGAGTAAATATACGAAGTCTTAATTTAACTTTTATTTTTTTTTCGATACATTATCCATATTTTAGATTCAAATTTTACAAAAATCCCTCGATATTATATAACTTGAATGTTTATTTGGAAAAATGTTCATTGGTTGAAACCAAAAATCCCGTTAGGTCCCCGAATTTCATTGGTTAAAATTTTAAATCAAATGCCTTAGGGTGCTGTAGTGGGTTTTATGCTTTGAATTTTGTGATTCATATTTCACACCTCATACCCTTATCCATTCACCGCAATCAAAAGTTCAACTTCAAGATCAAAACTTGAAACGTGGAATTACCGCTAAATTACAAATAAATAAAAAATTATAATACGAGTAATCAATTTTATGAGATGATTAGTTATACGGAGTGGTCCCAATTCTATCTCCAACAAGACGCTAGGCCCAAAATTTATTGTAAAAATAAAAGAACTGCCTCTCGGAGCGTTCGAACCAGGTTTTGTGGAATTTTTACTAACAAATTCAATTCCTTTTTTTTTGCGCGCGCTAATAAAAACAAAATAAAAAATACCGAACAAATTCAACTATTTGTAGAAAATGTATAGTTAGCGTGTAGATTACCTTGTAGATACCATGTAAAAAATGGACATTTTTGCTGACCTTTGTTCAAACCTTATTCTATAAGTAATCCAATTAATGGCAGTCCTTAAAATAAGCCAAATTGTAGAAAATTGATTCATCTATCTGATATATTGATATTTTCAGTTGTTTAAGTCCTAGCTAACCAGTCATATTAAACCGAATATCAAAATCTAGGAATATCTACGCAGCTTATCGTCTCACTCAGTATATTTTGATAATGACGGTATATTTCGGTATATTTCTCCTCTGAACAACTCTGGGCGAGCACCGGAAATAGTAGCCCTGGAGTCTCGAAGCCTCTAGAAACCTCTAGAACATTCTACGGGGGTTGGTTTTTTCTATAAAAGCAGGCGGTGTGACTGGTGCCGGCTCGAGTCTTGAAAAATTTTCGTTCGTTGAACAAAAGGTGCGTTTGGAGCGCAGTGAAAAGTGAATTTATTCTGCACAAATCGAAGTGAAAATACTTATATTTTTATCTGTTTGCTGTGAAATTAAAACACACTCAAGGTAAGCTGTTACGATGAAAGTGCATTTATTTAACGAAATGTGCGGTGGCAGTGGCTTGCGGGGCGCGTGTGCTGCTGAAAAGTTCTTGACCCAAATGCAGAAAATCAATAGAATCTTTGAAATTCCTTGCAAGATCTTATAATCGGAGAAAAAGGCCTTTTTTGCGCCCAGTTATAGCCACGAGCTGTCAAAAAGTAGCTTCACGCCTCGCACACCTACACACGCACACAGTGAAAAATTATGCCGGCAGTAATTTGTGCTCTGCGCGAATTTTCTGGAATACCGGTTAAGCTCAGGCTCTAACTTAACCTTTCCATTCCCATCAAAGGCTGTTTAATTAAAAATTCACATAGCTTAATTTTGTTGGCACACGTGCTTATTTTTTTCTCGATTAAATTCAGTCTTTTGCACATGCCATACACACGCACAGACACATGCGAATGTGCAACTCATGCATACAGTCATGGATGGCCATCTTCGAGAAAATTCGAAAACGTGAATCAAACTCTAGGCATGAATCGAATTTCTAAGAGTTGTCATCAGAAAGGCTTTGTTTCCATCTGGTTCTAGAAATTTCCATTTGCGTTCTTGGATGCTCCATGCTCATTTAACTCAAACACATGCATACGCATGTGTATGCACACGCTGACCACAAAATACTTTAGCCGTACATCAAACGGTCGTCGTCAAGGAGAATTTTTCTTCTATAAAATTTCAATTAGTAGGGCTTTCTGGGGATGATGTACACATTGGACAACCCTATGCGTTCTAGAAACTTCCAAAATATGTTAACTCGATGTACAATGGGTACATCCCCATGCGTGCGTGTGTATGCGTGCTTGCCAACTGTAATGTATGCGTGTGTGCGAAAGAGAACAGAACAAAGGAAGAGGCGTCTGCCATTTTGAAATAAATAAATTTTTGCTGGTGTGGAGGGGGGGAAATTATTATCGAAAATGGTCAGCTGGAAAATGCAGCTGCATATTTATTGAATTGTGACTAATTCTGGTGTGGTATTTTCTTGCTCTTCCAGATGCCCGAAGAAGCCGAGACTTTCGCATTCCAGGCTGAGATTGCTCAGCTTATGTCGTTGATCATCAACACATTCTACTCGAACAAGGAGATCTTCTTGCGTGAGTTGATTTCGAACGCATCTGATGCCCTCGACAAGATCCGCTATGAGTCGTTGACGGATCCCAGCAAGCTCGACTCGGGCAAGGAGCTGTACATCAAGCTGATTCCCAACAAGACGGCTGGTACTCTGACCATCATTGATACCGGTATCGGCATGACCAAGTCCGACTTGGTTAACAACTTGGGAACCATCGCCAAGTCGGGCACCAAGGCTTTCATGGAGGCGTTGCAGGCTGGCGCTGACATTTCCATGATTGGCCAGTTCGGCGTGGGCTTCTACTCGGCCTACCTGATTGCCGACCGTGTGACTGTCACCTCGAAGAACAACGATGATGAGCAGTACGTCTGGGAGTCGTCCGCCGGCGGTTCGTTCACCGTGAGGGCCGACAACTCGGAGCCCCTGGGTCGCGGCACAAAGATCGTGCTCTTCATCAAGGAGGATCAGACCGATTACCTTGAGGAGAGCAAGATCAAGGAGATCGTTAACAAGCACTCCCAGTTCATTGGGTATCCCATTAAACTGCTGGTGGAGAAGGAGCGCGAGAAGGAGGTCAGCGACGACGAGGCTGATGATGAGAAGAAGGATGAGGAGGCCAAGAAGGACATGGACACCGATGAGCCAAAGATCGAAGATGTCGGCGAGGATGAGGATGCCGACAAGAAGGACAAGGATGGCAAGAAGAAGAAGACCATCAAGGAGAAGTACACCGAAGACGAGGAGCTGAACAAGACCAAGCCAATCTGGACCCGCAACCCCGATGATATCTCCCAGGAGGAGTACGGCGAGTTCTACAAGTCCCTGACCAACGACTGGGAGGATCATCTGTGTGTGAAGCACTTCTCGGTCGAGGGTCAGCTGGAGTTCCGCGCCCTCCTGTTCATCCCCCGTCGCACTCCCTTCGATCTCTTCGAGAACCAGAAGAAGCGCAACAACATCAAGCTGTACGTGCGCCGCGTGTTCATCATGGACAACTGCGAGGATCTCATTCCCGAGTACTTGAACTTCATCAAGGGAGTGGTCGACTCTGAGGATCTGCCTTTGAACATCTCCCGTGAGATGTTGCAGCAGAACAAGGTTCTGAAGGTGATTCGCAAGAATCTGGTGAAGAAGACCATGGAGCTGATCGAGGAGCTCACCGAGGACAAGGAGAACTACAAGAAGTTCTACGACCAGTTCAGCAAGAACTTGAAACTGGGTGTCCACGAGGACAGCAACAACCGCGCCAAGCTCGCCGATTTCCTGCGCTTCCACACCTCCGCCTCTGGCGATGATTTCTGCTCCCTGTCGGACTACGTGTCCCGCATGAAGAATAACCAGAAGCACGTCTATTTCATCACTGGCGAGTCCAAGGACCAGGTCAGCAACTCTGCCTTCGTTGAGCGTGTCAAGGCCCGCGGCTTCGAGGTTGTCTACATGACCGAGCCCATTGATGAGTATGTCATCCAGCACTTGAAGGAGTACAAGGGTAAGCAGCTGGTGTCCGTCACCAAGGAGGGTCTGGAGCTGCCCGAGGATGATGCCGAGAAGAAGAAGCGTGAGGAAGATAAGGCCAAGTTCGAGGGTCTCTGCAAGCTGATGAAGTCCATCTTGGACAGCAAAGTGGAGAAGGTGGTCGTCTCGAACCGTCTTGTGGACTCGCCCTGCTGCATCGTCACCTCGCAGTTCGGCTGGTCCGCCAACATGGAGCGTATCATGAAGGCCCAGGCTCTGCGCGACACCGCCACCATGGGTTACATGGCCGGCAAGAAACAGTTGGAAATCAATCCCGACCATCCCATTGTCGAGGCCCTGCGCCAGAAGGCCGATGCCGACAAGAACGACAAGGCTGTAAAGGATCTGGTCATCCTTCTGTTCGAGACCTCGCTGCTGTCTTCCGGATTCTCTCTGGACAGCCCTCAGGTTCATGCCAGCCGCATTTACCGCATGATCAAGCTGGGTCTTGGCATCGACGAGGATGAGCCCATGACCACCGAGGACGCCCACAGTGGTGGTGATGCCCCCAATCTGGTCGAGGACACCGAGGACGCTTCCCACATGGAGGAGGTTGATTAAACAATCCAATCGCTTTCTCAAACCAAACACACATTCACACACAACACAAAAACAATTTTCTAAGTTTCGACTGTTTGTAGCTTACGTTGACACAGGAGTTAACTTTTATTTTTCATTAACATTTTTGTCGCGTTATATACGACAATTATACGCTTATTCATCCCACACTCACTCGCATACAGAATAGAATCCTCCAGGTTCCCGGAAACTAACTTCAGAAGCAGTTGTCGTTTTAAGAATTTCTAATTTAGAGTCCACATAATTTATGTAAAAATAAACTAAAGACTACACGCTCTAGTTTCTAGAATTGAAATTTATATCTTAAGGTTTGATGACCAGATCGATCGATGATAAAACCAAATAAACAAACAAATTGTGTTTTAAAATGCATATATATGAATATTTTTATTGGATTGGCTCTACGATTCACATTCCTTACGCAGCAGCTGCTCAATCGACTCAACTGTCGATGCACCCTTGCTGATCAGTATGATCTTGTTGCGGGACCGCGATCCCTTGTCCAGGGAGACGTCGCTCTTGCGCAGCCCCAGAACCTTGGACAGAAATTTCACCAGCTCTGCATTAGCTTCGCCTTCACTGGGCGGTGCGGCTATTTGGACGCCAACGCCTTCCAGTTCAATGTTCGTAATGCCATTGTGCTTGGCTCCCGGTTTTGCAAGTATTTTAATACATATATTTCCACTTTTATCTACGGTGACTGGACTGTCACTCGTTGGCGCCGGCTTTGTTTTTGCACTTTCAACGGCGGACTTTGCTTTCCCCTTATTCTTCGACATTATTTGAGCATTAACTGATGTAAAAAAACGCCGCATTGGCTTTTCAATAGGTTTTTCGCACAATATATAATTTTACACACATTTTTCCAAAAATGTTCCATCGGCGACAGCTGTTTATGTTTCTATCTAGAGATGGGGAATTTTTACAAAACTGTGACTTCTCCACCAGTATTTTTAAATGTCCCATAATGTTTTGGTGACGTGACTTATAAATGATTTTAAAAATTATAATTTATAAAAAATACGTCTGGAGCGCCTTTTTAGACCTGGACAAGGGATGGATATTCGATGTGGAATCCATATCAGGTTCTAGAATACAATACAATTTTTACTCAAACTCTCGATTTCAACACCCCCAGTGAGACTATGAGCGGCTGCACAATCTGAATCGACCATGCTTGAGTCTCCCCCGTCCATAATAAAGTCATAAAACTTAGGTAAAAAAATTATCATATATTATTTATCATTATTATGTATGTACTCTTAGTTACTTCTCTATTCGTCTTCGCGTTAGAAAACAACGCTTAAACACTTTGCACTATTTAAAACTGCATTGAGAAGCATCTTAGAAATGCATTCAATCGTCAATAAAATTGTGACTGCAACCAGCACACAATCAGCAATGGTTTAGTTAATTCGTAAGTGTACAGAGAGAATCGCAGGAATGCACATAATGTTCAGTTTTTTTAGCTTAAAATTAATACAAAATGCGTGAAATGGACTTGAATTTTGCATGTGTCTACAGAGTTTCATATTGCAAACATAAAATGGAACTGGAAAGCCAAGTTTTTGGGGGTCATCCTCAGCGGACGTTGCACATATTGCCGGGGATAGTTATAATTCAGCTATGAAAGGAGTTTTGGGAAGGATATAGAATTTAGATCCAGAGTTCCAGAAAGAAGTATCTTCAGATTTGTTTTTATTGCTACTGTCTGTCACATGGAACGGTTTACGCAGCGCGAATCGACTGAATGATCTGGAAAATAGCCGAGCCGCAGACAACAAAGATGAACAGCGCCAAGAGCCAGGGTCCAACGGGGTACTGTCCCTCTTTCGCTTTCTGAAAATGCCAATTATAAATCAGAATTAGTCAATGCATCACAGATATGCACATTAGATGGAGAGCCGGGCCGGTGTATGAGCTGACGAACGCAACAGCTAATCACGAAGAAGCGATAACATTCGCCACCCATACAAAAACTTCCTCCACGCTTACGCACACTGGCGCACGCACACAGCAGCAGCAAGCAATAATAAAATCAATGACGGCGTGGCACTTTTTAAGATTGAATGTATCAGGCTAAGCTCGTGCGAGGTGCATTCCATGCATTTTTGATTCGAGCTAATTACATTTTGAACCAAAACTTACCGAGGATTTTGGTACATTGCCACGCATTGTCACATATTTGCTGGCCTTCTCGTTGGCGACGCGCATTCTCTGTGGAGGAGCCATTTTATGTGTTGTTGTGACTGCAAACGATTTGGAAAGTTGCATTATATATTAATTGTCCACTGAATTTAACTTAAGAGCTGAGATTCCTTCTGTCGCACCTAAAATCCCTTTCTTCACTCGTTAGACTACAACTTTAAATCTTTCCCGATTTTTCTAAAATTTCCCACAGCCCAGCCTACCTTTCCAAAAAAACCGACACGTATGAAATTCAGTGTGACCGCGGATTTTATCGATGAAATATACCCTCAGAAATAAACCGAAATTTACCTTGTCATTATAAAAATATACCGTAATTATACTGACTGACACGATAAGATTGCGTTGATATTCCTCGATTTTGATATTCGGTTTAATATTACTAGCTAGCTGGGACTCTCAGCTCTAAACCAATAATTTTATCCGATAGATACATACATTTTCTACAAGATTTTATACACTTTTGTATACCATACCTTATTTCTTTTAATTGATGTTAAATGTTTTGTTCCAAGCTCCATTGAAACATTATTTATGATTTTATCCTAGATTGACATGTGTTTTACCTATTAATGCATATGTTTTGTGTTTTATAAATACATTTATCCCGGTTCTGATACCTAATATTGGAACCCGTGAGCTGCAAAATTTCGTTAATATTTTTAAAACAGAGACTGAGTAGTTTCTGCATTAATTGGAGCCTGAAATTACAAACAATATCTCAAGTCCATAATATCCATTTTCCCAAGGTATGCAGATTGTGGCTCATTCCGTGCCAAAGTTGCACAACAATGCTGCTACTTCATTTCCCCATTTTGCTGAAAATTTTCCCATACAAATCAAATGCATCTTACAGGAATGTTCCCGTAAGATACATGTTTCTCACACCACGAAAAGGAGGGGAAAGTCACCACGAAAACGCTCTCTTCACCTGAAAAAAGAGAGCAAATTTTGAAGACCCACGACGAATTGAGAGCGAAAAATGTCAGTATTTTTTGTGTGCTAAATGAGTTTGGCGGTCATTTTGAAAATTCGACAGTGGGTTAATCGTTAAATGTTCATGATCGGAAATCATATTTCTCGACTTTGAAATTCGGTTTCATGAAGATATAACCTGTCCAAAGAGGAAATGAGCAGACTATCAGAAATAAACCGTCATTATCAAAATATACCGTAAATATACCGAAACTGACCACTGACAGCCGAACCACTGACAGCCGAACCTCTGACAGCCGAACACTGAGCTGCCAGGGATGTCATCATATCGGTGGTTGGTGGTTGGCTATCGACAATCGACGTCCAGCTGTTTTCTGGTGCGGCTATTATTTACACTTTTTTGCATAAAACCCGTGAAACAAATTGGAGCCCTGAGGCCGGACGTAGCAAGGTGTCCTGAAAGTACATGTTACCAGTGTCATAAGTCGGTGCGACACGTGAGCTCCCAATAACATTAATTCGCTAACAGCCTTGGGGCAGGCAGGGCAGTAAACTACAATCACACAAACATAAAAAATTATGACGATTGATGCCACCGCTCTGCCGTCGGAGTTGCTCGTGACCCCTCAGCCACTAATTGGCTTCTGCGGCCTGGACACTGCGCGACAGGGCGTGCACAAGGCCATCTGGGATGCGTTTAGCGGGAGTCTGCAACGGAAGGCGGCGGCTGCGGTCCAATACAAGTTGCTGCCTCCGAACTATGAGTTTCCAGTGGCCAAGCCCAAGCGAGCCTCCTACGAGTGGTACCACCCCAAGGGCATACTGAAGAGGAACTGGATGCTGAAGCACCTGCATGTGCTGCCCTCTGTGGTGGTTTTGTTCCAGGACATGGAGTGGAACGATCTGCAGTGGACGGAGAAACAGGTGCAGTGTGCGGCCACTGTACAGGCTCTAAAGAACGCTCTTCAAGAGCGAAATACTCGACTGTGCCTGGTGCTTCTGCAGAAGGCGGCACCGCTACCTCCAGGCGAGGATTTGCTGGCCGCCGAGCGAGCTGCCAGTTTGACCTCAGCCTGTGGAATAACGAGCAAAATGTTGTTTATACTGCCCCACACGGAGCACCTAATGGGCTACACGCTGCGCCTGGAGTCCGCGTTCCTGGACATGGCCCAGTCCTACTACGCTTTGATGTCGAAGAGAATACGCAATCATCGAGACCAGCTGTCGGCTGCGCACACTACCCTCAAGATACGGCACCAGTTCAAGCTCGGCTTTGTGGCGGAGATGCGGCAAGACTTTAGCACCGCCCAGAAGTAAGTTTGCTATGCTCTTGGCCTTTGCATCCATCCAGTCAAATCCATCCTTCCGCAGACACTACTTCCAAGCCTATGCGAATCTGGACGAGATACGCATCAACGACAGCAATTGCGTGGAGATCAAAACACTGGCCGGGTTTCTCAATTACAAAATCTGTCGGCTCATGTTCAAGCTGAAGACCCCGCGGGATGCCATCAGCCAGTTCATCATTCATGTCGATAAGTACAAGCCCCGCGTGGGGTTCAAGGATTTGGCCTTTGAGCACTATGCCTGGCTAAGCACGCAGTAAGACGGATCACTATTCCCATTCTACATATACGAGTACGTGCAAATGCAAATATTCTTTACAGACACTCTGTGTTCGCCGAGCTGTTTTGTGAGGCCATCAAAAATGGACTGCCCGCCCTGCAGACTCAGCATCCTGGCATATATTACCACAAGGCAGCCGAGTATGTGATGAAGCGACGTGATGCCGCCCAGCAAGCCTTTGTCGCGTTGCTCGAAGCGGGCGATGCAGCGCTTGCAACGAACAATCCCAGCCCTTTGTCGCTGTACACCGAGTTTTTTGGCATACGGTCCGTGAAAACGGGTGATCTGGTGGCCGAACAGCAGGCCAATGTGCAGCTATGTGAACAAGAACGCGGCTATAACCATTCGGCGGGCATTATAGCTCTACTAAGCCAGGCCATGGCGCAGTTCAAGATCTACAAGTGCCTCAGGTTTCGAAAGAAACTTGCTATTGATATGGCCGAGGAGTACCTACAAAGTGGCGATCATGCCAAGGCGTTGACGTGAGTTTTGACATCCCAAAAGCATTGAGACACGAAACCCTATATTTAATTGCTGTTTATTGTAGTCTGTATTCGCTTATGCTGCCCGACTATCGCCAAGAGAAGTGGTCGACTATTTTCACCGACGTCCTGCTGAAGACCCTGCGGTGTGCCCTGCTCTCGGCCTCCGTGGCGGACTACATAGCGTGCAGCATCGAAGCGTTGTCCCTACGCCACCAAAGCGAGCAGAAAGATCGTATTTTGCTGCTGGATAACCTCTGGCAGGTCTTCCAGGCTGTGCCGCCCATGCCCAGAACTCAATTAACCGAAGACGCTTTGGCCCTGTGGACCAGTGCATTGGGCAGCGTGAAATCTCCCATTCCAATCGATTTCGATAAGGTCTGCGACGTCGTGGAGATGTGCGCAACATTCGAGCGAGTGCAATTGAACAACGACGATGTGCTGCAGCTGCAACTCATTGTCCGGTGAGTGCTGTCTGCAATTTCAATGGAAATAGTTGTCTTAACAAGGGGACTCCCTTGACTGATCGATTCGATCTGCTCTCTAGTGTGCTCACAGACGTGCCTTTGAGGATACGGAGCTTCCATGTGGTGCTTGCCGATGCCGGAAACAGCCAGAACAACTACAAACTGGAGGCGCTCAAGTATTTCTGCTTTCCCAATCTCCTGCAGCTGCGTACTCAGCGTGGATCTGTGGATCAGCCCAAGGCGTTCGAGAAAAACATGATATTGGAGCCAGGCTCTTACTATCAGTTCTTGTGCAGCACCGAAGCGCAGCAATTCCACGAAAACACCCAGCTGCGCATTGTCCGCGTGGAGGCTCTCATGGGAACCGATCAAATTGGCGCCCTGCTCACGTGCAGCTCCAATTACACAAGGCAGCCGTTTCGACACCACACGCGCAGTCGCGATCTCGATGACAACGTGACGATCAATCCCATTTGCTATATTGCGCCCACGTAGGTCAAACCGATTCGTACCGGAAGCTGAAATTGATTTCCGGACGATTGCATGCCACAATCCAGAATTTAATGCTCCACCGAACAACATTTGTTTTTGTTTCAGTTTCCATTTGGTCACGCAAACAAACCTCGGCCATGGGCATGCCACTGGCACGGACGGGGAGCCAGCGGCCGCCACAAGAATGCTGGTCAACGAGTACTATCCAGTTGTGATAAACATATGCAATCCCTACAATGTCTACCTCATGAATGTGGGTGTACACATCAGTGTGCCTGGTGCCCTAAGGAATAGCGGTGAGTGCATCCAGACCGCAAGACTATCCATGCTATGAGTAGATTTTAGGGGTGGATTGGGGTAGCTGATTCAACACCTTGAGTTTGTTCTAGAAAGTGCTTAGAAGTGCTCGCTTAGGCAGTTTATTGGGTTGGGTTGGGTTCGTTCACATACTCAGTGCCTTATCGATGAAACTTCTAACAGTCTTGACACTCGTATAGACGCCGGGAGAGTTGCGGCGGCCACAGCCTATCCCCCACGAGACGATGCCGCACAGTTGGCCCTGGTAGGCGGCTGGTCCGCCCGAATCTCCCTCGCATGCATCCTTGACGCCCGGCACGGAGGCGCAGAACATGGTGTTGGTGATGGTGCCCCGTAGCTTGTACTGGCTCATGCAGCTCTTGCGAGGGATCAGGGCCACGTCCACGCTGCGCACCTGCATGGAGACACTTTTGCTCCGCTCCGAGACTAATCCCCAGCCGGAGACCTTGATAAGGTCACCGGCGTTCCAGCTGGAGTTGCACAGCTCGATGGTGGCTATCTTGGGCCCGGTCAGAGGTGTCTTCAGCTTCAGCACAGCAACGTCTGTGTGCAGGGTGCGGCTGCTGTACGCCTTGGGAGTGTACACCTTGGCTACGTCACTCCTCACGCCAGGCTCCGTGAGTCGCGTGGTGCCAGCCACCACCTGGATCCTGGCTGCTCCGACTCCCTTCACGCAGTGCGCCGCCGTGACCACGTGCGTGGGTGTGACCAGCGAGCCGCCACAAATAAAGTGTCCGCCAATGCGAAGGTTTATCAGATAGGGAACGGTACCAATATCCACCGGAATACCGCCCACAATACGTCCGTTGTTCGCCACGACAATTGGTAGCAGGCAGAGCTGGAGCTGGAGCAGGAACAGGAGGTGCCAGAGCGCCACTGGCATCTGAAGGCATCGGAGAAGCGTTCCCGCCCAGCGCTTACATACAGAAAATGCGAGTTGAGGTTTGCGGCTGTGTTTCCGAGCAGCAGCTGCCTCACTTGTGCAAACAGCTTCCAGTTCCGACTCAGGGCGCGCGTCTGTTAGCTTTGGTTTATATTTGCACGGTGGTGGGCGTGCCGGAGTGGGGAAGTAATCATTAGGAAGTAATCATTACAGAGCACACACAGACACACACACACACACACACACACATATTATTTTATTGCGCAAATAATAATTACTTCAATCAAAGCATTTTGTCTGGATTATCGCGACGAGTTCATCAGCCAAATGGAATTCGAATTGAAATTGAAGCCCGGCTCGAACTGACTCCCTCTCATATCTGCACACTTTTACTGACCTTGCCGGGGGGATGGGAGAATCCCTAAAAAAACTCTAGCCGCCAATCTCCTGCAGCGTTCTCTCGATAAATGAGCGCACACGGGCACTGGCCACACTGGTGTACACTCCCGGGTAGACCAGGCGGGCGCAACCGAATCCCCAGGAGACAATGCCGCATACCTGGCCGCGATACACGAGCGGACCGCCCGAGTCGCCGGAGCACGAGTCCCTGAGGCCGCGCACCGAGGCGCATATCATGGAATCACTTAGCTTGGCCACTCCGGCGTAAGACAGCCGGCACTCTGCGCCGGGCAGCATCCGCACCAAGGCCGTACGGACCTGGACGGCGGGTTTTCGGTTGTTCTCGCGCGTCACTCCCCAGCCGCTGATCCTGGCATAGGCATTGCTGGCCGGTGGGTTGCGGCATGCAGCAATGGTCGCCACTCTGCCAGCGGAGAGAGGAACGGGCTCCCTCAGTTGCAGCAGGGCCACGTCCATGTCGAAATTGGTTGGAGAGTAGCTGGACGAGAGGCGGAAGCTGGCCACGCCGCGCACCACGGGCGAGGCTTCGTCCAGCCGACTGGCTCCGGCGTGGACCGTGTAGTCTTCGGGCTGTGCCCCATACACGCAGTGCGCCGCACTGAGCACGACGGTGGGTGAGAGCAGGGACCCGCCGCAGAGGAAGGAGCCTCCCTGCCGAATATACACCAGATACGGCACCTGGCCGATGCTCGTCTCCGTGCCACCCACAACGCGGGGTCCACTGCGTGTGACAGCCATCGCGGTTTGTACGGTGCAGAGAAACCACAGCCACAGCCACTCCATGACGTGCTCGGACTGTGGAGCATCTGATCGTCTGACCCATCCCATCCCAACCCACAATCAATCAATTTTTTAAATGATTACTTTCGAATAAGTCGGCTGCCATACAATAGGTGCACCAAAGAGATTAACTCTAATTTATTTCGACGGAGCTTCCACCAGATTACACCCTGCAATGGCAGTCGAGGCGGCTCTGGAGCCAGTGCTTAATGGGAGGGCTACTGAGTCGCGTGTACACGCCCGGATAACCACTTCCGCAGCTATAGCCCCAGGAAACAACGCCCACGGGACGGCCTGCCTGTAGGATGGGTCCCCCCGAGTCGCCCTCGCAGGCGTCCTTGCCATTCTCTCCAATGGCGCAGAACATGTTGCTGGTGATGGTGTGCCTCATGGCGAGGCGGCACACGTTCTGTGGCACCAGCCCCACGTGTGCCGCCTGCAGACATTGGTTCCCGTGGTGTTTATAGTCGTTTGTCTTGCCCCAGCCTATGACTGTGAGATTCGCTCCCGCTGGCAGTTCGTTGAAGTCAATCTGCGGCAGACTTTCATTGGGAATGTTGAACGGTTGGCGCAGCCTGATCACAGCCACATCCGAGTCCACTCCGTGAGGAGGGTAGTAGTGGGCCGGCACCAGGGAGAACCAGCCGTGGCGCACATCTTCAGACGCCGACCCATCGCCCAGGCACTGCTGATGGGCGTGCACAGTCAAGTCGTAGAGCTGGCGGTGGCGCCCCGGCAGGCCATGGGCTGCCGTGATCACGCAACTGTTCGTAACCAGAAAACCGCCGCAACTAAAACGGCCGCTCCGCCGCAGGTTCACCAGGAAAGGATACCCCTCGATGGGAGCTTCGTTGCCTCCAAAGATTTTGACCAGCTGCGGCAACGAGAGCCCATGGAGCCCATGGAGCCCATGTCCAAGAAGGGCCAAACAGGTCAGGGTCAGCAGTCTGAACATTTTCATTTGCGGATCGTCGAGTCGCAGCTTTTATGCGGTGGCAGCGCTCGGCAGCCGCATTCCGCAGTAAATTGAATGTCGATGGAGTTCGATAAAAGCTAAAGAAGTTTATTGGCTATTAGGAATACTAGGAGCATGGAAATGCTCAGGAATGCAGCTTCACGATGTGCAGGAACCAGTCCCGGACCTCAGGCACGCTGGTGTAGACGCCAGGCAGTGCCGAGGCGCAGCCGTAGCCGAACGACACTATGCCCGCCAGTTGGCCCTTGTAGACGAGCGGTCCGCCGGAGTCGCCATCGCACGAGTCCCGCTTATAAGGCTTCGAGGCGCACATCATGGACCGGGTGATGCCATGGATGCCTTTGAAGGCGGACAGACAGGAGGACCTCGACCACACGGGCAGCAGAACACTGTGCACCCGTTGGGCTGTGTTCGTGGAGCTGGCACTGGTTGAACCCCAGCCGGAGACCTTCACTATCGCTCGGGGCGGCACTGGCTGTGCGGCCAGTGGAATGGTTTCGATATTGGCACCCACCATCGCCGATTGAAGCCGCACGGCGGCCACGTCCATGTTGAGGGTCTTCATGCTGAAGTCCGGACGAATGGCCACAAAGTCCACCAGACGGATGGTGGCATAGGGGCCCGCCTGGTTCGACGCCCCACCGTAGATCTTCAGCTCGTCCTTGTTCTTTCCGTACACGCAGTGGGCCGCCGTGATGACCCACCTGGGTTGAATCAGCGAGCCGCCGCACATCTCTGTGGACGTTGTGACCTGCACCAGGTACTTTTCTTCCTTAATGCTCGATACCTGGCCCCCAATGATGCGGGGTTGGATCTGCGTACTGTCTTCACTATCAGCGGAAACCCCCTGTAATCTTAGGACACCCAGGACGGGTAGCAAGAGAAGCATCACTGAAACCAGGCAGCGGACAAACATTGTGGATAACCAACTAACACTTGGGAATGCTGGACAATCGGCTTTTATATCACAATAACCAAATCAAATCCGACCAATCGAGGGATCAACATTTGCACAATTGTTCAAGCAACTACGACTATTTTTCGATTCGGAAGAGTTCGGAAAAGTGTGGAACGGAAGTGACAACGAATCTCTCAGAGATCTGGATCTGATTGATTCTACTACTTTAAATATTTGTGGCCCACAAATATCATTCGGCTGAATTGTAAAGTGCAAAGAAGGAAGCACTTGCCGATATCATTTAAAGCACACAAATTGCGATACAGATGCAGAAACTCATTTTGTGTTGAGTGAATCAGCACCGTCAACGAATCAACCAAGGGATCTTGCAGGGATTCAGAGGTGTAGTAACATTCTATTTGGCAAGTCTTCTGCTTTAATTTCAAGCATAATAATATCAAGTTTGTGTGGGAAGTTAAGCTTAGTTAAGTTAGGAGGGAATACTGAGCCATCCACAATTAATGACTACAATTGGGCATAGGTCGTCGCGAAAGGATAATTATTAGAGCCAGAATGCTGAAAAGGCGATTGATGAATGATGCCACAAACCCTAAAGGCCATAAATTAAAAAAAAGAGCGGGAACGTTGTGAGTCGTATGTATGTGAGCTTATGATTTATGTGGAGTTTTAAAATATTTGATCAGTTCACATATTTTTGCTACATCTCGTACTCCGCCAGAGGGTCGGAAGCGATTCCTTCTCTGCGTTCTCACATCCACTTCTACCACAAATCTAATATACCCCTCAACTCTTCGAGTACGTGTATAAAGAGGATCGATTGCTTGTCGTAAAGTGGAATTGCAATTTTTGCTCTGAAACTTATAATTATGGGGGATAGATGGATGGGAATCCATGCATCTTATTTAGGGATGTAAGGAGGGAGCATTAATTGCAGATGAATTGAATAACACTTTATTCTGTACGCATTTACACACAACAAAGAAGTTCTACTCCACGAAACACGATTAAATTTGTTAGATTTTATTAGTAAAAATAGACACAACAAACTGTAAAGAACAAGAAGACACGTAGCACTTGTTTTGCATGCACGCTCGAATATTTTTCATATTTTAAGATCACAATATTACAAAGTTTGTCAATATTCACGGGTTATCAATCTTGCATTCAATAGGCCGACTATAACTGTCAATTGTAAACCCCCAACTTTAAAATTATTTTGTACACAGTTTTGTCTTATCTTGTGTGTGTGAAATTTGAAATTTTTAGGGGGCTGCTTAGAAAATGGTGCCTGCAGTACGAGTTATTCAGAAGATCTGAAGCGAGTGTGAGTACACGTGCCATATACAAATATTGATGTAGAATCGCTCGCTTCGTGCTGTTATAGCTTGGAATTCGCTAGGCCTTCGGCTCGCAAAGCTATCTACAAAGAAATCGAACCTATATTTAGTTGGATTTCTGTACAAACACAAGGCGGGAAGTCTTTGTTATTGCCACTGGCTGGCAATCGGCTGTTATTAGTCATGTGACATGTGACGTGTTTTAACTGGATTTATTTATGGGCTAAGCAACGGCCTTGTCTTGGGGGCTTGTTATTGTAGGTTGTAGGTAGAGTCACTGACTCTCAAGATTTCCGATCCTAATTGTTCGACATTATGCGGTTGGCCCACGGTCGGATTCGGGCCACAGCTGTGTACACGCCGGGATATCCGGACCTGGCGCAGCCATAGCCAAATGATACAATGCCCAGCAGCGTTGAATCTCTGGTGACGGCTCCGCCGGAGTCGCCGCTGCATGAATCCTTGCTCCTGCCGCGGGCACAGAACATGTATTTGGTGATGGAGGCCAATCTGCCGTAGTTCTGGCTGCAAACACGCTGCCTCACCACCGTGATCTGCGTGGCCCGAAGCGTCTGGGAAGTGCTGCCGCCCTCACTGGTCAGCCCCCAGCCCGCGATGCGCACCTTGGAGCCCGCTTTGGGCACGTAGGACCCCATGGAGATGGTGGCAATGTTGGTGCCCGTCATGGTTTCGTTTAGCTTCAGCAGTGAGGCGTCCATGTTCATCTTCGCGGACGTGAAACGGGGTGCCACGGCCGTAAAGACCACGGACCGCACCACGCCATCGCTGCCGTCAAGCGTGGTGGTTCCTGCTCGCACCAGAAACTGCGAGGCACTGTGTCCCTTCACACAGTGTCCGGCGCAGAGTACCCAAAGGGTCGATACCAAAGAGCCGCCGCACAGGCTAGTTCCGCGACGCACCTGCACTAGGTACGGCGCCGTGCTGATGGTGGTCGTGGAGCCACCGACAATCTTCGACTGAACCTTGGCCGGTGTCGCTCGCGCTGACGCCTTGCTCGGTGAGCTCTTCTTTGCAACGGTGGTGCCCGTTCTTACAGCTGCTCTGCTCTTGGTATTCTTGGCCACAGCTTGACTCCTGTTCGCCGGCAGTCTGCGCACGTTTGCGTTCCTCGATCTCCTTCTTGCCTGCTTGGCCTGCTTGGCCTGTCTGGCCGCCTGGCTCATCTCGGCTAGCACGCCCAGCAGCAGCACAGCCACGATTAGGTACTCCCAGCGGCAACGCATCTCGATGTGAACTGTTCTGGCAGTGACCTTGCCCCGGCTTTTATCTCTTCTCATTTCGCCGAAAAACAAGCTGCGGCTCGACACCTGTGCAAATATTACTCCCCCAATGGGAGGGAGGGCACCAATAGTTCTTGTTCTTGAGATGATGTTTGAAGGAAGGTGACGTCGATGCGCCAAGACCATTCAGGGCAGCGAAAAACTATTTAATGATCGGCTTCGGCTTCGGCTTCGGCTTGAGCGGCATTGGCTTGGGGATAGTCCCCTGCTAGCAGTACCGCCGCATAGTGTTCGTGATCCAGTCGGATAAGAAGCTCACATCGGAGTACACCCCGGGGCTGTCTTCGTGGGCACAGCGATTTGCCTTGCCCCAGGAGACAACACCCACCAGATGGCCATTGGCATTGACCACCGGTCCGCCGGAGTCGGCGGCGCAGGCATCTTTATGGCCCGGCACCGAAGCACAGTACATGCTTTCGGTGATGTTCCGATACCCGCCGTAGAGCTTCTGGCACTCCTGTCGCGGCATGACGCGCACGTGGACGCTGTGCAGCTGATTCGGCAGCTGCGTGGAACCCTCGTCCGTCAGGCCCCAGCCGGAGACGCGGACAAACGAGCCGGCCCGTGGCGACATGATGGCCAGGCGGATGGGCCTGGCGATTGGCGCCTTGAGGGGCTGCTTCAGCTGAAGCAGCGCCACATCGTGGTCCAGCGTGGAGTGGCTGTAGGACGAGGGCAGCAGGATGTGCTTCACGTGGCGCGCATTGCGCATGTCGCTGAGAAACGTGACTCCACCGCGCACCACAAACTCCTCCGGCTGCCTGTCCACCAGGCAGTGGGCGGCCGTCAACACACACTGCGGGCTCACCAGGGACCCGCCGCACTCGAAGATTCCATTTCTTCGGATGTTCACCATGTGCGGCTGGTGCCGCACCTCGCTGCGGTGGCCGCCTACAACGCGCGGACTCCGCTGCAGGTCGCTCGACTCGAACATCAGTTCTCCCGTGACAGCCGTGCCACAGATCAGCAGAAGCAGCAGCGGGAAACCAGCGAGCATCTCGATCTGTCTGTCTGTTTGTCTGTGTTGCTTGTAACGCGAACTGCACTCGACTGGGGCACCCAGCACCACTCTACAATTATTTATAGAGCGGAGCGGCACTGACCTTCCCCAACAGCAGCCACCAACAGCCGTATCTCGTATCCACCTTACAAAAAACACCTGTTTGCACACACACGTCCAGCATTGAACTTGGGTCGAGGAGGAAGTGAACCGTCGTCGATGGGTCGCCTCTGCCGTCGCCTCTGGATTTCTGTTTGCTTCACAGCCAGCCACAGTGTGTAACACGTGTGAATGCTACTCCATTAAAGTGCGTTCTGTCTGTAATGGTATAAGAGTACATTCTGTTCAACTACCAAACGAAATGTATAATAAAGAAGTCGAGCTATGTCGAGCTATGTTCAGTTTAATATGTATGTACGCGTAGGTATACAGTTTATTGTTCAGTTGCGGAATAAATACATAATTGCAAGGAAAGCGCAGTGTCTCAAACTTCACCGAATGACTGAAAGCTTCTAATCTATTTAATATTTCATAAATTGGTCTTACGGAAATATGTGGCGAAATCATAGCATTTTTTAAGGCAAACTAATTTTATTTTAGTATGTAATAATTAATTAATTAATTAATAATCCCCTGAGTCAAACACATTTCTTTTAAATACAAATTATTATTTTACTTTTATTTTTAAATTTTATAAACTGAAAATTAGAAGAGGAATTCATACTTATAGAAAAATGTAGGTTAGGTTAGGGCGGCGGCGCAGGCGGTAGCTGTAGAGAGGGACGAAAAATGGATAAATAATTTGTTCTTTTGCAATTTATATTAGTTACAATTCGTAAATTATAATAATTGTTATCCATAGGCGAACAAAAGAAACGCGCGGCACAGCATGGGCTGCTGCGTTGTTATGTAATAATGTTTGGTACAGGGATTGTACATAGTACTTTAAATAAGAAAGATATAGGATCCGACCCGCAAGGTAGCGCCTGTAGGGGCATGAACGTCTCTGTTCGATTACATTTATTCTTCCTTTGTTCTTAGTATTCCTCACCACGGACATCTCTGCGGGTCGTCAGAAGCTGCACACCCAAATCCAAATAGATGTGGGAGAGCTGTCCGGCCAGAGCAGCAACACGGCCACGTACTACATCTTCAGCCTGGCGGAGACGGAGATCAAGCTGCAGCAAAGGCTCAGCTACACGCTGGATGTGGACAATGGAGGGGCAGGGAGCAGCGGGGTGGCTGGAGCCAGAGCCAGCACGGCCCCCAGCAGCTCGGAGTCGACTCCCGATCACGATGTCAAGAGCATAGCCCTCAGCCTGGCGGCCATATCGCCGGTCCAGATCGAGTACCTGGACGAGACGCGGCTGCGGAAGTCGCGCGACGACACGGTGACCGTGAGATGCTACAGCGACTTCAAGTTCAGTGCCCGCTTCTACACACTCAACCGGAAGCCGCTGAACCAGGTCTATCGCGGGGAGAACTTCCTGCTGCGAGCCAACACGGAGGTACTGGCCGTGGACGATGTGGAGATACTGGATAGCTTCTTTATATGTGTAAGTAGATCCTTGTACGCCCAGATAAAAGCCCACTCTAGTCTCTAGTTGATGTTCTTTCACTCTCCATGCAGGACCACAACCTAGTGCAATCGAACTACAGCTTTAAGCGGAAGAAGTACACCAACAAGTACAGCGCCGGGGACCAGCTGGAGAGTGTGATAGTGCTGCGCACAAATGCCACAGTGCAGGACTGGACGACTGCACGGGACCTGGATCAGCGCGGCAAGTTGGAGGGCAAGCCGGCGTCCAGCAAGTTCATTAGGCGCCCTCCGAAGAGCCCCAGCGAGGAACCCTCTGCACCCACGCCGCCTGCCGGAATGAGCGCCTACATGAGCAAGAGCCTGGTGGCCAAGATTCCGACAACCATGACCATCATCAATAGCAACTCGGCCGTGTCCAATGCTCTGCAAGTGGCCAACGCGGGCGTAATGAGCAGCTCCCTGAGTTCGGAAGACGCGAAGCTGGGCGAGGATGGTGCGCCTGCAGGCCCTCCCCTGGAGGGTGCCAAAACCACTCGCGTTGTGTACAACAAAGCGCTGGAAGCCGTGCAGGGAACTGGCCATTGCCGGGGCTTTATCAAGGGCATCTATACGCTGAAGGAGAACCCGTCTCCGGCCCCTGTTTTTGGGGTATTTTGCATACGATGGCGCAGGGCCAATGCCAAGGAGGAGAACGAGTCAAAGTTCATTATCAGTGGTCTCGACATTGCAGAGCCGCCGCTGAACATCTACTGCACCATCGAGGAGAAGATGTTCGTGAAGATGCCAATGGCCTTCAAGGTGGTGATCAAGAATCCCACGACTCATGTGCTCCACCTCATCGCCACGCTGAGCATCAGCAAGGCGGACAACTTTATATGTTCCGGTCACAAGCAGGTGAGGCACCACATACAAGAAGTGTCTGCAATATTCCTAAATATCTTGAATATCTTCCTCAGCTGGACATCTCCATAATGGCGTATAATGAGAAGGAACTGGTCTACAATCTGTATCCCCTTCAGGTGGGATGGCAAGAGCTGCCCGTCCTCAGCCTGGAGTACAACAGCAAGGCGGACCCGCAAAAGAACGACATTCACAATGCCTTGCTCGACGAACTGGTGCTGCGGGCGCTGCCCAAGCGAGTCTTTGTGCTGGTAAGTGGTCAGCACTTGCTCGATTGTCTTCTTCGGCTCTAATGCCTGCCTGTCTCTTCTCCAATCTTCCCACAGCCACCACTGAAGCAACAGACCACCAAGTAGAGGCACAGTGATAAGCTGATGAGCGATGTAGTTAGTTTTAAGTTTTAAAGTTTAAAATATCATTGCTACGAGTATCTATACAATTAAACTACACCTAATCCTTTATTGAGTGGACCATTTACACCTTCGGCCTCTACAGGGATAGCAGCTCTAAAAATATTGCGTATGTTTTTAGGATTTCTGCAGCAGATGTCGAGCTATCCAGTTGTTCTTGTCGCCTGGTGAAAATTTTCTATTTGGGAATACACAAAATCTGCAACTAAAACTACAATAATGAATTACAATGACAGATCTATTAAGCATCTAAACAAAACAAATTCATGAATTTCATATACAACATGGAAGCTGAATAATGACTTAGCATATTTTTTTTTCTGTATACTCTACATTGTAGAGAGATCAGACAAGGCTTTAGCTTTATGTTGATAGTTGTACCGGCCAGTAGGATTATGCGGAAGATCCCCTGGTAGGTCTTGTTTCCCCAAGTCTTGTGAGGGGCTACTGTTGCTTACCCCCCTCTCAATCAATACAGCGCATGGCATTCACATAGATGTTTTCCAATGTTTCCTGCTCCATTTCACAGAATCTACAGGAGCCGCTTTATTGCTTTCAATTTCTTGAGGAGATGTCTCCCGTCAAAGTCACATGGAGAGCTTCTTCTCCGGGCTGATAAATTGCCCCATCCGACATTCCACAGATCCGACAGATTGCCTAATGAATTGTATCCTGGTACTCGGGGTATAAATAACTGTTATAATAGGATAACAGGATAGTCAAGGGTTTAAGTTTTGCCAGAGGACGATGGTTTAAATGGTTACCCCTCCCCGCCAAACACATAAATAGCTCCAAATATTAATAGATTTATAGATTTACATAGCATAATACTTGAGTGTCTGTGTATGTCTGAGTGCGTGATTGTAGTGTATAAATGTATCTGTTAATCTGTTAATGGGCCAAAACGCACTCGACATTCTTGTTAAATGGTTTAGATTGATTAAGATAAGTCCAGGTCCAGGGCCACGACCAGGGTCTGGGTCTGGGTCTGGGTCAGTACCGAGTTGCACATATGTATTTTCGTACATCCTTTGAACGTACAGTATAATAAATTTAAACTATATTCCAATGATATAGGAACAGCACCGAGTGGTAAATTCCTTGGGATCACTTTCCGCTTGATGAAAATTTAAAGACGCCGCCGCTCTTTTTCTGATTTCGGTTCTCGTTCTGGATAGAGGATGCAGAAGTAAGTTAAATCGCTGCATCGTATTTCAATTGGTAAGGAGATTAGATGGACTCACCAGCAGGCGATTGCCAAATAGCATTTTGGCCTTGTCCTCAGCCTCCTGCGGGGTGGCCCGCTCGCCGGCCGACAGAATGGGCTGACGTTGATGGATGTGCAGCTTCTGTTTGATGGCCTGCGAGAAGATCACGCGTCTGCTGACGGATTTCATGGCAAGCAAGAGGTCCAGCCAGGTCCAGGTCACATTATGATACTCGAGAGTAGGGATTACCAAGGAATAGTCTGTGATGTCCTCCAGATTCTTCTCCTTGTTGCCCTTGTAGCTGACGCGCACGGGCACCTCGGGTATCTTGATGTAGATGAAGAGTTTGTTCTTCTCGGCGCGCTCCTTCATCTTCTCCACGTCGTCCTTCTCGATTTTCACATAGAACTCGGAATCCTTGACGCTCTTCTTGCTCTTCCCCGAGCGCTTCGTCGACGCAGACGACGACGAAGACTTTGCCTGTAAACTCGTTGTGGATGCCGAACTGGTGGACGCGTTGTCGTCCAGCTCATCAATGACCTCCGTTTCGGATGCGTCGCGATCTGGGAAACAGAACTTCAGCATCGTGCTGTAGAACTTCTTGGTGATGGCTATGGTAATTGGCGCCACGTTGATCTCAAAGTGCTCCTTTACAGAGATGCCCCCGACGGGAGCCTTCTCCCGGCAGAAGATGCGCAACACCCGCTTGTGGGTGTCCACGGGCATGTCCTTCTGGATCTCAGTAGCAAGCAGAACATCGCGATAAATCTCACGGGGCAAGAGGTTCTCCATGCGTATGTTCCCCAGCTCCAGCAGGTGCTCCACCGAATCGTCGCTCTTCGACTTCTTCGTGTAGAGAAAGGCACTCAGAACCAGATCGGCTATGCCAATCTGGCCATCGGTCTCTGTGAGCCGCCACTGGGCGCGCTTGAAGCAGATCTCGTTGGCCCGCACCATGGTCACGGACTCGTCGGCCCGCACATTCGATATCTTGCTGAGCTGCGACAGCTGCGTCTCCTTGTAGCACAGCAGCATCATGTCGAGGTCCTCGCTGTACGTGTTGAGCTCCTCCTTGCTCTCACGGATCTGCTGCTGGACGCGGTCAAAGTCCAGTCGAAGCTCCAGGGTGTCGCCCTCCTCGATGCGCTCCTTGCTGATCATGTGTATGTCCTTCTCCAGCGAGCGGATCTTCATCAGCAGGCTCCGGATCACCGTCTGCTTCTGCTGAATGGGCCGCTTCTGATCCTCCGTGGAGTGCAGCTGCAGCTGGAAGCGCATCCTGGTCAGCTTCTCAGCCGCCTGCTTGCGCTGCGGCTCCACGTACAGCAGGAGATTGTTGACAATGTCCAGGATCATGGCATACTGCAGCGAGTTGGTGCAGACATCCAGGTCGTGGTGCATCAGGGTAAACGCGTCCACAGGATCGTCCTGCTTCTCCCAGGGCGACAACAGCTCCTCCGAGGGGGGTGGCGGCACCTCTGTGATGCTGTTCGGGTCGATGGCATCGCCATAGCTCACGTAGAAGAACTCGCACTTGCACTTGGACACGATCCTTTGCAGCTGCACGGGCTGAGCCTCGCCGGAATTGTCGCTCAGGAAAGCCCCGACCGTTTCAGAGACCACTCCGCCCACACTGCGGCCGCTGCCCACCAAATGGGAGATGTCCTCTGGAAGATTGTTGATAACCGTCTCGTCCTTGTCCTGTATGTTGTCCACCGTCAGCCACATGATCTCCTTCTCCAGCAGGGAGTTGTTGTCTCCCGCACTGACTGTCGCATAGTACTGCATGCACTCCAGCAGGCCCTTCCACGTGGTCTTCGAGATCAGCGAGCGATCCCGCCAGACAGGCCGATGCTCTCGCTGCAGTATCTCCGCCTTGGCGGCACTGATGATCACATAGCCTGAGGTCTCACAGCCCTTGAGCAGCACCTGGGAGTTGACCAAGCTTATCGACCAGTTCTCGTGTATCACGTCCTGGGAGGCGCACGCCTGCAGCCCCTGCAGCTGCAGTTCTCTGGACTGCGTGCTGTGGTCGTCGCTGTACACGTTGAACTTGTGGTCTGCCTCCGCAATGAGTTGCTGCAGCATAGCCGTGGCATGGATCTGGGCTGGTGGTTTCTTCAGCGATGTATTTGCATTGGCAACTGAAAAGCAGATCGGTCAGCCGGCTGCAATACCTAATCGGATTACTACTCACTTGGCAGGACCTCGGTGCTTGTGTTGGACAGCGTTATGGTGCTGTCGCTCCGCTTGTGCTTCATCACAGCCGAATTTCCGCCCTCCTTCCGGTAGCTCTTCACCGCTTCGGTGGATAGATTGTTCTTCAGCTTCTGCGACTTCATGAAGGAGTCGAACAGGGCAAAGGCCACGTCCCGATTGCTCTTGGTCCAAGCGCCCTTCAGGTCGTACACCACTAGCTTGTGGGTGGGCGTCGTGCACTTTGCCTTCACATCGTCCTCCGAAGTGGTGGCCGTGATGGGCATCAGGGCCTCGCGCCCATACGACACCTTGGCCACGCTCAGGAAGTAAAAGCGAACTATTTTGAAGGCGTCCGCAGCTGTCGCCAGATTCTCCGAGCTGCTGTCCATCTTCTCGGTCACAATGCTCTTCAGCCAGATCTCAGCATCATTCACTTCGCAGTTCATGTAGACCGTGGACCAGTCCGCACGCGGTCTGTGGATCAGCCCATCGTCAATGGGATTGAGTGTCAGACAGTATTCAGAGCTGAATGAGACCCGTCTGCCGTTCAACTGGAAGCCCTTGTGCAGGGCATGGGACATCCAGTAGAGCACCTGAAACTTGTGCAAACACATCTGCAGATTGGCCTTCTTGTAGTGGCGACTCAGTGGCTTCTTCTTCGGTCTGACATTGTTGAACACAGGACCGCGTCGCGTGGGCCGCGTCACCCCCGAAAGTATCAGCTGGAGGCTTTCAAACCAACGCAAGGTGCTGCCGTACAGCACCAGACTGGGAATATCGATCTCCACATCATCGCCGGCCTTTGGCTTGGTCTCGAACGATATCCAAATGTTGAGATTAAGCGAGCGGAAGGCACGGAACGAGTCGTGCACCTGGTTGCTCGAGTACTCGGGCAACTTGTTCGGGGCACAGGGCATCACAGCATGATGGTCATTCGGATTGGCCAGGCAGACCCAATTCAGCTTCACGGTCAGCTTTAGATTGGGGAAATGAAGCAGGCGGCAATCGTCATAGCGGGAGGCTGTTCGAACCGTGACCTGTAATCCGATTGGAATCAGAAACTGGAGAAATTACAGAGAGAGAACAGTATGCCACTCACATTCAGTTCTCCCTTGAACATAATCTTTGCATTCGTCAAGACAATGCCACAATTGTTCCACGTCAGCTCCATTTCCTCCGTGGTGTTGTAGGGGTCCAGCGATGCATGCAGCAGAATGGTAAATTGCTTGGCAATCAGCGTCAAACGACCGTGCAGCAGCAGGCGCAGCTTATCCCAGAACGGCAGCGGCGGAGAGGGGTCCTTCGAGGGAGCCGATATCTTCTCAAAGCTCAGATTGCACTGCGCCATCACGGGCTCCCAGCAGGCCCCGAAGGCATAGCTACAGCTCTCCAACTCGCAGTCAAAGTCGTGGTAGAACTTCAGCGAGGGCATGCTCCGCTGAATCACATTCGTCCCAAAAGGATCTCCCACCTCAATATGGACATCGCGCTTAGCTCGCTTCGAGCCCATTTGTTCGGCTCCACACAGATTTCCGTACAGACGCATGCTCTTCACATAGAACATTGGCTGCGGAAAGTCCCTGCAAAAAGAGTGCAATTCAGAAAATCAATACCAGAAGAAATATGAATGAAAAGCTTTGGTGGAGACCTACCTCAGCATGAACTTCCACTCTGTGCAGCTTATGTTGACGCCCCGACACCAGAGCGTGCTGAACTCCAGTCCCTCCTCTGGCCAGGGGCTCTCGTGGTCGATTTCTCGCATGGTTCGCGTCACATTGTCGTAGCCATGTATGGAGGTGTCTGCCATGGCCATGATCTCCACGTCAGTCATGATCCAGGCCAACAGGCGGGTGCGCACGGGACCACTCTCCCGAATCTTCTTCGAGCGCTGGATATAAATCTCCGAGTTCTTCTTAACCAGGTTCGCATAGAGGCTTTCGATGGTGCCGGCGGGCACGAGGAGCCGCTCAGAGCATAGCTCGGCAATCTTTTTATCGAACAGAGCCTTGCGCTTGAGGCTCTCCAGGTACTCGTCGACCAGCAGCACATAGTTGTCGCGGAGCTTCACCTCGAATGGATCGTCGCTGATCTCCAGCAGGAACTCTTTGATCTTGATCACCAAATCACTCGGTAGCGGCGAGTCCACGGTGAATGGTTTCTTCTTGTAGTTGTGCACCAGTTTGAGCCACTTGAAGTGAGACACGCACTCGCTGTTAATGGCATTGTAGAAGTCGTGGTCGTACGGAAATATGGCCTTAAACGACCCAATGGTCGTCACCCAGACCCTGTTAGAGGGCAGCTGAAAGCCAGGAAAGTTGAGACGCTCGTGGGTCAAGGCGTCGATGCGCGGCAACGACTGCATGTCCAGTTCCTTCACTGTGAAGATGTGCTGATCGTCGATCTTGACAAACACATTCTCCGCATAGATGATATGCCGCTCCTTGTGACTAAAGAAGAGGCCCTCCACAAAGAACTGCACCGAATGACGCTCCGACAGCTTCAGCTCGCAGATAGTGCTACGTTCTGCGGATAGCTCTATCACAAGTCCGCCCCGGGGTCCCTTCGGAGTCGCGGGAGTCGGCGAGGTCTGTGCGGCAGTCGCTGGCAAGACTAGCTCCGCCTTCAGATCCTTCATATCCCGCACCAAGGTGAGCAAGTGCATGTGCAGATTCGAGTTCCACATGGCCTCCGTGTTGCAGGGTATATAAATAGACAGATTGCCCATTGTGCCCGCTACTTGTTCATGCTCTAGACGGATCATCTTGCAGGTGGCAAACACGTCCGAAAAGTCGGTGAGGCACAACGAAGAGGCGGTCATGGAACGCATTATGGCCATCTGGAATTCCTCCAGCTTGAGCGTGGTGAAGAGCTGCGACCGCGTCAGGTTGATTTCCGAGAAACTGAGCAGCATGTAGACATTGTGATGGTTCACAAAATATGCCGTAATGTCCTTGACCTTAACAGATACGCGCAGCGAGGTAGATGATGGCTCGGACGGGGCCGGATGCACTCGTATTTGCTGGCGTTGCTGCTCGGAAGATCTTCTTGGTTCCATTCCCCTGTACTGGCGCAGGCATTCCACGGACTTGACCACAAACTCCGCCAGCTGCATGCTGTACTCCGTGCGAAAGGTGTGAACGGAAATGTCCAGTTTGGTGGTATTTGCATACGAGCAGAGCTTGACGAGGCTCACGCCCAGAAAGAACGGGGAGCCCGGCGAGTGGGTCTTCTTCAAGTTGTTTGTGTCGTTGATGGAGTTGCCCAGATTGGACCAGAGCGTCTCCACCATCAGCTCCATGCTCCATTGACGTTGGTTCAGGAGTAGATTCAGAAACTTGTTGCCATAGAAAGAGCTGCGCTTCTCCTCGATCTGTTCCAACAAGAACCGCGTGTGGCTGACGCTCATGGCTATGTGCTCGTCCTCCAGCTTCATTAGCAGAGACACATTAAATAGCTCCGCACAGCCTTTGACCACAATGCGCTGCATAATCCATTCGAGAACGCCACTGCTCTCGCCCCCGCGGCGCTGCTTCTCTCGCAGGCAGCTCTCCGCTGCCTTGTCCAGGTACAGATGATCAGGCAGGGACTTTTGTTTGTGCAATAGCTGCAGGGCATTCAGTTGCTGCTGATTGCTGGACCGCTGGCGGGCCAGGAAATTGTTGTTGACAAAGTCATAGATCTCGCTGTGGTTGTAGATGATTTGGAATGTCTTTAGCTTCACATACAGATTGAAGATGTCTTCCTCCAGCTAAAAGGAAAACAGATATGGTTCATTTACAGAGCTATGCACTCTCAAATTGCCACAGGGGACTTGCCACAGAGTCTATGGTGAACTGCTCGACGAACAGAAGCTTCTCGTATTTGGTATCAATGTCCAAATGCTTGAACACCAGCTTGGCCAGCATTGATGGCAGCAAAGTCTTTGCGTCCCTCACATTAGAATTGAATTTCCCCGTAATCTGTAATAAATATGGGACATACGTATAGTCCACTATAAATGTTAATGGGTTTGATCTGCTTACGTGAAACAACTGCAGCTTGGCGCTAAAATCATTTTGCGAGTTCTCCTTGACGGCCGAAAAGGTGGCTGCCTTGATGCTAAAATTAAAGTTCTTTGGTATAATGGGTGCCAGCTTCTCGTAGTTGTCATTGTCATAGGCGGAGCTACTGGGTGGCTTGAATGCGTCCTGCAGGCGCTTGGACGGCTGGCCAGGCGTTGTCTTCTCCTTGGCTTCACTGAGGAAGTCATACAATCCTCCATGTATCACGGATTTGGCATTGTTGATGACCAGACTCAGCGTCTGTCGAGGGAATGGCTCGTATAGGCTATAGCTAAACAGTGACCAAAGGTCTACGCAACGGGCTACTTACATCCATGGATAGAGGTCCCTGGGCAAAGAGCGACGCATCCAGGGTCACGTCAAAGCTCACTTCGCCCAGACACGGCCGAATATTGTTGAGATTCTCCAGCGACTGGCGGCGGGAACTGCAATGCCTTAGCATTTTTGCTTGGGCCTCACTCAGGGCCGCATTGACAAGCAGAACTCGGGCATTCTGCACAATGCTTCCATCCAGATGCAACTCCTTCGCTGTGGCATGAATGAACCAACCCGGATCGAAATCATTGTTCATCAGCACCACCGAAATGTTGTTTATGTGCACGGCCATAAACTGGGCAATGGTTATGATACTCGCTGGAACCTTGGACTCTCGAAAATCAGGCACGCCCTTGGCCGCGCCTTCCTTGACCCTATGTGCCTTGGGGGTCTCAACGCAATCGTCGCTGTCCTCATTGTTGCGTCTCGGTATGTCCTTGTTGATGCGTATGTCACGGATGTAGATGGAGAGCAGCTTGGTCACCTCGGTTGTGAAGAAACTGCTGCGCAGGCATACCTCCTCGATTTGCTAAATGCACAATATCGTAAGCATTACGAATACGAATGGATATCATTGATCGAAATCGACTTACCACACCGAATCCACTCTTCTGGATGTTAACATTCTTGAGCGAAAAGTAAGGCGAAAGGCGCCCGATGCGTACTCTGACCCGAAAGCGCTTCACCAAATACCAGCTAATGCCCGCTGGCAAAATCCTAATCAATAGAAAAGTGAGTAATAATGGGTCTGGTCGGTCAGGGTCGGTGGCGCGACGCTGCGCTGCACTCACCAATACACCAGGACAAAAATAGTAAAGCAGAATATTAGCAGATGAAGCATCATGCTTATGGCTCAACAACCATAGTGCCTCAATAAGCCAGAGTTTTGAAGTGGAGCGGTGGTCCGGTTATATGTTTATTTATGAAATTTATTTATTTATCAAACATGATGCGGAAATATACCGTAATATACCAAATAATTTATAAAATATACTATATTCTATACCGAGAGAAATATACGCGGTTTTTTTTGGTCGATCTGGTGGCATCACTATGAATATATATCGTATATGATACCATCCCTAGCCTGTGGAAAATAAACAACTTCTTTAGCAAAATTGCTCAAATCTAAAAACGAGGCGTAAATATGTCGTTTCACTTGAGTACCAAGGAGCGTCTGCTCCTGCTCATCGACGACATTGAAATGATCGCAAAGGAACTGATCGAGCAGGCGCACCAAAAGATATCCAGCACGGATCTTGGCGACTTACTCGACTTGTTGGTGGCCAAAGACGAAGAGTTTCGCAAAATGCTGGAGCTGGCCGAGGAGCAGGCCAAAGTGGAGGATGCCATGGACAAGCTGCGTGCCAAGGTCGAGGTGCACGTAAGTACAAATGATAGATTGATTACTGGAGTGCCGTTCCTGATTTTGTCCCTGCATTCCTCTGCTCCGCTCCACTTGAATAGGACCGGGAAATACAAAAGCTACAAAAGTCGCTTAAGGATGCGGAACTTATACTCTCCACCGCTATTTTCCAAGCTCGTCAGAAACTGGCCAGTATTAACCAGGCCAACAAACGACCGGTGTCCTCAGAGGAGCTCATCAAATACGCGCACCGCATCAGCTCAGCGAACGCAGTGAGCGCTCCTCTCACGTGGTGCATCGGTGACCTGCGTCGCCCATATCCTACGGATATTGAGATGCGCAATGGTTTGCTGGGCAAGTCGGATCAAAACCTTAATGGCGGTCCGGTGCCACATCAGAACAGTGGCCTCACACCAGATGTTCAGCGCGGATTATCTGGCCCTGGTGGAGCCGGCACCGGAGGAGCTGGTGAAGTGCCGAATGCCTTCCAAAACCAATTCAATTGGAATCTTGGGGAATTGCACATGACAATGGGTGCTTCCGGCAACTCGGTAGCGCTGGAGACACGTGCTCAAGATGATGTGGAAGTTATGTCCACCGACAGTTCCAGCTCAAGTTCGAGTGACTCACAATAGGTTTGAAGAAAAGGCAGCATGTAACTTATTAGTATTTTTTATTATTATATAGCGTAAAAATAGTTCGTAGGAACATTTATAATTAATTAATTATAATAATTAATACACTATATGATTATATCCATTGTTAACCGACTTTTATCTCTTCTCTATTTATGACATATGAACGGTGCCATTTCCGCCGGATGCGCTGTTAGGCGTTAACATATATTTTAAATAAAAAGAAATATAAAGATATTTATACACTCTTCATTTGTACTATTGTGCCAGGGTCGACATCGTGATTTCTGCCGCAGAGAAGGAAACTTTAGTCTTAATTTATTAAGGCAGCTTGGAAAACAAATTTAACATTAGCTAATCGGTATAATAGGGTATACACAAGTACATACGCATAGCAGAAACTTTGTTGACCAGCAACAATGACGTCACATTCCGTACACACTGACATTTTATGTTTTTACTTGTTTTCGTTGAATCCTATATTGTGTAGAAGTCAATAGAGAGGAGTCCTTGAAATTAGCTAATCCCGTGGGAATTGATTTATCAATCGGATAAAATTATGTGTGTGGTGCTGAGGGTCTTAGCTAGCTAGTAATATTAAATCGAATATCAAAATCGAGGAATATCAACGAATCCGTCAGTATATTTACAGTATATTTTGAAAATGATAAAGTATATTTCGGTATATTTCTGAGGGTTTGACGGTATATTTTATCAATAAATACACTGCAGTTCACGCGTTTGACGTTTTTTGGCGTTTTTATTACTTTTACTAGAGGCTTGACTTTTTTTTGCTTTTAAAATGGAGGTGCAGCGTGTTTTATCTAACTAAAATGTGGCGAAGGTGTAGTTTAATGTTGGTGCATATAGCTAATTTAACTCGTGCGTGTGTATACCCAACGCAAAGGCCTTGAAAAGATTGTCAAAAATTTTGTGCCCCGAGTACGAAGAAGCGAAGAAGCAGCAGAGGCGACTCAAAACTCAAACCAATTGCAATTTACTAAAGTGGTCAGGGAGCCACCGAGCCGAGCCACCACTGCATTCAAGTTACACACACAACCCTTTCCATAATCCAAATAAGTTTACCCCAAACAAAACCAAACATGATGATTCAGGAGCCAGTTCAGGTAAATCAATAGCATAAAACATATGCAGAAAAGAAAGGCAGAAAACCATTGATTTTAAACTCTCTCTGTCTCTCTCCCTCTCTCTCTTTACCTGCCCCTTTTCGCCAATCATGCAGGCAGCCATATGGCATTGCATGAACTACTACGACCACAAAGATGCTGTCTTTTTGGCGGAGCGCCTGTGCTCGGAAGGTATGTAATGTTGCTGCTGGCTGGCGCTGGCGGCCTTGGCGTGTGTGTCAAGGCTCTTCGTGTGGCTGTGTATCCAATGGTTTATTCGCTCTATTTTACTTGCAGTGGAATGCGACGAGACGATATTTCTACTGGCAACCAGCTACTTTCGCTCCAATCTCGTGCACCAGGCCTATTGGCTGCTCAAGGAGAAGGCACGTCGCTCGGCCCAGTGCCGTTTCCTGCAGGCCAAGTGTGCCTACGAGCTGAAGAAGTTTGCCGAGGCTGAGAGCGCCCTGATAACCACTGGCTTTGCGGACGCGAAAAATTTCGACGAGCTCCAACGTGACTTTGGGGAGCTGGCCTGCTTTGCCTACCAGCTGATAGCCCAAATTTGCATAAAGACCGAGCGCAACAAGCTGGCCGTAACTGCCCTTAGACGGGCCCTGAAGCTGAACCCCTTTTTGTGGCACTCCTTCGCTGATCTGTGCCTGCTGGGCCAGGACATGGACACTGCGTCAATATTCCAAATCCACAGCACGGATGTGTTCAACACCTGCCAAGGCAGCAGTGCCAATGCAACTTCCATGGTGCTATTCGGCAACGAGCAGCAGCAGCAGCAGGTACAGCAAACGGCTCTGGATAATCTACTCACGAATATAAGCAATAGCTCCAATTACGTTTGGACCACACCGGTGGATCATCACCAGCAGCAGTCACAGCAGCAACCACAGAATCAGAATCAGCACCAGCTTGGGATAAACAACAACAGCAGCAACCTGATGACGCCCATCAACAATAACAACATCAACAACAATCTCAACAGCTCCATGAGCATGCTCCGTGGCGGAGGAGCTCCCCAAAACTCCAGCATGCTGGCGATGCTGGAGGATACGCCCATGGGCTGTCCCCAAGAGACGGGTCAGCCGCAGCAGCTGCATCAGCAGCAGAGTCAATTGTACGATGTCAGCAGTGGCACTCCGTTCCGCAAACAATTCAAATACCTATCCACCATCTCGCCCACCACTCCCAGCTTTGGCGTTTGGCCCTTGACTAGTCCCTGTACTGGGAGCGATGGATCCTTCATCGGAGGCGGTGGCACCGGCAATGGAACCCACACTCCAGTCATGAATATCACTTATTCCCCCATGCCCCAAATGCTGGTCGAAGTCAACCAGGAGCCCAAGATGATGGGCAAGAAGCTAAAGACGCATGTGGGGGGACTGATAAGCCGCAAGGACAGCAGCAGCAACAAGCCCGCCGTTTTCACCCAAGCCGGCAATATAACGCCGCGAACGCCCAACAATAATGTAGGCAATGGCAATAATCTTAATGTGCCGCCCAATCCCAACGCCGCTGTGCGCCGCAGCTCGCGCCTGTTCAGCAACTCTGCCTACTCTGTGAAGGAGAACAACAAGTCGCCGAATATAGCCAACAATAAGTTTGTGCAGCCACGGTCGCCGCCCAGGAAAACCAAGTCCCGCATGACGAAGATCTGCCTGAACAACGAGCTGATTGAGGAGAAGACCAGCCACTTGTCGGACAAGTTGAGCGAGAAGCAGGCGCGCAAGGAGAAGGTCGAGACCATTACGTCGGCGGGCAACAACAACAATAACCGCAGCGCCGCCGAAGAGGCCAAGGTGCTGCTCAACAATAGCCTGAACAATGCCCAGACCATGGCCCATCAGCTGCTGAGTCTGAAGAAGCAGTCAGCCGACGGACTCATGTCGCTGCTGCGCGACCTTGCCGAGGCCTACAAGCTGCTCTCCACGTTTCAGTGCAAGGCGGCCATCAAGCAGCTAGAGACAACGATACCAAAGCATCATTTGAATTCCAGTTGGGTGCAGTCCCTGATTGGCGTGTGCAGATACGAGATGAGGGACTACGAGGCCGCGGTGGTGCTCTTCGAGGGCATACACAAGGCGGAACCGTGTCGCCTGGACTACATGGAGATCTACTCGACATCCCTATGGCATTTACAAAAGGAGGTGGAGCTGTCCTCGCTGGCCCAGGACCTGATCAGCCAGAATAAGAGCAGTCCAGTTACTTGGTGTGTGTCCGGCAACTGTTTCTCCCTGCACAAGGAGCACGAGACGGCCATCAAGTTCTTCAAGCGCGCCGTCCAGGTGGATCCCGACTTTGTATACAGCTACACCCTGCTGGGCCACGAGCTGGTTCTTACAGAGGAGTTCGACAAGGCCATGGACTACTTCCGAGCGGCCGTCGTTCGAGATCCCAGGCATTACAATGCCTGGTTCGGCATTGGCACCATCTACTCCAAGCAGGAGAAGTACGAGCTAGCCGAAATCCATTACATGAAGGCCTTGAAGATCAATCCACAGAACTCTGTGATCCTGGTGCACATCGGGACGATTCAGTTTTACATGAAGAAGAAGGACCTGTCGCTGCAGACCCTCAACACGGCTGCCACGCTGGATCCGAAGAATCCACTGGCGCGATTCCATCGCGGCTCGATATACCACTCGCTGGGCAAGTACCAGGAGGCTCTTCGCGAGCTGGAGGAGCTCAAGGAGATTGTGCCAAAGGAATCTGTGGTGTTCTATCTCATTGGCAAAATACACAAGACTCTCGGCAACATGGATCTAGCCCTAATGCACTTCAGCTGGGCGACTGATCTCGATCCCAAGGGGGCCAACAATCAAATCAAAGATGCATTCGACTCGATGGCCCACCCCAGCTGCTGTACGGCCAACACGACTGCCCTCGATGTCGATCTCGAGCCCACATCCGAGCGATCCGATGACTCGACGCAAGCTCAGCAGGATGTCAGCTACGACAGTGACTATTAAATGGGTCTGTGACTCCTGTTGCGAAGCTGCGATGCTGATGCGGTTGTATATACATTTACGTTGAAACAAAACAAAGTAAAGCCACGATTGCTGCTGCCGATTGTCGTAGAAGTAGAAGAATGGGAAGGCAAACCAATTATTGAAGTATATTAAAGTCTAGATAACGTTTAGAATTAGTAATTTAAAATATACAACAAACAAAACAAAACAAACGTAAAAGGTTTAAACAAAATTGTGCACTCTGAAAGTCTAAGGCAAAATAACATAACATAAAAAAAAAAAAAAAAGGAAAAACAAACAGAAAAACTATACATATTAAATACCAATTAAAAGAATACAGAAAGAAATTGCTATATAAGCTTCCCGATACTTCTTTGTGGCCCAATGGCGCTCTCTCCATTGCTGACTTGGACCTTTCCTGTCCTGTCCCCACTCCTGTGCCTCCACAAAAGCAGAATTATCGAAAAACTAAACATTTGAAAATAAAGTAAAAATCAATCTTTGGTTGGCTTCTCCAGTTTCAGTGGCCAATTCAGTATCTGCTCGTGCGTGAGGCGCTGTGTCAGGTCGAGGACTGCCCGAAGGCGCACCAACTCGACATTCAACATCATGGCCATGGCCGGCAGGTGATCCTCGATGAGTATATACTGACGCGGGCTCTCGACGTTCAGAATGCAGCTGATGTTCTTGGTGCCAAATATCTCGCCAATAGAGTCGCTCAATGAGACCGTGCCAGAGCTCTCCGAGCCAGGATTGGGTGGCGAGAGTGAGCGCTCGGGGACGGTTGCTTTCTGCGGCCCTGCCACGGGAGTGAGCTCTGGTGTGGGGCACATTTCACGCAGCTGGACAGCTGGAGCCGCTCTGGGTCGCATGTGCATGTAGCTCCTGTCTCCAGCTCCCAGAGGGGGCAGCTGGTGTAAAAAATGTGCTGGATACTTGGGCGGCAGCTTCGAGCGAGACTGCTTGTGATGCGCTGACTCGTATCGTTCAAATGTGGATGATTTCTTATTTTTGCCTTGGGTTGAGGATCCCCCCTTAGACGGCTTTAAAGGAAGAACTTTTTGTGGAACATTGGAATTGTCTTCCTGTTGCTCGCAAATCGTTGCTCGTTGACTATAATCCTTGTATGCTCTTCCCAGTAGATGCAGTTGACTATCTTCAATAGGTGATGCAGTGGAGGGACACTGTTCCTGCATCACTTCTGGTTGCTGGCTTCTGGCTTGTGGTGGACCCTTACGTCCCTTTATGGGAACATCCTGCTCCACATGAGTACAATTCATTGGTAGTTCAGATCCAGCTCTAGGTTGTTCTTCAACTGTTTCTCCAAAACGCTGTGAAGCGCAAGGACCCTGATCTTGTTTAAAAAGATAAAGATGTTCTGTCTTGCCTTGAGTTGGAGTCTGGGCCTTCAGCTGCTTTAAAGAGATGTCGTCCTCGTTGTAAATCGAAGAATACAAAGATCGAATTGGAGGCTTTAAGTGCTCAACTTGAGTGGAATGTAGCTGGCTACACTCTGCATCTATTTCTTCAAACAGCTGGAGTGAGCTTTGCTCTGAAGTGGCAGGACGCTGCTCGGGATGGTCTCTTAGCTCATATTGTGAAGCTGACTTCACCACTTCTGATTGGCTCCTCTGTAGTTCATGGTAGAGGCTGATGCTTTTCTGGGGCTTTTTCCTTGTCCCTTGTGACGATGGTCGGCGACGCTTACGACGCTTTAGGGGAACAGCCTCCTTCACAAACATGGAACTCAATCGCCTTTTGACGGCCACTCGTTGTTCCTGGTGCACAATTTGAGGCAGCGGCTTCTGCTGACAAAGCGGTTGACTCCATTCCTCATCTGTTTCCTCGAACAGTTGCGGGGAACCAGCTTTTCTTAAAAATCCTGCTTTTGTTGTCAAGCGGCTTTCCTTTTCCATCAATCGTTGCGATCTGCGGAGTTCTACTTGTGATTCGGATAGAAGCTGAGATGCGTATGCTGTTACAGCCCGACCAGGCGATGGTGATATTTGATCCATATTTTAAAATATTACTTAATTATACACTATGAAAGAATATCCTTCATCTTCCGTTACGTTTATTGTAGCGCTGTTTTCGATTGATATCGTTCCTTCATTTCGCTATCGAAGAAGTGTTGCCATTTTAGCTCTTTTGTACTAATTCTGGCTATATTTAAGGTTCGATCGATAATAACATATACAATTTTCTATTAGTTTCTGTTATTTAACATGCATATTTAGCTATGTTTTTCTATTTTTGTTTTCCAAAATCATATTTTATACCTAAAATCCAGATATTTGGTATGTTTTCCGAAAATAAAGAAGCTATTTTTTCTGCTAAAAACTTAGTAGCCGTGTATCGAATTAGGGTCGCTCATCTCTAATAAACAAAATCCGGCTGGCCGATAAAAAGGTTTTTTTTTTGATCGTAAATAAATAAAAATGAACGAAGCGGATAATTATAATATAATAACAGATCCAGCTTTAGTGAAAAATCGTATATTTGTCGGAAATCTGCCAGTATGCACGCGCGAGGAGCTGGCCAGCATTTGCCTTCCGTACGGCGAAGTATTGGGTTCGGTGGTACAGAAAAATTTTGGATTCGTGCAGTTGGAATCAGAGGAGGTGGCCAACAAATGTGCAACAGCCCTAAACAAATCCACATTCAAGACAAAAATATTGAGAGTACGCAACGCAAACAACAGGGGCGCAAAGGGGGTGAATTCAAATGGAAATGCAAAGATGATGCCCCATATTCCTGTGGTGACAGTTCAAGGAGGCATTGTCATGTCAGCAGCTGCTGCAGCAGCCGGAGAACCAGTCATAAATGATTGCGAGATCATAGTGGTGAATCGGGATAATACGTGAGTTGTCTAGTCACTTGGCTAAGAACTAAACAGCAATTAATTCAATTGTATTATTTTTAAAGAAAATATGCGGAATATATAGAGCACCGGCTAAGGAATATGGGCATGCGAGTGGATGTTCTGTTTCCCAATGAGGATGTCATGTTGGGCAAGGTGTTGGCCAACATTTCATCTCGCGGCTGCCTCTACGCCGTGCTAGTTACACCCCAGCACGAATCTCTCAATAGCATTACAGTTAACATATTGTATGGGGTCCCTGCCGAGCATCGCAACATGCCGCTCGAGGATGCCGTTACACTAATCGCCACAGATTTTAGGCTGAAGGCTCAGCGCGATGCCGTGAACACCACAGCCATGCCAGCTTCGATGCCCCACCACCAAAGACGACATCCTGACCAGATGCAGCAACTGATCGACATGCTTGCAGACAATCGGCCGATGACGGCCTTGCAATACGAATGCATAATCAAATACCTGGAAGGGGAGCGACAGGAACAGCTGAAGAGGGAGGTGGGCGAGGCCAATGCCGCTGCCAAGCTTCAGGAGCCCGACCCGGAAATTGAGCTGCAGAAAAAAATTCTTAGTATTATGAACAGACCTGCGGTGACCGAAACGGGCGTAGAGCTAATGTATCCCAACCTGGAGGCGGTCAAGGAAGACAAACGACTCATGGAGCTACTGCGGGACGAGCGTGTAATGGCAGCAATGGAGACTATTTTCAACAACAACACTTTGATGGACGCTGTGGCTGAGTTTTTATAGGCCCTCAAACTTTATTAATAAAATATACACGGACTAACGAGCTCTAACAAAAGGTCTACTAAGGCCAAGACCGCTTGGCTTCATGTCCCTCGTATTTACCACGGTACTTCAGACCCGTCACCAGAGTGGAGCTCTTCGGGAACGCTGTCTTTCCATTGAATTTGGTATCGGTCTCGGGATTGAAACGCAAGTACTCGTACTGTATGTGCAAATTCTCTGGAAGATCTGTGCGCTTAAGAGCGTCCAAGGGCACAGTCGTATCCACAGGAGTCTCGTAAAATGCTATTACATCGGCAACGGTGCTGAGTTCATGCACCTGGGAGTTTGGAACTCCGTGCTGCAGTTCCTGAAAGCATGCCGATAGGAATTTAAACTTCTCGGAAAGATTGTCCAGCTTTCGATTGTCACTGGTCAACTGCAGCGAGCCAGCCACAGAGCGCACACGTTCCGCTGCATTGCTGGGGGGAGCATAGGGCTTGTGAGGCCGCAGAAACCTATACAGTAAAGTACTATAATTGTGAAAAAGAGTGCATAACATTCCGGAAATATTTACCCCTTTGCGGCAATTGATTCACCAATAGCTGCTAGTGTCTTGCTTTTAACGGGCTCCGATTTTTGTACCTTGGCCGCCGTGGCGAAATATTTCTGCATGTTAACGACAAGCTGATAGACACGATGTGTGTAAAGATTAATTAATGAATTATTAAAGTTATATATACTCACACTTTTACGTAAATTCGATGCCATTTTCCGTATGATAATTGTATTTTTAGTTGGGATTTTTAGATGATGGTATTTATTTTTTGTACTTGGTCACACTAAAACACGTTCAGTATATTCTACTAGCCTCATGGTATGTTTAGCGATGGGGTGGATGTTACATACATGCTTTGAATTTTATAAACTATTTTAAAAAGCTTCTTGGGCAGAAAGGAAACAAACAAAATTCCTTCATGAGAGATTGATGAAGTCTTTGTCATCCAGGCTGCAATGTATATGTATTTTGTATTTGATATGTAGCAAAAGTGTAGTTACCGTGTAAGAAAAAAGGACATTTTTGGTGACCTTCGATGTTTAAACCGTATTTTATAAGTAATAAGCCTTTAAAGTTAGCCAATCTTTGAGGAAATTGATTCGTCAATCGGATAAAATTATATGTTCAGTGATGAGAGTACTAACTAGCTTGTAACATCAAATCGAATATCAAACTTAAGGAATTTTATTTTCCTCGGTTAATTTATGGTACATTTACGGTACATTATGAAAATGAGAAGTTCCATTTTAGTATATTTTTAAGGGGTCAGACGGGTATCTTTGTTCGATAAGTCTGCGGTCACACTGTTTGCTTGCCAGTTTTGCGGAGTGTGTTTGCTGTTTTTTTTATCTGCATAAAAAAGAACAGGAAAGAAGCATATTTTCAAAGATCATTCCTTTTTTCAAGAAAAAGTAGTAAGCAACTAGAAGAACACAACGGCACACCATGCCTTCGGCTGCTACCACAATTACCAACAACAACAATAGCAAGGAGAAACGCGCATCGGTCAGCTCTATCGGTGGTGTCGGCGTGAGCGGAATCGGTAGTAGCTCGAGCAATGGTCAACGCAGCAGCAGCCCCAGCCTGACCGAAAAGTCGACGGCACCGGCAGCTGATGGCAGCCAAACCGATTTGACCAACAACAATTCGAGCGCGAGCAATGGAAATACTGCCAAAGCACTGAAGGCGGCCGCATCTGTGACTGCCGTTGCTGCTGCTGCCGAACCGTACAATCCCCTGAAGCAAATGCTGGTCACCATTGAGCACAAAATTCGGAACCTGGAGAAGCGCAAGGTCTGTATACATTGCATAAATTCCACCTGCCCAAAAAGTGTGGAACAAAGGATTTACAATTTGTTCTTTGCATTGCCCTCCATTTTTATTTTCATTCTCTTGTGTTGCTTTGTTTCATTTCGCCTTTCCCCCCCACTCTCGTGCATTTGCGATTTTTCGCGACGCCATGTTTTCTATCGCACAGAGTTGCCAGCTCTGGTGAGGCTCAACGTTCTGACCGGCATGTCCCATAAACAAAACGTTTAAAGTATTTGGAACTTTGTAAACTTTTCGGAGTTTGTAAAACATTAATTTAATACGTGTACGATTTTAGTTGTTGCATTACATTTTTTCTTATTAGAAAGTTCTCACATCTAACAGCTGACACCTCTGCCGGCAGTCTGGCAACGCCATTGCCGGTGGACAATCTACAATGTTTGCCCTATTTTCCTATTGTTAATATTCAAAGCCATGAGTAATGTCCACTTGTAAACTGATTCATTGCATTTTCTGATAAACAGACAAAACTGGAATCTTATCGCGCCATACAAACAGGCGGCAAGGAACTGAGCGCTGACCAGGCGTCTGCTGTGGCCAAATACGATGCGGTCCTGGCCAATCTGGAGTTTGCCCGCGAGCTGGCCAAGCAAATGCAGCAGCAATCCAAAGAGGCCGAAAAGGAGCAGAAGAAACAGGCACGCAAGGTAAGCCACGTGCATACTTAGAAAATTAAAGGATTTTTTGACAAATCTTTCTAATCGAAGGACAACCAGGCCAAGGCGCTGGCTGAGACAGCCAAGATTCGGGAGGTTTTAATCATTCAAAATGTGCTCAACTGCTTCAATGACGAACAAGTTCGAAGCGATTTCCTGGCGGGCGAGAACGGAGCGCAAAAGTTGGAGAGCAGCGAACTGGAGGTGCTGGAGAAATTGTAAGTGGAGCCATACCAAGAGATCTTGAAACTAATTATAATCTTCCCCTTAGCTGCAACGAGACCCAAACCCGTCGTCCGGAAACTGCAGAAGACGTAAGCTTCTTAGCCACTGCTCAGAAGGCGGCCGAGCTGTTTTCCCTGACCATCAATGCCAAGCCCAAGGCCTACGGCGAAATCACCTTCGAAAAGGTGCGTGCTCTCTTCCAACAGATACAGGACTGTGGGTATCTGGATAAGTACTATCAAGTGCCGGTGGAGACCGCGGTGGCCAACAGCACGGACAGTTGCACTGCAAGTGGCGAGGGTGATGCTGGGGAGATATTGCTGAATGATGGCTCCGGAGAGTTGGATACGGAGTTGCCTTCCGAGCCGTCAGCTCGCAACTCTCTTGAGGAGGGTCTCGATAAAGTGCATTTGGGTGGCAATCCTGAAGTTGAGCAGCAGCAGCTGCAACATGAACGCCCAAATCACCTTCTACTTGAGCCTCAGCACCAGCGCGCTCCAGTTGAGCAGCTGCAGCCGCCACAAAACATGGTGGTGCAACAGCCTCCTATTTCTCAACCAACGACCACGCCTGTGCATGTTGTGTATGCTGCGCCGCTACCTCCTCAGCAACAACAGCCTCAACCGCCTCACCCACACAAGCTGCTGAGCAGCCCCGTGAATCTCCAGGCCTTGCAGACGGGAGCAGCTCCTCCTCCCCCTCAGCAGCAACAGCAGCCGCCGCCTCCTCCTCATTTTGCACCCACAGTTCGGGCCGTGGAACAGAATTACTTCAAGCAGCCGCCGCATCCCCAGGGAGCAGGCTTGCAGGCTCCCACACCGCAGCAGCAGCAACAGTTTATGCAACAACTGCGTCCGTTGGCGGAGGTTTTGGGCACAGGAACCTTCCACTTTCTGCAGGACAGCGAACTGGACAATCCTGAGGTCTTGGCTCCTCCGCCCCCATCCAATCAGGGATTGATCTTTGAGGCTCGCCCACACTACATTGAAGAGCCTCCACAGGCCATACAAACCCTGACCTTTACCAATCAATCCTTCCCCTCGCAGCCGCCACAGCCGAAGCCCCAGCCGCAGGCCCCTCCACCGCAGCAACAACTCTTCTCGCCAGTTTTAATCCACGAGCAGCGCCAGCAGCAGCAGCAGCAACCTATGTTAATCATGGCACGTCTACCGCCCCAGCAGCAGCCACAGCCTCAACCACAACCACAGCTGCCTCCACAGCAAGCACCGCAAGGCATCGGCATGCAGCCAGGAGACGTGACCTCAGTCTTTTCTTATGACAGTGCTGTTGTGACCTACGAGCAACAAATCCAGCAGCAGCTGAAGGAACAACAGCAGCTGGAAGAGACCACTGTAGTGAATACATCGTCTGTAGGGGCTGGGGGCGATGTGGAGAACAACGATTGGAATGCCCGTAATAACGACACCAACGCTGCAGCCACCGCTGCGCTTACGAATGTCTTAAAAGCCCAGTCCTCATCGATAGCAGAGTCCACACCGCCTGCACCGCCCAACAAATGGAGTTCGGAAATGAATGCAATGAGTAGCGCCGCCTCAAACGGCAGCAGCAACAACAGCCATAAGCAAGAGTGGGCCACTCCACGCGACAATAGCACCGGTAGCGGATATCCGGAGAACGAGGGCAGCAACCATTGGAACAGCTCTCAGCAAGATGGACGACGCAATTCCGGAAACTATCAGCGTCGCAGTGCTGGAGGAGACGACAGACGCGATCGAGATCGTGACCGCGACCAGGGTGGACGTGGCGATGAGCGTCGCAATGGTGGCGAAAGGGGAAGCTATCGCTCGCGTCAGTACGGAAACTCGACAAACGGACGCAATCCTGGTGGCAACAGTGGCGTCTACTTCCGCAACAATGAGTCTGGAAACGGAGGCAACAACTATTACCAGAATGGCGGCGGTGTCTACAACAAGGAGTCGCGCTATGACTCTTCAGGAGGCGGTGGAAGCTATCGCGGCCAGCGTGGTGGAAACCAGCAGAGGAACGGCAACGGATCGTTTGGCGGTGGCAGGCCTTTAGGCGACCGTGGTCGTGGCGGGGCGGGAGGCCAGGGTGCAGGTGGTGAGCGCGGTGGCTACATAAACCAACGCCAGACCCAGCCACAGCGCATGCCAATTGGATTGGAGAACAAAAACTGAGCAAACAATACGTATTACCAATAAAAAAAAAGGAAAACTTCATGCAAATCATACAGAAACACAAACACACAGATAACGAACACTGATCATCCTCCACATGCAAGCAAAGGCAACGTAGACGTACAATTACTATTACGACGTTAGACTCCAAACAAGAAAATATGAAAATTAACACATTCGTCTAGAGCAAATCACAATTAGGGTCAGGGAAAACGGAGGTAGCAGCAGCAACAGCAAAAGCAAACGAGGAATCCGATTCTTGCGCATTTTTGAACACCATGTATAATTCTTTCCCTTAATTACGATTTATTTACGTATTAATAAAAACCAAATAGCTGTTAGAAAAACGAAGAAAAATTCAAAGGAATTACAACTACATATATACAGGAAAGAAAACGCTCCAAGGGTGTTTTAAAAACTCCCAGACAGGACAGGACAGAAAGAACTTATACACAACAAAAAGATGAGCAAAGTACATAACTCAGAAAGTCTCTCCCCTCCCCTTCATCTCGAACAACCTTAACAATTATGTTCGGCTGCGCTGAAGCTCGGGGGAAATAAAAAGTATTTATACGTCTTAGCAATTAAATAACAATTCTGAATTATACAAATTAATTACTATTACCTATATATATAAACGAAGGATAAATATATTTTTAGTTTTTGCTCTTACTGTCATGTTCTATCCCATTTCAATATTTTTTTTTTGTTTAGTTTTGCCAAAATCTTAAACACAAACGAAACGAAAAAAATAATTGCAAAACCACTTATGAAAATAATAGTTGTAATTAACTCTATGCGCAATGCGAAAAAGAAGAAGTATGCACACTAACAGTGCATTATAAATGAAATGGAATGATTTATGTATTTGCAAGATAGTACATACATTAAACAAAATTATGTATATGTAAACGAGTCGTTGATTTCCAGGTTCGCGATTTCAGGCTAAGGTGAGTATATTGGAAGATATTATAAAGCTAAATATGTGAGACAGGATGAAGCTGTCTTTGCTCCTTGACAATGACTCTATTAAATCAAGATATTTTTCCGATCACAGTAAGCTACATACATATGTATATGTTACACAAATAGTGTAGAAAGCTTAATTGACGGGAAAAATAGCCTTGATCCTTGAAAAGGACTATCAAATCACGCACATGTTTTCGACCACAGGAAGTCATAGAACGCAGGGAGCGACTCGTTTATATCAAGACTGTTCCCCCGATTGGGCCTCAAATAAAGGAGAAAACAAGAACACAAAACTAGCTTGTTGTTGTCGTACACAACCATCATCAAGAAAGGGGCCATAAGGCGGGCCACAAGTAGCCAAAATTCGCAGATCTGTCGAGATGGCTTTATCTATTACATATCATTTCTTAATATTACAACAAACACATTGAGCTACTAATCAGAATCGTCCGAGTCGGAATCCACCTCTAAAATCTGATGACGACGTAGCTTCTCCAAAACCTCAAGGTCGTCCACCAAATGTGAGGGTTGAATGTAGTGCTTATTGGCACAGCCCGATACAGGACAGCGAACACTGAGATTATCCTTGATCATGGCGTTAACCGATCCACGGTCGTAGATATGACCACACATCTTATTACGCACGGGCTCCGTCATCAGCATCATCGACCATGGATCGTGTAGGGAGAACACATCGCCGCCGGTTTGCACAACTTCGGACATACTGCAATTATCATCGGAAGTAGAGCCGGCGACAACGGCCAGACCAGCATGTGATTCCATTTCTTTCTTAAAGCATTTGTACTTGGCTTTGTTCTTTACATTGGACGACTTTTTAGCGGCATCCTGCTTCAGTTCTTTGACTTTTCGCGCGAGCTCCTCTGTGGTGGCACTCTCCTCCTTGGCCTGATCTATGGCCTTGCATGTGTCTTTATGATCCTGTCCCATTTGGATCACCTTTTCGCCTATCTGCAGCCGCCGCTTATTGGCGCTTTCTTTGAGGAAATTTTGTATTTTGCCCTTCTCATCGCAGTCGCCAAGAGCTGTGTGAATTGAGATTTATGTACAACTTGAATAAATGACTTGGATATGTCTATATTACCGTCGGCCATTTGCTTAAGGAACTTCGTGTTTTCAATAAGCATAAACAGGTTGGCCTCCACTTCCTTTGTGAAATCCATCAAGCAGAGAAATGCTATTTGCAGCTATTCGAGGATGATAGCTAGAATTGTTTTGATTTTGTTTCCGCCATTTGTACATAGAGATGTTAAAACATTGATAAGTCGATATATCGATGTTTATGTATTTTTATAAATCGATGTTTTTATTTTGCAATATTTTTATCGTTAGCAGCTGTGTTTTCCGATAGCCCCGGTTAATTCAAAATTAAATTTATGAGCTCTAGGATCTAAAAGTAAATTTTTTAGCCATTTATTAGAGTTCGTACATTTAGTTTCAAATTAAATCATTTAAAAATAGTTTGATTTACAAAAACTAGAAGCTACATAAAAAAAGCCGCGACGAAGTCTCGCGGAACTCATAGTGAGATGCTTGGCGCCATATGAACAAATTCAAATAAGTGCCCACAGTGGGAATCGGGGGAGTTATTCGGAGGCTACTTAAACGAAAGATTAGTACATACATACATACATAGATTAGATACTCGTATTATATGCTCATAATGGATAATTCGGCATGAATGTCTGTCTCTGAATGCGTGTGTTTGTGTGTGTGTCTGTGAATAGGACATGCCGAAACGTACCTAAATTACCTTTAAAGGGGTCTATCGCTTATTTACTGCAGATATAACCTATGATAATCGTTGGCGCCGAAGGCGCAGTTGCATTTGGGACACTTTCGCTGCCTTGTCTCGTACCGCGTACGCAGGCAGTCGTAGCAGAAGACATGGAAACACTTTGACAAGACTGCATCCTTTCGCTTTACCTTGCACGATGGACACGTGAGCGTCTCCTTGTACTCGCGGATCTCCTCGATCATCACCTCGTCGATGGTTGTGCCAGACATTTCCATCTTCTTCATGCGCTCTGCCTTGCGCTTGAACTGTGCCAGCTCCTCATGTAGGCGCTTCGTCTTGTACGCCTCCGCCTCCAGGGAGCTCGTCTTTTCGGCCACCACCTGCTGCGCCTCCTTCATCTGTGCATGGTACTTCTCCAGATGGAGCTTCAAGTCGGCCGCCGATTGGGCCGACTCGATGGCCTTGCGCTTGTGCATCTCCATGGCCTGTTGCCGCAGCATCAGTTCCTTCTCCATCGAGGCCACCGTTGCCTGTAGGCTGCGCTCCTTCTCCTCCAGCTTTCGCAGCACTACGTGCATGGCTTCGATCTGACTCGTTGCCGTGGCCATCTGGTCCTCAAGCACTGTCTTTTCTTCCCTCAGCAGCTTGTGCAGCTGATTGGCCTTAATGCGTTCCGACATGAGCTTAAAGTTGGCATCGTCCTTCTCGCGCAGCTGCTGAATGAGCCTCGAGTTCTGCTCCTGCATGTCCTCAAAAGCCTGTCCCGTTACCTCCATCTCGTTCAGCAGTGCCTCTTCCTCGTGGGAGCCCACAAACGGCCGGGTATAGTTGCCCGCAGGACCAGGAGCGCCTCCCCACGAATTCTCCGAGGGTTTGTGGTTCGCCATTTGCTTCTGGAGCTCATACTTTTGCTCCTCGAGCTGCTTGATTTTTCTCAGTGCCTCTTCGTCGGCGAGCTTTTTCCGTTCTTCGCGCTTGCTCTCCTGCAGCTTCTTGAGCTGTTGCCGCAGCTCCTCGATCTCGGAGCGGAGCTTCTTTTCGGTGGCCATTAGTTGTACCTTGTCGCGCTGATCCTTCGAGACGCCTTTGTACATGTCCAGCAGCAGTTTCATCTCCTTCTGATCATTCAACGCTTTCCTGTAAATCAAGACAAAAAACAATGAATGCAATGGCAATCTCAGATGGAATACAACCTACTTTAGCTGGGCCTTGAGATCGCGTACCGTTTCGCTTTCCACGGTCTTCACGTCCTTGGCCTTAATCCCATCCTTGGAATCCTTTTCGGTTTTAACGGCGTTTCCTGAACCCGCATTCGAGGCTGCTGTCGTGGAGTTCTGTGGCCCAGGCGAGTCCTTCTTTTCTGCTGCGGCGGTCTCTGCTGGGCTAAGCTTTTCTTGTTTAATACCGTCCTTGACATCCTTGCCAGTGGCTTCTTCATCAATTTCATCATCGGCCGTGGCAGGGTTCTCCTCTTTAATGTTGGCTAAGTTGGTGTCGTTGCCCGCATTGGTATTATTTGTCTGCCCAGAGGAGGATGAGTGGTTGGCATTCTCCTCCTTGATATTCGCCGCAGATTCCGGCTTGATCTCCTCGCCAGCAGAATTGGTTGCTGCTTGAAGTTTGTTGCCCTCCAGCTTGGCCAGCGCCTCGTCCAGCTCCTTCCGCATCTTGACAATTTCCGTGGACGTGTCCTTGTACTTTCTCTTGTACCTCTGCACCTCGCCTTTGAGCTGGCCATTATGATTCTGCAGCGATGTGATGAGATGTCTCATTTCGCGGTTGATGGGCGCCGTCTGCTCGTTGGCAGCCATATTCTGCTCGAATTCAATGCGCAAAACTTCGTACTCCTTGCGTATGGCGGCTAGGACGTCCTCCATTTGGATCATGTCGCTGCGCACCTTCTTCTGGGCAATCAGCTCGTTGCTCTCCATCAACTCGATCTGGCGGAGATGTTGATTCTTGCTAGTCTGCAACAGGTTCCGCGTCTCGTCAAGCATCGTCTTAATCTGCATGGACTCGTTGTAGAGAACGGAGAACTGAGATTGCAGACACTTGTACTCTGTGGTCTCCACAATCACCGACTCGGGCAGTTGCCGTATCTAACGAAATCGAGAATAGAGTATACATATAAATACGCATATACTTTTGTATGTATGCATGTATATACGACAGGTAGATGTACTTACATCCATCTTGAGCTTCTCCACTTCTTTAAGGGTCTCCCGATGCGTTGCATGCAGCTTGTCCAGCTCCTGCAATCGATTGTTGGCCAATTCCCGATACTCTTCCAGTTCCTTTTGCAAATCCTCCAGGAGCTGGCTGTTCACACTGGTCGTGGTAGTGGCAGAGCCTGTGCTGGGGGTCTTGGCACTGTTGCTGCTCTTGTTAGGATCGCCGTAGATCTGGTGATAGGCCTTTAGCTTCTCAATGGCCTCGGCCAGATGGTTCTCGAGCTTGTCGTTGCGGCAATGGATCTTCTCCAAGTCATATTGCAGCTCGTCGATTTGGTTCTTGAGCTCGGCATTCTCCGTCTCCTTGGCGGTGAGGGCGTCCTGATATTCCTTCATCTTCAGCGACATTGTGTGGAATTTCTCGTGCAGCGACGTGTTCAGATTCTGCAGGCTGCGGTTCTCGGTCATGATCTCGATGTGCGTTTTCTTTAGCGTCTCCTCAAGTGCCTGGACCCGAAGTGTAGCTGCTTCCGCCTCGCCACTGGACTTTTGCTCGTCATCTCCACCACCAGTTCCCGCAGCCCCGGACCCTGCTGCACCCGGCAGGCTATCGCCCCTCAATACATGAGTTATCTTCTCATTCCGCTGCATTAACCTATCAATAACCTGTACGATCTTGGCTACTGCACGCTTCGACACCTGGACACGGTTGGCTAGCTTCTCGTCCAGCTCCTCCTTGTCCCAGGAGGATAGTTGCGTCAGAAAGGAGGTGGTCACCTCGTTTTCATTCTTGTTCTCCAGCTCATCGGCCGTCTCCGCATCGAATCGCTGCAGCAGGACTCTGATGTCCTCGTTCAGTTGATTCCAATACCGATTCACTACGTTCAGCACGGCATCGTCTTGCGTTTGCCGCTTCTCCAGCTGTTCAATGCGGTGTCTCAGTTCGGCCTCGGTGCGCATCCGCTGCTCGATGCGCTGGGCAAGCTTCTTGTTTTGGAACTCGAGCACCTTGATGTCCATCTCCTCGAGAGTGGAAACCGGCCCAATGAGGTGCGGCTCGAAGTGCACCTTCTTAATGGGTGGCTGCCCAGCCGCTGCTGCCGCCACCAAGCAGCTGCTACCGCTGCCGCCAGTAGCATCGTCAGCGCTGCGTTTCGACATCCTTTAACTGTAAACAAATCATAACAAAAATACATTTGAAACGGAAAGCGCACTTAGGATTATTGATTTTGTGCAGAAGCGGCAAGTGGCAGTCGCAGCTACGGCCGCAAATTTCGTGGCTGTACTCCATTTTTTATCGTGTGGTGGCGCGGGTGTCGCCGAAAAGAGCCAGCGAAGATGTCCCCCCAACTACGTAAATATTGAGATAAACTTATCTTGTAGGAGTTGCTTACCTTAGTCTCGGGCTTTTACACTTTTAACTCAACATTTATTAAGCTTTTCTATTGAATTTCTACGTTTTATCTGGCTTCATTTCGCGATGCAGTGTGACCGCTATCAAAAAATATACCGTCTGACCCTCACAAATATACTATAGTATATACCATACCATATACCAAACTAACCCACTTAACCCCCCTCTATTTAAAAAGTTGAGCAGCCTTTGTTAAACCGTGGAAAATAATGCTGTTTGCAAAGGATCCTTGTAGCTCCATCCTCCTATGTACTTAGAAAACAAAACTGACCACCGACATCTTTCACCTGTATTGCGTAAAATATGTTCAAGTTACATAAATTTCTTGGAAATATGAAATACCCCCCTGGTCGACAATGGGCTAACGTTCTATATTATTGATTGAAATCGTATTCCATTATTTTGATATTCAGTTTAATATTACTAGTTGGTTGGCCATCTCAGCCCTAAACAAGTAATTTTATCTGATAGATATAGCAATTTTCTACAAGATTGGCTAGATTTCAGAAGTCTTTTTTATTGCATTGTTTCCATAAAAAGGTTCAAACAAAAACAACATAAAACGAATGTGACGTCGTTTTTGTGGCGTTGCCAGACTCGTGCAATTCGTAGTTGCTGCGGGCTGCCATACCATGATATTTTGTGATACGAAATTCGTCAATTTTGATATTCAGTCTAATTTTACTAGATAGATGGCCCTCCCAGCCATACAAAAAATAATTTTATCCAATTCATCAATAGATTTTGTTGAGGATTGGCTAGTTTTCAGAACTCTTTTTCATTGGATTGTTTACATATTAAAGCATATAACGTAAATTTTGACTAAATGTGACGTCAGTGTTGCTGGTCAACCAAGTTTCTTCTATGCATACATATATATTTCTGTATACCTTATTTCTTTTAATTGATGTTAAATGTTTTGTTCCAAGCTCCATTGAAAACATTATTTATGATTTTATCCTAGATTGACATGTTTTTTACATTAATATCATAACCATAATATAACCATAAAATAACAATTCGAATTCGAAGTCGAAACGCGAAAAAAAAATCGTCAAACAGGAAGAAGAAGAAAAACAACCAAAGTTGCACAACAGTGCTGTGCAACAGTCTCTTGTTGCTGAGAGAGAGCAAATTTTGAAAAACCACCACGATTTGAGAGCGAAAAATGTCGGTATTTTTAGTGCGTTAAATGGAGTTTGGCGGTCATTTTGAAAATTCGACAGTGGGTTAATCGTTGAATGTTCATGATCGGAACTCATATTTCTCGACTTTGAAATTCGGTTTCATATTAATAGCCAGCTGTATGGATGTTTGGATCATTGTCGACCAGTTGTGAGTGCCCCACAAATATAAAACTACGAATTTTAGTGGAGTTCAGGTAAAAAATATTTATTGTGGAGGGGGTTTTCCTAGGGTTTTAGTTTGCCAAACAGACTTAGTCTTCTGTTGCTTCCTCTTATATAGCGTATTTCCAAACTGCTGCGCTTCTGCGAGCTGTACAGCCTCCACCTCTGTCTGTGGAGCAATTGAATTACTTTCTGAATTACGTTCTTCTTCTTACTTTCGAGCATGGTCTGGCGCTGCTTGTCGAATAGAGCGTTTTTTAATGTCTTGGTCACAAGGGAAGCCATCGTGTCGCGCGGCAGTGTCACCGGTACTGACTCTAAGTACTGACTCTGACTCATCCATGCAACTTTCAGTTTCTTTGAATTCCCATCATTTTCTTCTTCCCATTTCGATCGGAATATAGAATTATTCTAAAAATACCTGACCAAACTAAGTAGCCGAACGTCCTCGCTAGAAGATTTGTAAGGAGCAGAACCAGGCGAGGGTTAAGCCGCATCCATCCATCCGACTTGGCCACCAGGAACATATAAATTCCTGTTGCACCATCTCCGTTGTCGTCCGTTTTTCCCGATCTTAAATAGAAATAGAAATTGTCCTTGACTCTTACCAAAAGTTGCTAATCAACAGTAACACTACGCTAAGTACGCTTATTGTCTGTGATAATTGTTTACAATAAACCTACATAACCTAGAACCTGGAAAAAAAAAGAAAATCGAGAACCAGCGAAACAAGGGCAGGACGACTAAAAAAGTTTCATTCATTTCATTTGATTTATCATATTGATTTGAGATATTTAATACAGGTAGCAACCCTAAGTAACGGATGATAAAAGTAAGTGACTTTCGATAATAGTATCGGCAATGTGACCCGCTGAGCGTACAACTAACTTCTGCTTGCTTTGCAACTCGTTTGTGCGTTTAATTCGAATTTCCCGCGTAACTACATATTCGACTAAACAACTAAAAAATAAAGCTGTATTCTTTTTAAACTATCCATTCAATGATAATAGCCGGCATGTGGTTATACATCTAGAGCATTTTTGATTGCGATTGTAAGTACAATTTTTATGTTGTTCGTTAAAATTATATTTTCAACTTAATATGCTTATGTAGATAAAGAATTGACAGTCTCTAGCTTAATTAAACCAAGCAGCTTCCATGGAGATAATGACAATTTAATAAGCACTATATCCATTTCCCACAGCACAATACCCATTCCATCTCATCATATATTATACGCCATTATTATACTTTGTATATTTAATAAAGTCAGTAAAACGAATAAAAAACGAAAATTAAATAACGTGTAAGATGGAGGGGTCTTAAAACCTGATTTTTCGTTTGGAAATTAGGTCTTCGTTTTTATTTAGACTTTTGCATCATCAATTCTCAGTCAGCGACTAAGAACAAAATAACAAAATTAAAAAGTGAATCAATGAATTTTCCAAATAACAAAATGCTACATACTATAATTTGTTTATTTGTTTGTTAAGCAGATTCCCATTCCATTCCAGAAATTGCTAGAATGACAAAAAAATAAGTTAAATAAAAAAAAAAAAAGACAACAATCTTAAGAAGTTGGACGTCAGTGGGTTATGTAGTTGCCACGGATATTTATTTGGTTAACCTGTTGGTGAATCATAAATAACCCAAAAACTTTGTTGCTTCTAAAAATGTTTAGTTATTGAAACCAGCTTAAGTCGATTGATAGAACCCCGAAAGTCTCAGGTTTGGCCCGCCTTTGTCTGGCAGGAAAAAATTTGTGTTAAAAATAGCCAAAAGACAGAAATCATTGAGAAATGATGATGGTTAGACTACTACGGAAGGGGTGATGTGGCAATTGCTTGGCTTTTAAAATAGCCTGTTGCATTAGTCGCAGTTCAAAGATGTCCGATTTTTATGGGCCCAGCCTGGAACGTGAAGTGTATTTATTATTTAAATAGCTAAATCATTTTTAAATTGAGAAACTGCGCAGTTTTCGCTGCTCCCTCGAATGCCACGGCAACGGCCCTTGTAAGCCCCCTAATAAGCGCCTTTCAATCGTTCTGCCATCACGATCCGATTCCAAAGCAATACGATCCGAAAAATCTTCGCAAACAAAGAGTTTGAGAGGCTCTAATTACACTTTGGCTGAGCTTATTGAACTGACATTTGATAGCGCTCTGAGTGATGTGATTACCATCGTGCACACAATACTATATCTAATTATGCACAAGTGAGACGGACATCAAGAGGTTGGCGCATGTCTAAACAGAAACTTCCGCCGATCTACAGGAAACCCAAAGCTGTAAATTTTGCATTAATTAAAAGTAAAAAGTGATTGAGGCGCTCAAAGATGCTTAATTGTAAATAAATCATAGCCCGGTAACAGAAATAATGGTTGAAATATTCCAAGGGTCGACTGTGCAGTATCCTGCTATGGAAATAGATTGGCTGTATTTCATTATTAGAGAGCTTTATATTTTTAGAATTGGTTAGGTTATGTGGTAAAAGATAGATTCAAAGAAATTCTATAAGCCATGGAATCATTAGAACCATCTTTTTCAGCTTCATCATTGTACAAATATTTTATTAAACTTCTAGCTCTCATTGTCTAATACGCCTGAAACACTTATGGATGGGGATTTTAAGTGTTCCCCCAAAACCATCTTGGAGATACTCCAAACTGACAGCCAACGAGTGTACAGAATGCCACTCAGCGTGCACTCGAGGCGGTCCCCCGAAAGGGCTTCAGCAATGGCAATAGAAACAAAAGATGGGTAGTCCATGGAACTACAAATATTAGATAACTAATTGAGCATGCCGCATACATATTGTATTGTACAGAATTAATGATGTTTTCGTTGCTGTACGAGAAGTATCGTATCTGTGTATATGTATGCATATGTATTGTATATGTGGAGTGTGAGAAGTGCGAATTTGAGCGACGTTGATAATGAACTTCAAATTGTTGTTAGTGGCGATCCGACGACCGCTGCTTCTGCCGCTGAGTAAGAAACCGGACAGGTGATGCTGTCCCAGCACACACTCAGGCACATCTTCATTCAAATATCGGAACGTTGGGATTTATGCAAAACGTATAAAGCAAAACAACAACAAAATAAATCCGAGTTGAATGTTAGTATATAAGCAGTGCCTTGGGTGTCTCGGATATTAGTAGCGCGCCAACTGCAGAACAGCAAAAACGTAACCAAGCGATACCTGGATATATTGTGTCTAAGCCCCAAATAGTTTGATCTTTAAATCACACACACTCACACAACACAACACACAATGAAGTGCTTCATTTTGGCTGCGCTGTTGCTGGTTAGTAGCCCCCGAGCCAAAGAAAAAGACTAGAGAATTTGCATAATTAAGACAAAATTTACGACACGCGATTAAACGATCTCTGCTGAATGAGATGAGATCTATTCAATTAAAATCCGGGTTGCGACTCGACTCCATGAATGTCAACCGCATGTGTGGCCGTCCGCGAATGTCAGTGCAAATATTAGTTATACAATGTGCAAACATCAAATGAACTTAAAGTTACAGAGACAAGTATTTAATCAGTTACTAAAGCCAAGAAATGACATCATCGGTGGAGATGATACTCGCGTATATGGTCATCGTGATCTATAGAATCGTGTAGCGTGTCACAAAGCCCCTTTGGACTTTTAAAATATATCACATTTATCATTTTTGGCTATGATTTCTGGGAAATTGAGTTCACACTTAATCCAATTAAATCGAAATCTTCTTTCAGGCCACCGCCGCCAGTGGCGAGAACATCTTCAAAATAAACATCACGCCAGAGGAGGCACAACAGTTTCTAAACAGCGCCCAGTTGCGTGGCATTGGAGATATCGAGTTTGCCCCAAAGACTGGGGAGAATCCCCTGCCCGAGGCCAGGAATGAGCAGGGACAGTTCGTGTACATGGGTCGTGTGATCGAGCATCCCGAGGAGTATGTGGAGGAGCACTACGACGCCCATCAGTACCATGGACAGGATGGTCTGGGACAGTTTGCGTACGGCTACAGGGACTGGAATCAGGGAAAGAACGAGAAGCGTGACGAGACCGGAAAAGTCACCGGATCCTATAAGTATGTCCAGCCCCATGGCCGCGACTTTATCGCCAACTACTATGCCGACAAGTCTGGTTTCCATGTCGAGGACAATCGTCCCGCCCATCTGAAGTTGCCAGCCACCAAGACCCCAGCCGTTCTGAAGGCCGAGGAGGAGCACTTCAGGCTGTGGGGAGAGCTGGCCGCCGCCGCTGGTCACAATCCCGATCCATATGCCGCCGAGTACCAACAGGAGGGTCGCTACCAGCCGACGGATGCCGAGACCCGCGAATACGTGCACGAGGAGCCCGCCTATGTGCCTGGACCCGAGGAGACTGGCGAGCCCAAGGGCTTCTTCTATGCCTTCGACTACAATGTGCCGCTGCTGCGTAACAAGGAGGAGCGCGCCGAACTGGAGCGTCTGAGGGCCGTCAACAACAAGGATGAGTAGGACCTTCGGTCGCCCTGTATAGGAAGTTCTGTAGAAAGTAGCAGCATATTCATCAGCATATCTTAGATATCAAGTATTTATTACCTCCTTTGAAATAAATTGCAGATTAAACTACACTTTTGTCAAATACGATCTTTTATTATTACATACATATACATATAAAAATGTGTGGGGGTTTTTCCTCGCTCGTTTGTGTGTGTATCTTTTACTTGGGGTGTTGGTGTTATTTTTTTTCTTGTTGTAGAAGTTATTGTTATCCAACATTTCACACGCACTTTCCCGCCCCCTAAATTTGTTTGCCATTTCGTTTCGTTTACCGCTTTTCAAGTAAAATTATTGCTTTTTTAGACTTAGACTACGTTTTAATTTGTAATTATAGTGTGATGTTGTGGTGTTCTGTTGCTGTAATGGGCATGCCATGATTTAATACTAATTTTACACGAGCATTTCTCATTTACAACCGGTTAAAAACTAGCATATACTTTAGGGTTCGTTCTCCATCATCTCCATCTTCAGAAGACTCCCGCAGAAGTCAGGAAACTCTAGTTCTAAATATAATACCAATTGAAAGCAATCGATTTTGATTAGTTCTCATACAATTTCACTGTATGGCACCTTAACGACAAAAAAAGGGACTTTAAACTGTCAAACAAAACACAAAAAGGAGAAAATTGTTTCCTGCTGAAGATTCTTCGTTTGAGTTTTTTTCCTAGCAAACAAAATTATATTTTATTCGGTATACATGGTGTATTTCTTTCAATAAAATTGTTCGATGTGGAAACAAAATTTGATTTTCGATTGGATCACAATTGAAATTTCGTTCATTTATGGGAAATATTTGTTTGGGTTCATATACAAAAATGTCATTGGTTTTGCATATATAAGTATATATTTTTATATGGCAGCATTGTTCAGTCCGATATTGCAGTTGAAACATTAATTTTTCCTTTCAGTTGAGTTTACCGAATATTTATTCGAATTTTGTTTTTTTTTTTTTGTTACATTATTTTTCAGATGCGATAATGGGGTGCATGAATGGCTTCCTTTGAAGTTGAGGGATTGGATATTTTTTTTGAGGGTACAGACAAAAACAAACAAAATAAAGCTATAAAGTTAAACGACAGAGCATGCAAACAACTTAAACAAGATAAAAAGAATCATAAGTAGTACCAAAAAAATTAAAAGTTAAACTTTAACAAAAGTTATGTAAAACATATTAGCGACTCTGCGGATTTGTATACTTCTGTGTGTTCGGGTATACACGTAAGGTACATAAGTTAGTGGTTTCTCATAGAGCAAACAGCAGTAACAGTAGCAGCAGCAGTAGCGCGTAAGCCTCCACAGGTCGTAGATCGTTGGTCGTACTCTCCCTCAACTTCAAAGCGCGGAGATCAAAGAAGATTCGTAATACTTTCGCATAATGGATGCACAGTGGGAATTCCAGATTGGATTTGACAAATGGGGGAATGGGTTTAGCGTATATGTAGATATACCTTTTAGTCTAAGATGTGATCGGTTGGTGGAGTGAGTGCGATGGATATTCATTTGGCGCATGAGTTACATTTGACGATTGCCATGGCAGCAATCCCCAAGTATTAAATACATTAATTCTTTGTTCGTGATGTTGTATTTTTTGGGGGTTTTAGGGATTTGTCGCTCAATATCTCTCTCTCTCTCTCTGTGGGGACATCTTGTATATAAGGCAAATATCTGTATATCGAACTATATAAATATGTACGTTTATCATTTCTCAGTTAAATGCCGATTCTGGGAAGATTCTGCGAGTGAATGTCATCGTCTATGTATGTCTATGAGCATGGGGAGCATGGCACAACTGTTCTAAGAGTAGTTCTGGTTCTTTTCGAGTCTGCGACTGGATTTGGTATCCAAAAATTGACCGATTCAACGTGTATATATGTTTTGTATATATATAAACGTATTCTGTATATATAAATCTTGTATATGCAAACGACTCTAACCCTACGCTGTGGAGCCTATGCTAGTGAGTGCCTGGTCTTGGGCGTCCCGCCTTTTCCACTCCAACTTACCTACAAAATGTTGAGTATAAATCATCTGTACCCCTCCTCCTACTTGGCCGCGGCGGCCGCTGTGGCACTGGCCGATGACACTTTCAGCTTGATGAACATATTGGTGTCGTTGTTGCTGCCGTTCAGATCTAGCTTCTGCACCTCGCACTCCAGATTGTTGATGCAGTTCTTCTCGTACTGCGTGGTGCCATTGTCCGACGAGGCGGCTGCCTTCTCGCCAGCCACTTGCTCGCTGGGGGCCACCTTCTTCTCCTTGCTCTTCTTGAGGGCATTCAGAAGGGTCTTCTCTTTGCTTTTGCCTTCTTTGTGACTGCTGTCCTTGTCCTTGTGCTTGTTGTTCTTGAAGCGCGGGAAGATACAGCCGTTGGGCAGGAAGCCTCCAAGTTTCTCCTTCTTGGCTGGAGCAGCTACTACGGGAGTGGGTGTGGGTGCGGCAGTAACCGGTGGCGTGGCAGCTGGCATTTGCGTTGAAGCGCTTGTTGTGGGAGTGCCGGCTCCGTTAATGGCCACGGGTGTGGCGATCTTAACCTCTGTTTCGGCATCCGCCGCCTGCTGACTATCTACGGCAGTCGTTAAGCCATTCGTATTGGCCACTGAGCTGCCTCCAGCATCGGTCTGATCCACACACGCATCCTCTATGGTTGCCAGCGACTCCACGTGTTGCTGCTGTTCCGTCTGTTCGCTGGCCACTTTGTTGTCCAGCTGCTGGGCAAACACTGCCAATGTGATGCCATTGGCATTACCATTGCCATTTCCATGCTCTGCCATCAGCGGCTCACCAATGTGAGCCGGTGGAGAGCTGGCCTCGTTCAACCCGGCGCCGGCACTGGCAGCTCGTGCCGCATCCGGTGACTTGGGAAACATTTGCTGTGTGGTGATGTTCTGGTAGTGCTGCTGCTGTCGCTGCTGCAGCATTTGCTCCTCCCGCTCGCGATCCCGCTGGGCCTGCACGGCATTCCACACATCTTTCAGCTCGCCGGAAATGTCCCGATCTTTAAGTATGACGGCGTTTCTATGGGTTCAAGAGTTAGTTTAGTTAGCATATTGTATACGCTTTGATATCCTTAGACAGCACCTGACTAGTTTCACGCCGGGATTCATAGCCTCCACAAAGTCGCACATTAGCTCAACCATTGCGCGTCGCTCCTCTGGATCTTTGCTATGGCGTCCAGAGTCTTTGAGGACCTCGGGATTGGCCATCACCGCAAAGACAATGGGCGGGCTACGTGGGCTGCCAGGCGGCACCTTAAATTGAAAGAATATTCGGTCTACAAAGAGGAACTTGTTGCCAGAATGTTAACTCACGCGCATGCCTCCGTATAGGGGAATGGGATCACTGGGCTCCTGCGGTATCACAATGCGCGTCCAGCTAAGGACGTTGATGAACAGCTCCTCGCCCGTCTCCGTGGTGGTGCGGATGCACATGTGCGGCTGCGGCGGGTTCTTAAAGTGGCGATAGGCTCGTGAATGGCGATAGCTGTGCGGCGGTGGCGAGTTCTGCATTAGGCTTAGTCCCAGGCCGGCCAGGCCATTGTCTCCCTCCTGTTGCTGTTGCATCTGGGCGTGTTGCTGCAGCTGCAGCTGCTGGTCAATATCCACATTATCATTGTAGCTGTTTGTGGTGCTTAAAGGCTCCTCGATGGCAGTGTTGGTTTGTTCGCTGTGGGGTTGCTGCTGCTGCTCTGGCTGCTGTTCCTGGGCGGCAGCTTCCGCCTCAAGTTCCGCCGCTGACATAATTACCAATTTGTGGGCTGGCGACAGTCTTCAGTTTTATTCAGTTCGGCGATGGATGTCCTTTGCCCCTTTTCTGCGTGTAAGTGGAGGGAAGGGGAAGGCCTATGCCCGCTCTCGTTTCCACCCGGATTCGCCGTGCGGCGAATTCACCCAGCAGTGTTTTTCGTCCTCTTTGTTCGTCACACCAGCAGCCTCTGGCTTTCGTCCGTCCCTAACACATTGCTTGGAGCCTAACTTTTGACCTTTTGCGCAATTAATGGATATGCAAGCATATTACGCTTTTGCGGCTCCTGCCGTCCGGACTAATATCCTCCAACGGACGGAAAAAACCAACAGAAATTCAAGTCTTTATCTGGCACGCACACACACACACACACACACTGCACTCATACACACGGGAAATCGGACAGAGGTAAACACCCTTCTTCACTGCGCACCCCGCACACGTACAAGTGGGAGTTGGTTGTCGTCTGGCCACCGCGGTCGGGGGGAAGAAAAGAAGATGAAAAAATAACATGAAAATGGAAAAGTTCAAAGCGTCGGCAACTTGCTGTTGCGTTTTGAATGCTGCACTTACACATTTCACCAGTTTTCATTTATAATAACGATTTTCCCTTGCACCAGGCACTCGCACACAACTACAAAACACAAGCGCACCGTTGTACATATACACACACAAGATGCGTTTCTGCTGCTTTCCGTTCCTGTCTCGAATCACATATTTTCCATCGACTAAAAAAACAATGCACCGACGAAGAGCTGATTTTTATATTTAGCTATTTAGCAGCTTTTCATGGCAGACCAACCAGACGAAAACAGCCGACTTCAACATAAACAAAAAACGAATGGAGCAGTGTGGCCAGAGATACAGCGAACAGGAAACCAGGGATGAAAAGAATATGTGGTTCTATTCAAGACAGCCACCAGTTCAAATGAACTGTTCAAATTAAACGAACCTATGTTTTTGAGTGGCTCGATAGTTTTATCACAATATCACAACTTTGGTTGTTTTTCTTCTTCTTCCTGGTTTGTTTTTTTTTGATTTCGCGTTTTCTGTCAAAGAACGAAATTCGCGAAGAAGAAGAGCGTGCGCGCGGATGTGTCACTGGCCGCGGAACCTTGTGCCGCATATCATCGGATACACGCTGGGCCGCAACGAATGGAGCGTCATCTTGTTATCGTCCTCGTCCAGGCCGTACTTGGAGAAGTGCTTCACACAAAACACCCAACTGCCGGTCTCTGGGCGATACTCGACGAAGCGCGTATCGTTTGCATAGCAGGCGCAACGCAGATGTCCCTCCCAATTCATTTCGATCAGACGCTGCGCATCCTTCACAACAGGCACAGGCTGGGTCTTGTCCACGGGCCATACCTGCTCGAGGGTGACTTGTGCCTCACGATTCAGGCCTTGGTTGATAGGCGGCCTCTTCTCATCGTCAGGATAAATGATGATCCCCTTGTTACGGAAGTAAACTGCAGAGAGAGAGCGAGAATAGTTCTTGGCGGATGATGCTTGTCTGGCCTGGCTCCTCCCCAATCACTTACCAATCTCATCCAGATTCAGTCCAGCCACGTCCATTTCCATGGCAAAGAACACAGTGCCATAGCCCTCGCGTCCAATGGTGAAATTGGGCACCACACAGGACCCATCCTCGGCCAGGTAGGACTTGAGATCATCCAGCGAGGGTATCGTGTAGTAGCCCACGCGTCGCAACACTATCCCTGTGGGATGTGGCGCATAGTCTGACGCCCCATAGCGCCTCGTTGCTGCCTCAATGGCCAGTCTGGAGCGATTCACTACAGTCTCCTGCGAGAGGGCCGCCTGCTGCTGCTGCTGCGATGCGAAGGTATCCCGCTTGGCAATGGCGCTGGTTTGCGACTTATCCGTATCCTGCCGATGTTGGTCTCTGCTGTCCCTGGAAGAGAAACCGCTGCTGCTGCTGCTGCTGCTGCTACTGCTCGCCGTCTCTGTGGGACTGTCGGACTTTTGGTGGGGACGTCCCAAAGCCGCTTGGAGCCTGTGGGGACCGTTGCTGTTCACCGAAGATTTGGAGTTTGGGATATCGGCGGCCTTGTCCTTTTTTTTCTCTCTTGTTTTCCTGTTGGTGAACCAGGTATAGAACCTATCACACCACTTTTCCTCTTGCTCCAGCGGAAAAACCCTTCGCATGTTGGCTTCTAAATATCTGGCGTCTCCCAGCGTCATGTGAATGTTATTATGTACAAAGTACTCTCCCACAAGCGTTACGAGCTTCCTCTGTTGCGTCGCTTTGAGCTTTACGTTTTTGCGCTTCTTTTTTAGCAGCGCCTGGCCCGCATTTCCACTGTTTAGGAGGATGCCGTACACGTTTATAACCGTAGTCACTGTGGACGGGCATGATGCGGCGTCCTGCTGCGAAATGTGGTCGGACTCATCCGAATCTCCACTGCTCGACGTCACATCGAAGTCGTCGTCGCTACTTACATTCTTGAATACGGTGACTGGCACCGGAACGTAATCATGGTCATGGTCAACATGGTCGTTACCTGTGGCGGCGGCCTGGTCATCCAACCAAGACTTAACGTATCTCCTTTTACTCATTATTACAGCTATTGGTGCGTCGCGTCCACACACACACACACGTATATGCTCAAAATGGGATGCTCCGGCTGTTGCTCCACTTAACTACAGGTAAGTTATTTACTGGTACTATATCGTTACGTTACTAACTTAGTTAACGTTACGTAGTTACTGCACGGTGCCTAGTTAGTTTAGGCGTTTAAGCGAGTTTAAGTAAAAGAGTTTGAGCCGATTTTGCGGGCGCCGCAGACGCACACACACACGTAACTATGCTCATATGTCGGGCTGTTGCTCCACTTAACTACAGGTTAGGTTACTACTGTTACTAGATAGTTACTAAGTTAACGTTACTTTACGTAGTTGCTGTACGTAGTTAGTTTCAGCATTTAAGCTAGCTTAAGCGCTTTGGCGCGCCGCGTCCACACTCACACAAACACACATATCATAACGGATCTTTCACTAGGGCTGGATCGTTGCCGAAACGATAGTATCGATATAAATTTATAAATTATATTTATATAAATCGTAATTGAGATGTATCTCATGAGATCTGAAAAACACGATGGCTATAACTATAGAATTCTTTCTATAACTATAGCCTCCTGCTAAGGATTGGTAAGGACATAAACTGGACCTAGACGTACAACAATCGATGGTATTGTGTTCGTATCGATAGCATAGCTAGGGCTGCAAAAACTGCAAAACCGACGCTACGCGACGCTACGAGACGCTACGAGACGCTACCCGGCTACCGGCTACTAGGACTAGCCACTGACAGGACTTTCCAGGACTTCCAGGACTACGCACTACACTGCACAGGACAAGATGGATACGAGCAAGGCTGGAGCCAGTGCCACTGGTGCGACCAGCAATGCGTCATCCCAGGACCAGCAACAAGCTGTGGGCCCTTTGCGACCGGCAAAGCCTGGCCGGATGAAGAAACTAGCATATCCGAAGAAACCTGACCAGTACACAAACCGCCGACCCGTTTGTCCCATGTTTTACCTCTTCAAATCATTTAGAAAGAGCAAATAATTGAACTCGGGACAGTGATACAGAAAACAAATCAAATGCATGAATAGGTACAAAACTTGTCAATCTAAGACAAATTCAATATAAATGATTCAAAGCAGCTTGGAACAACAAATTAAACGCGCGCTAAAAAAACAGTATAAAAAATACCGAACAAGAGAAATTTCACTAAAAAATCCACCCAAAAATTCAACCCTTGTAGTTACCATGTAAAAAATTGACATTTTTGCTGACCTCTGCTTAAACCTTATTGTATAATTAATGGGAGTCCTTAAAATGAGTCAGATTGTAGAACATTGATTCATAAAATGATATATTCAGTTGTTAAAGTCCTAGCTAGCCAGTAATATCAAAATTTTTCTCTGAAACGTACACATTCCTCGCTAGAGGTCTCTGTCGAATTTTACAGAAATATGTACTTAATTTGTAGCAAATGTGTAGTTAACGTGTAGTTACCATGTAAAACATTACATTTTCCACCAGATTGATTTTTGATTAAACCTTATTTTTGAATAATTCTAATGAAAATCTAATTCTTATGATTGGCAAATCTTTAAGGAAATTGATTAATTAATCATAGAAAAATATATTTTCAGCGCTGAGAGTCCTAGCTTGCTACTAGTATTAAGCCGAATATCAAAATCGAGGAATATCAAAGTATCTTGTTGTGTCCGTCAGTATATTTACGGTATATTTGGATAATGACAAGGTATATTTCGGTATATTCGGACCGCAGTCACACTGGTCTCACTGGTCGCTGCCGGCGTGAATTTTTTTGCAAAACATAAAAAAAGTGCAAGAACCATTAAAAACCGCGGCAAATTTTACAATTGAAGCAAATAGTAACAAACAAACTATAGTGTAATTGTTGGGAAACTATTTCCCAAGCTTGAAGCCTCGTTTTCGGTGCTCGCATCGTACTTTTCACCTATTCCTTGGCGGGCGGTTGTGTGTATAACAAAATGGCGTCCTCGCAAGTCTCAAACAAATCGGGCTCCGGCTGGCCGCTCCGCGGAAGTAGCAGCAATAATAATGGCACGCAAAAATTTGCCCCCAATCAGGCACTGACCATAAATCGCACCGTCAACCTGTAAGTAGCGAATGTGGCCGTGCCTTAATATACCGATATTAACATATCCCCCTGCACAGATATCCCCTGACTAACTACACATTCGGCACGAAGGAGCCGCTCTTTGAGAAGGATCCATCGGTGCCATCAAGGTTTCAGCGTATGCGAGAGGAATTCGATCGCATCGGCATGCGCCGCTCTGTGGAGGGAGTGCTGCTCGTCCATGAGCATGGGCTGCCACATGTGCTGCTGCTGCAGCTGGGCACGACATTCTTTAAATTGCCTGGCGGGGAGCTTAATGCTGGCGAGGACGAGGTCGATGGGCTGAAGCGACTTCTCTCCGAGGTAGGGAAACATCGGGCAATGTATCTTAGACTAATTTAATTAATACTTATGGTGGCTGTTTTCTTTTGTAGACGCTGGGTCGTCAGGACGGCGTCAAACAGGAGTGGATTGTCGAGGACACCATTGGCAATTGGTGGCGTCCCAATTTCGAGCCACCACAATATCCGTACATTCCGCCGCACATCACCAAGCCCAAGGAGCACAAGCGGCTGTTCCTCGTTCAGCTCCACGAAAAGGGTAAATATCCAATTGGCTGGCTCTGACTGTGCCTAAAGAAAAAGCTCCCAGCGTAGGTATATTGAGTGGCGTGATAAATGCACCAGAAGCACAAATGCATTGGAAATAACCATCTCCATATGTTCTATATATAATCCTTGTATCGTTTTTTTTCTGTTTGCCAAAACCGAATACGCTAACAAACCTCATGTCATATCTTTTCAATGCTGTTTAGATACGGACAGGAACGCCAGTTACGATGTACCCTGAGCCGTTCCATTAGCGCCGTGCTGGTGTGTCGTGCCACCCAACTCTACTATCAAGAGTGCCATGTGCCATACCCATAGATCGACAAAACGAGCAAACAGAAAAACAGATCAGAAAAAAAAAAACAGAATTCCTCCGGGCTTAGTTTTGATTCTAGAATCCATTGTACAACATTGTATCTCTATCTCAAATTTTGTATTTGTTGCTCAGAACAGCGTGTTGGCATATTTTGTTGGTTCCCACTGAAAATCCAAAATTCAATGATTGTTCTTGTATTCTTAATTTTGTAAATATGTCGACATCCATGTGAGACTGAGCGCAAGCTGTATTTACCCTCCCCCCCACTCCAATACTTACGATACATACGATACATACGATATTATTTCATTACTTCTACGAGTACTCTTACTATTGTCAACTGTCATTGTCATGTGTTCTTCTTGTCTTAAGGTTGTGTACGAATAGTCGGAAGTCACGGGCAGGCAGGGCAGCAGCAGCAGAGCATTGTAACGTGCGCCCAAATCCGGCATGTTGTGCGGATTTGTGCGCATGCAGCGCAACGCTGCGCAGCCAGGACCAGGCATGGCCAGGCCAGTCCAGTCGCTCCTTAATATAAGCACTCGTTTATATGTAACCATAACCAAATGAATGAAATACTCTGTTATACTTCTTGCGGCTCATAGCTTGTGCACTGAACAACGGGCTGCTGCCGCTTCAGCGCACAAGACAACACTAATTCGCTTAGACCATGTATAATTATGTTCATATCAGAGTAGTAGATCATCGTTGGGCGAGAGCAAGAGCACTGACCGACCAACGCATGGATCCTATTAATTAGAGTGTAACGAATCCAAACCATGAATGTAAAACATAATACATACGACTCTTTTATATATCAGCTTTTATATCATGTGGCAGCGCAATAGATTCTTTATACTATGTACATTTTTGTAACCGATTGTAACGATCTAGCTAATACGACAATTTACACCATGTTATTTACAATGCTCCATGATATCTCTACATACATGAATTCTGTCTCTATCGTTTTCTGTAATCTAGCACTATTTGCTGTGCCCAAAAATTATAAGCTTGTTGCGGCGCCCCTCTTCGAGCTATATGACAACTCGCAAGGCTACGGACCGATAATCTCATCGCTGCCGCAGGCCCTATGCCGGTAAGAATAATTTTGAATAAATCTAAATCAGATCTTCCTTTCCATTAATCGCACACTCTCTTCATTTCCAGGTTCAACTTCATCTACATGTAAAGAGATGTAAAGGCGGATGGATTCTATGTCCGATACTAGATTAGCAGCAGCACCAGCAACACCAACGATAGCTCTACTTTAAAGATTTCAGCACCTCAGATCTGCCCGTTGATTTCCATTTCATGCGTGTGTGTAATCCGTACATAATTGTATTGCAGATAAAATGGAAAGCCTTGGCCCTCTACTTGGCAAATAGAATCGACAAAATTGTGCTTTATTTGTAATATGTTCGTTCGTCTTTAATATAAGTATCAATTTCATAGGAAGGGCGGGGCGCTATTGACTAAAAGTTTAGATAAATATTCATTCGGGAATGTTTATTAGAGTATATATGTTTTTAGCGGGTGGTTATAGCATATAGTCGCCATAGATTTGCTCGAAATATTCGCGTTTGCTGCAATTGGAAGATACACACATTGGGTTGGATTATGTTATTGGACACCAATTGAGATTAAAGCCTTAAAATATGGTGCTACTCCGAATCAAGAGTTTTAAACAAATTAAGAATTATTTTCTAAATCAATGCTGCTCAGTGCTTCCGGGAATTAGTCTACATACAGAACATTTCGCTATTGTTAACATTGCATTGAGGCTATAAATTACGGATACGTTATCGTTCCGGGTGCGAGGCTTGTAACAAATGAACGAATCAACAAAACTTTGAAGAAGCTCAAAACAAAATTATCAAACTGAAGTTCAGGAACCGTCTGGATTTGGTTATGTTTGTGTAATAGGTTGTGTCTGCCTAGGCTTGGTTAAGTAGTACATGCTTAGTCTCTAAATTGTTATTTTAATTTGCTTGATTATGCTTATTATGCCACGTACTGTGGCTGCTGTGCTGCCGAGTCCCTTCTCTTACCACAACCTGTTGTGATAGAACTTGAGATCATTGTAGCCCTCGTTGGTGAGGTGACCGGCACCACCGCCGCCGGAGGACACAGTGGACTCGGCGTCTGTGTTGTCGTGGCCCGGCGAGTGATCTTCGTAACCCGGCGGACGAGTTATCTTGACACCGAAGTCCTCGCGCCCCTCCTGGCTGAACTCCATCTTGCTGCTGGGCATCACTGCCATACCCACACCAGAGGAGCGATTCTTCATTCCAGTGTGCTGCTTGCTCAGATGAAAGGCCGCTGGCCTCCGGTTCTCGCCAATGATACTCTCGGCCACCTCTGGGGATGGCGGTGTAATTGGCTCACGCTCTGGTTCGAACTCGGCCTGTGGCTCCTCCATCTGTGGCTGCATCCCGAACCGAATGAAGTGTGCCTCCTCCTGGTCCACCACGTCCTGCAGGTCCATTCGTTTGGTATTCATGTGCCCGTGTGCCTGCTGCTCGTCCTCCAGGTGATGCAAATCCATTTGAGCGGTCATCATCTCTGCAACGTGGTTGCCATCGCCATTGCCGCTGTAGAGAGAGGTTTATAAGGGAGTTAAAGAAACTGATTTGCACTCCTAAGATTCTCTAAGTAATTCATGGTTGATCATTGGGTCACTCGAAGCATGCTCGAGAATATTCTTGGTTTTATTGCTCGTCAAGTAAAAAAAAAGAACGAATAAATTACCACAAATAAATGTAAATGTCGTTAAATGTTAAGAAATATATATGTTGTGATCACAATTGTCAGGTATTTGTTTGTTTCTGGTGTGACGGTTCCGATAGTGTGGGATTATCTTTTATCATTTGTATGTTTGGATGGTGGTGGCTTTATGGTGGTGCGGCAAGTGCAGGCAGCGTCTTCTGCTGATACATTAAGTAAATTCTTTATATAAATTAACTAGGCGAAAATATAAATAATTGGCTAAAATCAAAGCTATGTACAATTCCTGTTTTAGTTCATAAATGTTTTTCTCTTTTGAATTTTCTATTATGCATTTCTTTTGTAGCCGTGTGTGCAATTTATGTGGATATGCTTTATCTATTTGATTCTGAAAGACAAAAACGAAAAGAAACAAATCAAACCCAAATGACGACAGTACAACGAAAGTGATAATGGACGGGGAGATAATGGTCTGTATGATCTGGATGGATGGAATGTGCCTCACCTGCTCGACTCTCCACTGCCTGCGACTCCGCCTTTGGTGCTGCACTTCGAGATTCCAGAAATTATCTATGGGATGGAAAACGGGGGGAAAAATTAACTACATTTTTATGGGGAAAATATTACAAGTATTTTCTAGGGATAAGATCTAACGATTTGTATTAATTAAGACCCATTTCAGTGGTGGTACGAATTATGGATTTGCTTTATTAATTGCTTAGCATACAACTTAATATAAATCCGGGCTGCAAAACGTATTTTTTGTGCCTTAGTGGGTCAAATATCGGCCCCAAAAACAGAGCCTTGGCACGCAGCCAACACAACTTTCCGTGTCATCCAACCACCACTTTTTCCTTAAGGGTGGAATTGACTTGCCTGTGTGGGGCAGTGAAAGTCGCGACACATGGCACACACACATCCACCCTTTGGGGTTGGTTTTTATTTAACCACAAAAAGTATAAACATTCTCAGGACACTAACGAGCAACAAAAAAAAAGACTGCAAGCAAAATTTAGATTACAAAGAATTTTGTCCAGAGGACATGGTCCGACTCTGGGTTACTCCTTCGCGTGGCTACTGGAATATATTTTCATTCGAAACTTGTGGATTGATTATATCTGAATTTTGGGTTTACTGGAAATTTAGTCTTTTGATGCTTCGCATCTATCTACTGAGTGGGCGCGGCATTGTCGCCATGTCCCATTTCGGCGGAGCGCACCAAGTAGATGGTGGTCTGGCAGTTGGGGCACGTGGTACACAACTCGGCTTCGGGAGGCGGAGCGGCCCCACCGCCAACTTGCGGCTGTTGACCTCCGTTGGCGGATCCGCCAGCTGCAGCGCGTTCTCCTCCACCGGCATTGGGCTGACTAGGCTGTGGGAGGCAGAGGAACAGCTCTTTAATCTCTGCGCAAGCTAGCGAGGAACTTTGTGATATTTACGAAGCCCTGCGACTGCTGTTGATATTTGCGTGGTGACAGTTGTCCCTGTGGATGGGATTGGTTCATGGACTGGGTCTCCTGTTGGGCCATTTGCTGTTGCTGCTGCTGCTGATCATGGGCAACCTGCTGCTGCTGCTGTTGCTGATTATGATGAACGTGGGCCCGTCCAGTGGGATAGGGCTCGTGGCGAGTGGGCTGGCCAGCGGCTGGTTGTTGCATGAACTGCTGCTGAGAGGGCACAGCAGCCACCGGTGGCGACTGTTGCTGTGGGGGTGGCATCTGCTGCTGCTCCTGTGTAGGAGCGGCTGCTTGCGAAGGCATGCCCTGCTGAGGCTGTTGATACAGCACCTGAGACTGCTCCTGTCCGCCAGACATGCGAATGGGGGCCACGGCAGCAGTTCCTGCTGGTGGAGCGGCAGCGCCACCATCAGTCCAACCATCTAATCCAGAGTGACGCACGCGCGATGGTCGGGCAAAGGCGTTCGTGGCCAGGAAGGCATCGTCCACATCCTGTAGACCCGAGCGACGAGCGAAGGGATCCTGCTGACGAGTTGCGCCGGCACGGCTTAGAGCATCCAACGGACTCTTGCGAGGCTGCAAGAGGGAGAGTCAGCACGAGGTAGGGCGGCAGGCATAAGATGACACGAGTTGACGGCTTACATTCTCGGTATCCCGCTTGGCTTGGCTAGGCGTCAGGCTGGCCTCGCTGGCATGCTTGCGTGACATGGTGGCTACTTGCCCTCCTGCAGGTGCTGCCTGCTGGCCATGGCGTGACTGCAAAAGCCCTCATCAGTGGAAGATGGTTAAAGTTGAGCTACGTTCAACTTACGGCAACACTAGTTCGGGATGCGTGAACGGCATGGCGTGTGGCCGGAGCATTATTACCGCGTTTCGCGTCCATAATTTTCAACACTAGAAACGACTAATCCGCACGAAACACTTGACACAAATCGCGAGGAGACTCTGCTTTGGATTTCGAGTTGTAAGTATTTGAAATGTAGCACAAACAAAAAAATAAAAATATTACTAGTAAAAAGTATTTTCTACACTGGGAATTGGAAAAGAGATCCGTTTGGTTTCGAGTATAAATTTGAACTGAACTTTTTCGAGAGCTCTCCGAATGACACACATGAAATAATGTGGAATTTGAACCGAGGAATATGCCTACTAAGGTTGAAAAATACTCTAAGGACCGTGGCCTTCTATTTAACAAATAATTTGCATCACAAAAAAACTAAACTACATAGTATTATTTTTAGAAACCCTTTGGGCCGGAGAGGTTTTTTCGTGTTAAAGCCCCACCGGACCCGGTCATGCTCTTTTCTGTTAGTACCTCTGACATGGTGCAGGCTGGGTGCTTGGCGCCATACCGTCCGTTTGGTGAGACCTGTGATATTTGCTGCTGCAGCACATTCGAGGAGTTCCTCTGCTTTTGCTCCTGGGAGCCGTGTCGCCTGTGGTCGACCTCCTCGCCCAAGTAAGTAGCACCAAAGAGTTGTGTGTTAGGACTGTTTGTTTGTTTGTTGGTTGATGATGATGATCATGGTTGGTTATCATTGGTTAGCGTAACATGTGGATGGCGAGAGAGAGAGAGAGAGAGTTAAGTTAGTTTAAGCCACAGAAAGAAAAAGCACAAAGCAACAGACCACCGACAGTTCTTATCAGGGACTAATTTTGTTGGATTTCGTTCGGATATCGTTCAGATCTGGACAGGGCTTCCTTTGGCCAAACAAACAATCAAAGAAAGAAACAATGTTGGCCACGACAGTGGTCCGATTTGCATACGATATGCAAATGGGGCCAAAGAAATGGCCAACTGAAAGTGAAATGTTTCCTGCAGCGAAAGCAACGCCTTAATTGCCACAAACTGCGCCAGACCAGGCCCAGACCTGGTACCGATACCGGTCGCGGTCCCCCAAGGACTCACCTGTTTGTAATGTGCTGACCGTTCTTGGCTTCCTGCGGAGACTGAGCGTGGGCATGACCTTTTGAGGAGTTGGATTCATTAAAGTATCCCTCGTACAGCACAAAGTTATTGGACTGCGGAATGGTGCGCACTAGGCCGTAGTGCTTGCCGAAGAAGGCCAACAGCTTCTCCGAGGGCCTGTCCACCGAGCACTTCAACGGAGTCCAGTTCTCTTCCCTAAGCATGGTCTCGAACAACCGCTTGCCCAGGCCAGCGCGCTGGCGGGACTCGTGCACATAAAAATCCAGGATGGATGGAGCTCGCTCCACCTTGCGCGTCTGACCGGTCTCGTCGAACAAATACAGATCCTTCTTGCCCACCTTGAGCAGCCCAGTCACAGCTCCACTAAAAAAAAGACGCATTCATTGAGTATCGTACTCCGAGCACATTCTGCTGGTGTCTTACTTGTGACCTGCCTCGGGATCCGCCAGCAAATAGATGGTCTGGTTCTCGGACATCCGCAGACGCTGGGCTGTGGTCACCGGCTTGGACAGGCCCTGCGACGTGGCCGACAGCTGGCCCATACTGTCGATTATCTCCGATATCTTCGAGGTGGCATCTCTGGGAAACGTAAAGGTTAATGTCCAGTTTCTTTGTGAGATGCGATCCGATATCCTATTCCGCGCTCAGTTTCAATACTTACAGGCACTGGCGCCGATCGCCGCGAAAGTTGTGCGGCAGGAGGTTTGACGTCACCCTGACAATCGCCTCCGGAAACAGTGGCTTAATATCGAATCGGAAATCCACCATTCTGTAGCTGTTGCTGTAGCTGTTGCTGCTTCTGATTACTCTGGCCTACAAGTGTGGCTCGGCTCGGGCTGTTCTGTTTTTGTGGCGTCTGTCGGCCTTCGCCTGCAATGGCAATCGAGAAATTTAGATTTAATGGAGCGTTGCAAAAGAAATTCGCAATCAATTTGATTATCCGGTTGGGTTCGGCATTGTCTATTACTGGGGCTGGGTGCACATTGTCCAATGTGGGAACTAGTCGTTGCACATGCGATTCATCCAATCAGTGTTGTGGCTTTTTCTAGAATGATTCAGAAGATGACGGAGCAGGGCCTTCGACTGGGATTACAATCGAAACTGTTACGTTAGGGTATCGTATCCTCTGGTCGGGATACGCTTACCAGAGGGTGTGGCGTCTGACAGGACAAAGCGTTACGTTACCCTTTTACATGTAATTGCTATAGTTAACTTGCGAGTGCAACGAACTGCAGAGCAACAATAACGGAGCTTTTGTAATTACATTTGATGGGGGCGGGGCACAAAAAAATGTTTTCCATTGTTGTTGGTTACTATTTGTATGAGAGTCGGAATGGAAGAGAGAGAGAGAGAGCTCTCAGAGTCGTTCTGCCGCTGTCGCAGTTGCCGCTGACGTCGATGCAACTTTATGGCAGCGCTGCTCGAATTACAAAGTGCGATAGCAGCAAATGACGTGTTTTCCTCTTCGCACACACAAAGGCATACGACCACATTAATGCAAATGTAAGGTTGTATGCACATGTGCTTGGCCCCCAGCAAAGGGGACTACTTTTAATACCCTTGCAGAGGGTATAGTTATTTTGAACAGAGCAAAAGCTCATATTTAAAAAGCTATGTATTTATTTACACGTTTTTCATCATAATCAATATCCGAGTTGATATATCTGTATCCCTTCGACTGTGTCTTGGCGGTCTACATAGTCTTGTTTGCAGTTTCCAGAGTAGTAGTTTATTTTTTTCTGCATAGTCCAGCCATTTATTATCAAAATCAGATGACTATATCAGATAGCTGCAAAATATATGTACATACATCTGCAAGGGTATCAAACGCTTCGGCCTTTGACGCTGGCTTCACTCACTCTCTTCTGTTGTAATTTGTTGTTTATTTGCCCAGTGCACAACCGTTGACGTTGCCATACAGAAAGCTCGCTTTGTAACTGTTTATACGCCAAACGATGCAAAACAAAAATAAGAAGCAGCAAAAGCAAAAAAGAAAGAAAACCACGCATCACAAAAGGAGCGAAACTGCACTTCATGCTCCCCCTTTTGATCCACTTGTAAATGTGTCAAGTGAGCTTGTCTCTCTCACACATACGAGCGCTGCAGTATGCGTGTGTGTAAGTGAGCGTGAGAGAGCATAAGAAGAATTAAAATCGCGTGCAGCTGTAAACAACATGCTAGTTAGAAGAGCGCACCGGGGGGAAAGAGTGAGCGGGAGCAAGCCAAGCGCATGCATGGGGAGGAGTGTTCATTCAATTTAACAGTTAATCAGCAAACGACGACAGGAGGAACCCAAACAGAGAACAAAAACAAAAACCACCGTTGGAAACAAAGCGTTGCCAACTGCAAAACAGCAAAACAAATCAATCGAGAAAGGGCCAGACGATCATATTTCCACGCTAATTAATACTATAAAGACATTTCCGATTAGCTCAGTTGGTGATGAAAATAATACTTCAATTACGAGCACATTCCCAGCCCAGCCCTCAGTCTGGGGGCATAGATTCCCCTGCCCATCAGATCAGCTGTTCGCGAAAAAATAATCCCACAAGCTGTCATTATGCAAGGCCCTGGCGAGGTTGGCCCTGTTACTCACACATGTAAATATGTATGTTGGTATGTTAGTACGTTAGTATGTATGGGGGCTCAGTTACAGGCAGTTGTCAACTGCCTTACTAAAAGCGTCCTGTCTCAAAGTGGAAATAGAAATTTCTGTAAATTGGCGGCTATTATCACGTCAAACGCTCGGGGTGTGTCGGCCATTGGTCAATGGGCATAATAAATTAGCCTGTCCCAGGCTCGAGCCTACCTTTATGTACACAGGCGTATGTCCTCTAAGTACCCGGGAAGGCAAATAATAAAATAGAAATGGACTAGGCTCGAAATGTATGCAGCAACAAGGTCAATCGATAATTGAAAACCAAAGGCACCGTAGCGCCGAAAAGAAAAACCGTCAAACAAGTTGCCAAGGCAAGGGAAAACTCTAGAAACGCCCAACAACAAAAATGTCAGGTGCTGTTTGCAAACACAGGTGTACACGGTACAGGTACTGCCTAGGCTAGGGTTTTCCTTGTTCTCTGTTGCTCAAGGCAACGGAAATTAAAAGCCAGGACACGAAGGCCTTGCTATGTATATTCGGTGCCATAAGCTTTATAGAACCTGACATATCATAGTCATCCGAATTTTATCTTCATTGGTCGAGGGAACCCACGAAACTACAACTTCTTATGCTGGTTTGGTCTATCCTTCAGAACAAAGAAGTTTTCCTAACAAAGACATATTATTTCGACCAATCGTTTCTACGATAATCGATAGCTACAGGTACAGGTAGACATACGATCGGATCATGGCGGTTCTGACAAGTGCCCTGCCTATTTAAAGACTATTTTTCCTAGAAACAGACAAGCCGATGGCTATACTCCTTTGATGTTAAAGCAATGCTTCTTTCTCTGCTTGCAAACATCTGGCAAAATTCAAAATGTCTTCTGCAAGGGTATATGTACTTATAATCATCATGTGTTTATGGCTCGGTTCAATGGAAGCCGCTGGCCGGGGCGCGCTTGAAACATGCATGAGACTGCAGCTGCAGATGCACGCAGCACACGCAATGAATAGTTTATCGGTAGGCGATTGGCCATGCCTCTATAAAGCGTTTGGCAATGAAATACTTTTGCGGTCCGGCAGCCTGTTGTTTTGTTGTTTACCACACGATCAAGCGGCCCAACAGTCAAAACAACTTGTTATTCCACAATGGCAAAACACAGAAACACAAAGCTGTAACCGTAGCAACTGCAATTGCATTTGTTGCTGGAAATGCTATCGCTATTGCTGCTGTTGTTGTTGCCGTTTATCTAATTGCTGGGGAGGCAAAGGCAGGCTGCGACAGAACGAGAGTGATCCAGAAGAGAGGAAGCTCTGCTTACGTTTTATTGTAACGTAAGGCGATGCAACGCCAGACCAGAATTTCATCAGAAACAGATCAGACTATAAGCTCTAGCTTAAATATAAGTCCCCCTCAGGGTTATAAATACCCGAAGCTTACGTAAGGTAAGCGATAATCCGTCTGGATTTCGGTTATTTTCCACATCAATGATTAATGCAAAAAAGAAAGTATTGAATTCTGATCAGATCGAGCAGACACTCGAATATGCTGCACCCTGATAATCAGAGTGGCGGGGAAAAACAAGTGATTAAGGTGCTCTTCCAATGCTTGACCAGTCGGCCGACCCAACCACTCTATCCACCGCCCGTAATCAGCCCAGTGCTAAATGGTAATGGTGCTAAATGATAAGCGTGCTCTGAAACCAGTTCCAGTCGGTTCTCCTAAGCAATCGGGGTCCGACGAGGGTTTAATGACAGTTCCGAATACATAATTATTTCTTTTGTTTATGTTTGCTGATAACCAGACATGACCATCCCGCTTCCACTCGCATGGAGCCAGCACGTGGTGAGGGCAAAGTTTCACTTGTTTCAGGAAACGTCCCTGCTTCAACACACTCTCCAGGTGAAAACTCAATGGCAGGTGACTTCTGAGTCGGTGTAGCATTACCATCGGATAAGAGTGCAAGGAAAAACAATTGTGAATGTAACGGGGGAGACGTATTCTGTCTCTCACTAGCACACACACACACACAGACACCAGCCACACTCCTGCTCAGTGAACGAGACAGAGAGAGGCACTTGACTTGTAATTGGCTGTTATCGTACGATCGCGCGCTGGTCAGCGTCTGAAAATTGGTGAGAGACACAGAGAGAGGAGAGGCAGCTATGCATGTACAAATGTTATGCCTGTGTTTGTGTCAAGCGAGTTTTCTTAAAAGGGCGATCGACAGCAGCAGTCACTTGTAAAATTTTAGTCAAAGTGAGCAGTTCGAGTGCCTCGAAAACTATTGAATTATTGAATTGCTCTGGACTGTCTGTGGACAAACCTTATCAAACAAAAACAAAAAACAGCTGAGCAAAGCAGTATAAGAAGAAGAGTGTAAAGCGCGTGTGCAAAAAAATCAACGCAAAAGCACAAGAGATACACAAAAAGAAGCAGCGGAAAATTTTGGAGACCAAACAAAGCGCATAACGTAAAGCTTTTGCGTCGAACTCTGCCCAGCAACAACAAAATTGTGACCAATTCATTTGCATTCCTTAAGATGAGCGGTTCAGTGTTGAGCATGGCGCGTCCGGCCGCCACCACCAACGGCTGCGGAGGCAATACAGCTCTGCTGTCGAAGCAGCTGAGCATCACCAGCAACGGAGGGGCCAAAACCACGGTTACACCGGCCATAGTGCCGCCCAAGCAGCCCCAGCTGGCCGCCAAGGTCATACAGCAGTCACAGATTGTCTGCTTCGACGTCGACTCCACCGTCATCTGCGAGGAGGGAATCGACGAGCTGGCCGAATACTGTGGCAAGGGCACCGAGGTGGCACGTGTTACCAAGGAGGCCATGGGCGGTGCCATGACCTTCCAGGATGCCCTCAAGATACGGCTCAACATCATCCGACCCAGCCAGCAGCAAGTGGTGGACTTTATCCGTGAGCGGCCCAGCACCCTCAGCAAGAACGTAAAGCGGTTTGTGGCACAGTTGAAGGCGGATGGGAAGCAGGTGTACCTCATATCCGGAGGATTCGACTGCCTGATTGCCCCGGTGGCCACCGAGCTGGGCATCCCCCTCGCGCACGTGTATGCTAACAAAATGCTGTTCGACTACCAGGGCGCCTACGACAGCTTCGATGTCACACAGCCCACCTCCCGCTCCGGCGGAAAGGCGGAGGCAGTTGCCATGATCAAGCAGCAGCATGCCGCCGACGCCCTCATCACGATGCTCGGCGATGGCGCCACCGATCTGGAGGCAGTGCCTCCCGCCAACTACTTCATCGGATTTGGTGGCAACGTGGTGCGACCCGAGGTCTACAGACGTGCCCAGTATTACGTAACCGACTTTGAACAGCTGATGGGGGGCCAGTGATGATGGAGCAATGGCGTAATGGAGCGGGCGGACAGCGGGGTGGCGAATTTAGTATTTCAAAAAATCAACGTGTTATAGTTCATAGTGAATGTTGTTGTCCAGGTCTGTGTCTGTGTCTAAGTAAGTGTGCATGTTAAATACGATATCTACTAGTTTGTAGTCAATTGCTAAAACAATAAAAGCGATAGTAAAATTATGGAAAATGAAAAGCGTCACGAAGCGATTGTATTACGGGGAGCACGGTTAACAGAGCAATGTTATTGATGTGCCATAAGATGTTAATATACAGCTGTGGTCGTAGTGTCGCACCTCACCACTTTCAGGACTGTTTTTGAGACATTTCCAGTATTCCAAAGTTAACATGTAATACCTTTTTGGAAAGCTTAATATGTAAGCACTAGAACCCTAAATCCTATTCTATTGCACTTACATTCCATTTTCATGTTTTACATGACTTCAAAAAATACCCATCAAATCTGCGTAAATATTTAACAAAATTTAAAAAAATAAACAAAAGAAATTAATTTCACAAAGTCAACATAAGTAAGTTTATTTCAGCTCTAAAATATTTTGATGAAAGAAAGTTTTGGACATAGCGGTAATTTGGATTTTGGAGCTTAAAAGGAATATGGACCGAGCCAGAAAAGGAGACCTAAGATTTAGACTACAAAATAAAGGCAGGAGGTAAATAAAGGCACGTTTTATGGGATGGTCGGCGATGGTTTAAGGCAAGACCATACCTTCAATATCCTAAAAAATTATGAAATAAATTTTGTATCGTTCTTTCAGTGATGTGACAGTTCGTAGACGGTTGATTTCATAAGCCCCAGAAAGCTACGCATGTGGTCTGGCCTGTGACACAGTGACGAAAACTACTTTTTACTGATGATAATATACATAGTTGTATTATATGGTAAGACAGACTCCAATATGTTTGGCATTTACAGAAATAGCATGCTGGGCTGAGCCCTATGAGGCCAAGCTCATATGAAGTGGTACCGCCCAGTCTGGAGTTTGAGTATTGAGCAATACTGTTTATGTGGGCTTACTTTATAATACATAACATTCATATAAGAGTTAAAAAATGGCTCTCAAAAAAATCTTTCTAAAGGATAATGATCCCAAACACTTAGGAAAGCACGCTAGGCATTGCGTTTCATCTGAAAATATCTGGATCTGAATCTTATCGAAAACTTATGGGAGAATGTCAAATACATTGTAGCAACTTCAAATCCGTCAACCATAGAAAAGTTTTAGGAAGTTGTCAGAGGAGTATTGACTCAAATCCTATTGAAGCGTTGTCTGGACCTTATTGACCCATACCAGGTCCGTGTAAGCCCGTAATGAAAATAAAATTGATTGAAAACTAGATATAAAACCTCAAGATACATGCAGAACCTGAAACATAGGTTCTAAATTTAGTTTCGCTGTTTTTTTCGATTTTCTAAAAAACACTACTATTTCTATGAACAGCAGATTTCATGGGTAGTTGTCTAAAGATATGAAAAACATGAAAATGGAATGCAAATGCAACGCGATTTCTTTTATTTTATATTTTTTACATTCTTGTATATCCAAAAAGGTATTACATGTTAAATTTGGAATACTGCCAATGTCTCAAAAACAGTCTTGAAAGTGGTGAGGTGCGGCACTACTATTTCAATGACCACAGCTGTATATATACAGGGTGGATGCAATGACTTTTTACAGTGCTTCGAAGGAAAATAACATGCAGAAAAAAAACAAAACAAAATCATAAATAAAATATATGAAAGGTACTGCAAAATTACAGAGTGTTCCATGTGAATGAAACGTGGAAGATTTCTCTGTGGCTGTGCGTTTATTAGTGCGTTCAAAAGGAAAGTTTATATTTTACTGTCTTTTTTTTTAGGCGATTTTTAGTTAGTTATGAAAATACAGAACTAAAAGCCAGTTTTCCTTTCGATTTGTAATGTCTTTCCGAAGGTTGCATACACAGAACCAATTAAAACGGTTATAGTTTACCAACTGTAGGCCTTCTAAAGCAATTAAACAAAGTTGTAATCGACACTTGGCGAGCAAAAACAAAAGCAAGGTACAGGCGTGGGTGCCCTGAACGCCAAACGGTGTGCCACGAATGGAGCCGAGGCGTACCTGTCGTCAGTAGTTTGAGGGTCAACGTCATCGTGTTTAATTGGCGGCGAGAAATGCTTTAAGCTGGATAGTAGACCATATAAGGTGCGACGCGGCTGCCGTTTGGCTGAGAGGCACACACAGAGGCGTGAATTAAGGCCATCCATGCAGTTGTTGGGCAGAACAGAGACGAGACCCAGCCCAGCCTCAAAGGCAGCTGGAAGAGTGCCAGTCGCAAAGCGGAAGCAAGAACAGATGAGATCACCAGCCATAACACGATGAAAAGAGAGGTGCAAACAAACACGGCTTCAACTGGGGACGCCTAGTGGCACTAATGACGCATCGAGTACGAAAGATATGTACATATCTTTTCCATGCAAATGACTAACGCACCAGCTCTGGGGCGATCCCAGCCATGTAGCGGTAATGATTCCAAAGTGCATGACGTAAAATTAATGCCTTATTTATGTGTTCACTGAGCCACACGGCAGCGGCACGAAAGCGCGAAGACGGTGGACAAAGAATGGCCGAAAGCAAGAGACACAAAGTCACAAGAAACAAACAAAACTTACCCGCAACAATTGTTCAACAATACGGACGGGAAGGTATCTTGTATTGGCCTACGTGTGCCGCGTTCCAGTTGTTTCCAGATGCAATGCAGTGCAACCTCTGCGCTGCTGCAGATTTGGGGTTGGTGGACGGAGGCTGCGCGTTAGGTGCGGGCGTTCTTGCACACACACACAGTTTTATTGATTAAAAAATGTTTCTTTTCTGGCCGAAATAGTGCGAAAGATATTTTTATATTTTTATTTCATTCACTTTAACACATATTTCGTTGGCTTCTGTTTGGTTTGTTTGCCTATTAGCGCTGCGCTGTTTCTTTCACGAGTGTGTATGATGGTCGCCCGGTCAGCTGTGCGTGTAGTGTATAGGTCTCAATCCAAAGAGGTAGAGGCGGAGAAACATCGATTTCCGTGGACATCGATGTTTTTCGATGTTTTCAAAACATCGATGTTTTAAAAAGTAGAAACAAATTTTTTTTTGCTGTAAATTAAATTGTTTTTTATAACAAAATAAATAATATTCGTAAATGCAAAAAAAAAAACAAATTCAATGAGATCAAAATACAAAACTTGTATTATAAATTTAACAGAAAATGGTTTAGTTCTTATCGAGACATAAGTTTTTTTACAACATCAACTTTAAGTCTGGTGCGACGGTCCGATATGATCTGTCCAGTCTAGCTGAAAGACCTTTCTAACTCGCACGATGTTGCCGCACCCCCACCGACGTTTCCTACACCACCAGTTGAATACCTGAAAACATCTAAATACAGTTAATAATTCAATTTATAAATACATTTTTACACATACCTTCTACGCTTCCCTCACTTTACTTACCTTGCAAAAACATCGATAGTCGCCATTAAACATCGATGTTTCCAACAAATTTAAAAACATCGATGCATCGATGTTCTCATCGATGTTTCTCCACCTCTACAAAGAGGGCACTATCGATAGTATCGATATTTTACTGCTAGCCTCTACTATCGATTGTTTTGATATAGCCACTGCACTCGATAGTTTTTTCTTCTTCTTTCTTTGTGACGATATTGATATTTTTTGATATTTTACGTTTGGTCACACTTACTTCGCAAACCAACGGAAACGGTATAGGGTTGTCAAATATTTTAAAAATATCATATCAATGTTATATTTTTTTTTAAATATCAAAATGATATTAAATATATCACTGAAAAAATATCGATATATTCGATATTTTGATATTTTTTTGTTTTAATGTATTTGCTGAAATTCGATTCCGCGCGATGCAGAAATACGTAGCTGCCATATAGAAATCAGACCCTTGCAAATGTTTATAGCATCTTTTATTCTTATTTCAGTCTGACAATTGTTTATAACATTACCATAGTTCGTCCTATATATATAATGTCTCTTAACTTTTATTATTTTTCTTTACCTATCAAGGAAGCATCCAAAAGTTTTTTTTTAAGGATTTCAAAAACATCCTATCTTTGATATGCGTATCAGTCATTCGACTGCTCGTGTCACATACCACACATTTAATAGCTGAGGCCAGGCTCTCTGATGGCACTGAGCTACCAGGTGTAATTAGGTAACTTAGTGCCACCCTAAATAGGTTCGGCAGTGTTTCTTTTTGGGAAAACCAAAACGTTATGGGATCGCTCTCCCAATTGGTAAGCGACAAGCTTAGCTATATAGTCAGTTCCTTTTGAGCCGGGTTTTCTGGAAGCTTTTGGGTCGAAACTGATCGGTTATGTAGCTTCACAAAACTTTCGTTGACATCCGGTTCTACTGATGCAACGCCGCTGTCCAAATGTGGGGTTAACGATTGCTGAAAGAATTTATGCAAATTTGTATTAGTACACAATACATACATTCATATATAAGCTTTTATATTCGCTAATCAATTTTAAAAGAAAATGTACATATGTATATATATTCACTTGTAATAAACATACAAAGAAAAAGGTTGTATTTAAGTTACGTACTTTGTTTTCAAGGCTGCTCATTTCTAACATAATATTCTGAATCGCATCCACTATACACATTGGTGACTGAATGTACAACTTTTTGAATCGAGGATCCAATATTGTTGCCTTTACGAGAGTTTTATTGATGCTTAGTTTGTCAAAGCGATTTTGCGAAACTTTCAGGCTCTGCAACAATTGGGCCGCACCCATCGTTCCAATCAGTTCAACTCGCCGGAATATGTTTTGGTTATCGCGGACCGCATCGGCGAAAGACGCATGAACTTTGCGTTTCTATGCTAAATACTGGTCTATGGAATATTGAGTTCCATGAATTTCAGTCATTTCACCAACTACTTCACACCCATGTACCTAACTTTTGATTAAAATATTCTAGCTCTCATACATATTTACAGAAAATAAAATATAAATAAAATAAAATAAAATAATATAAATAAAAATAAATAAATAAAAATAAAATAATAAAAATGCTCCACTTCATTAATTTGAATATTATTTTATAAATTTATATTTAATACAAATAAAATAAACTAATAAACTAACTGAGTACTAGGCTTAAAAAAAAATATATAACATTGATATGATATTTGAAAGTTGGTAAGTTGATTGCGCCGCAAGGATAAGGGTATGAGGTGTGAAGTATGACGTCACCAAATCCAGAGCTTTCAAGGAAAAAACCCACCTCACCACATAGCTGATTTGTGCTTTCTCGCAACCATGGTATATTTATTCCGTCGGGGCTAGGGTGAGGTCCTTACGAGGCCCTTAAAAAAGTTTGGCCGTCTTAATACTGGGGCCATACCTTGCCATGACCCAGTCGAAAGAGAGCACTCAAAAAGCTCTCATGACTCATTTATAATTTTATCCGATAGATACATAAATTTTCTACAAGATTGGCAAGTTTTCTGAAGTCCTTTTTATTGCATTGTTTCCATAAAAAGGTTCAAACAAAAACGGCCAAAGCATAAAACGTAAATGTTGACTAAATGTGACGTCATTGTTGCTGGTCAACCAAGTTTCTTCTATGCGTATGGACTTTGTGTATACCGTATTTCCTTTAATTGATGTTAAATTTGTTGTTCCAATCTGCATTGAAACATTAATATTGAATTTTTCTTAGATTGAGATGTGTTTTACCTATTAATGCATATGTTTTGTGTTTTACAAATACATATGTACATATGTCCCGGTTCTGATACCTATTATTGGTACCCGTGAGCTGCAAAATTTCGTTAATGTCTTTAATACTCCCATCATGGAGACTGAAATCACAAACAATGTCTTAAGTTCATTTTCCCTTGGTATGCAGATTGTTGCTCATTCCGTGCCAAAGTTGCACAACAATGCTGCTACGTAATTTCCCCATGTTGCTGAAATTTTTCCCATACAAATCAAATGTATCATAACATAACATATGGCGAAACCATAACATAAGGCGAAATCATATCTAACAGCTGGGGCTGCCAACTATCGATTGACGATCTTGCAGCCGTTTTTGAAAACATCGATGGCAGCACCATCAAATGAAATCCCATCTCTAACTTTGAGTAATACACTAATAACAAAGAGGAAGGAAGAAAAAAAAGGATACAAAGGACGCCCAGTACGCACACGCACAGCGAAATGCCGAGAAATGGCGATGCCGGCAACGGCGCCCCAAGATCGGGTACCGGCGGCACCAGCGACGGATGTATTTATCCAGACGACGTCATAATGGGCGTGGGAGTTGCATTCAATGTACGCTATACGGGCTGCGTTGAGGTCAAGACCTCGATGAAATCCCTCGACTTTGAGACTCGCACGCAGCTGGCGCGGTAAGCGGAAGCCACATCTTATCTATCATGGCTGAGTAATGCATTTTTACCCTTGCTTTCCCCCAGGGAGTGCATCAACCGCGTCTGCGAGGCCGCAGGCCTGAAGTCGGCTGGCAAGCGACGTCTGTGCTCCTTCATCTCCGACCGGCCCAGCATGCAGCATGCCGGCACCAACATCATAATCAATGTGTCCAGCCGCGCCCTCACCCTAAGCAATGTGGAATCGGGCGAAGTGATAGCCAATCACAATATGCCACGCATCTCCTTCGCATCGGGTGGTGACAACGATACCCTGGACTTCCTGGCCTACATTGCCAAGAACGAGGACGAGTGGCGTGCCTGTTACGTGCTGGAGTGCGCTGGTGGACAGAGCGAGGACCTGATCGTCACCATTGGCAAGGCCTTTGCGCTGCGATTCAACGCCCTGAGTAGGCTAAACGATCCCACTGCCGACAACATCAATCAGAGCTACAAGGAGAACGTCAAGGAGTATTACAACGATTTGCCAAACAAACTGCCCCCAGAGCTCCCGAGCGACGATAGCCGCTCCCAACAGCAGCAGCACCAGCCGGCCCAACTCCCATTGCATCCCCATGCCCCGCGTGTGGCTCAACTTAATCTGAAGAAGCCACGCGATCGCCTTAGCAGCAACCTCATCGACCTCAATTCCCCGCCTCCCGATCAGACTACCAACAAGCTAGCCCTCGGGCATTCGTCGGCGTCTGCTACCTCCTCTTCCACCCTCACGGCAGGCCAGGTGCGCGATGTGTTCGACGGACCCCAGTGCCCGCTCACTGCCGAGGTCTGGTTCCACGCTGCCATTTCCAGGCCGATTTCCGAGCGTCTGCTACAGCAGGATGGGGACTTCCTGGTGCGCGAATCTCAGGGAAAGCGTGGACAGTATGTGCTGACTGGGCTGGAGGGCAAGACGCCCAAACATCTGCTGCTCATCGATCCCGAAGGCGTGGTTCGCACCAAGGATCGCATTTTCGATAGCATTAGCCATTTGATAAATTACCACTGGGCCCATGCGCTCCCCATCATATCGGAGGATTCGGAGCTGGTCTTGCGTAATCCCGTGCGCCGGCCCGCACAGGATCAGGCAGCGGTTGCCGGTGCAGGAGCCCCCATAGCATAGCTGCATCCTGTTTGGCCACTGAGCGCACAAATATATACTTGTGTTGCGATTCTTCACATAAATATACATACATACATAATACTTAAACATATTACATATATACTTGTATCCGTGTACACGCTTAGATTTACATATGTGCACTCGTAGAGAATATCTTTTATATATCGTCGGCATCATTGTATAAGAACGAACCCATTTATTTATGGATTGAATATACACAAACAAACATCTTTATATGAGCAGTACAGTATTTTCCCATCAAACGAGAATAAATAACACCAAAAAGCAACATTTTAGTGATAGTGGATATCCTGTAGTTGTGGGGGAGGGAAGGAACACGACTTGAAATCTGCACTTTACACAAATCGTTTATTGTGACCCATGCAAAGGGATCAGAACATCATCATCTACACATAAAGTTAATTACGACGACCAAAGTTGTTGGTGTTGGGCTGGGTGAGCTGGAGGCCACGGATGTTGTGGAAGTCCAACAGCTTCAACATCTCCTTGGTGTCGGGATCGACCTCGATGATGTCTTGCTCCAGGGCGGAGACAGCTGGGACGTAGTTGTCGCGACGCTCACGCTCCTCCTCCTGCAGCTTGATGGAAATACCACGCACCTGGGAGTGACGCAGACGGCCCATCAAGTGAGTAACGTAACTGTAAGGAAAACATCAATTGGTCAGTGGCTGCTCTTTCAATATCCGGCTGCACTGCATGCAAGAACTCACCCGGCAATCTTGTTGCGGAGGGGCTTGGTGGGAATGATAGCGACCTCCTCGCAGATACGCTTGTTGGTGTGGAAGTCCATCGTCAAGCGAGTGTAGTACTTCTCGATGATGACCTTAGCGGCCTTCTTGATCGTCTTGGTTCTGACGCGACCCTAGACAGCGGTAGATGGGGGAAAACACACAGATTAGCACATAAACAATCAATTTTTGGACAGTTCGCCGACAGCAAACAATGAAATTTCACCGTGCACCTCAGCTGCACGAATTCAGCAGCGTTTTTATTCACATATTTGCTTGTTTGGTGTCAGGATTACATATAATATTCGCGATAATAATAGATGAAACCAACCATTTTGATTTACGTTTCTACCGGAAAAGAACAGTAGGAGAAAAGAGCAGGGCTGTCAAAGTGACAGCCACACAGAGCTGTAAAACCATCGACGATAGTATCGATTGTTTTTTTTTCCACCATCGATGTATCGCGTAGTAAGCTGCTCTATAACTACTCTACTCGTACCAGCACGTCCAATTTAAAAGACCATCTGTCGAGGAAGCATCCAGGTCATAAATGCCATAATCGTACTTTAAGAGCTTGAAGAATATAGAAAAAAAACCATAATTCTTTCAGCCTATTACTCAGATCGAAAAAAACACCTAGCGAACAGAATCAGGGTTGATATTCGTATGTAACCGATAAGAAATTTTTTACGGAAAAAACTGTTTTCTAGGCTCTGTACGAAAGGCAGTACTCAGATCAAAAAACAAAAAGGTCGGTATATACTGGAAAAGTATCGACGCGGGTTGAGGCATTGACGAAGCGGCTCATAAAATATTTTTTCGTTTTGTTTTGAAAAGCTGATGTTGCGACGGGCGCGCGGTTCTCTTTTAGGCTAGCCTTTGCCTCTGCTTTCGGCTTCGTCAACAGAAAGCGACAGAACACACCAAGAAAATATTAAGTCTTACGACGGGAATAGGTCCAGGGCCGGATTAGCAGTTGCCTAGGGCCCCCTAGGGATAACAGAAAAATTTTGTTGAAAAAACAGAATTCCAAATAATGAATAAAAAATATAATAGCCACTGAGAAAAATACAAAATAAAGGAGGGCCCCAGATTGATGGTTGCCCAGGGCTCGGTTGAGGGTTGATCCGGCCCTGAATAGGTCGCTACATCACATCAGCCCTCAAAACAAAATGAAAAACCAATTCAAGCGGCCAACAATTGTAGAGCCCACACACAAGCACAGTATGTGTGAATACATGGAACACACACGTTTACGTAAACTGAAATCTCGAACAAAGTCGGTTTCGGCAGCTAAAAATTATTCTATGCATACAATCATATATTTTGGAGTGTACACGTACACAACACATGCATGCTTGCTGCCAGTCGGCTCGTGTGACGTCATGAGCCCAACGCGGCCATTCCCAAAGCCAAAGATCTGGGAACGTACGCTGCAAACTCAGCTGCGCCCCTTTCGTTGTATGAACTGGCACATCTATATACTGTATGGTTAGTGCCTGCACAGAACTTGGTATTTTTTATCTTCCGCATACAAAAGCCATACCCTGGAAAAAATACCATGTGCAAACCCATACAAAAGCCATACCCTGAAAAAAGTACGACACTGTAACAGTAAACGGTAAAAATAAAACATGTCGGCAAATCGGTTCAGAAATGAAATTTCTTATTATTGGTTGTATGAGGCGCTATGCCAGGGCGATTTTGTGGACGTAGAACTGGCTCTGGATAATGGATCCGTAATAAAGGCACACCGGCTTGTCCTGGCCTTGTTTTCGGACTACTTCAGAAAGTTATTCCGGGAAAAGCGGTGTTCTTGCAACGTCATTGGTAAGTAGTAAAATGCAATGATTAATAATAATAATAATAACAATATTTAATTAATTGCATTTATAGTCAAAGTGCATGCAGAACATTCAATATTGATGGATATAATTCACTACATGTACCATGTACATGTACATGGCCCGATTGTTGTGCAAAACCTTCGTCAGCACCAGCGAACACCTGGTTCCTATTTTTCTTTTCTTTTCATTTGATTTTCCGCAATTTAGTGAGTGTGAGCGAGAAGGAAACGTCAGACTTCCGAATTGCACAGCTGCTGGTCGCCTGGCGCTTTTTTATAAAACCACCCCTATTCTATGGCTCTGCTCATTTAGTGAGTGTGAGCGAGAATGAAATATTCGGCTCGGAAGTGCGCAGTTAACTTTGTCCTAGAAAAGGCAATGTCGAAAGGCTTGTAAATCACTTGCGTTCAAGAGTTTAAACTTTAAAGGATTAAGACAATATCCCATTAAAAGCGTAGCTTGGTGCAAATTATAGAGTGAATACATATAAAAGTAACAGATTTATATTAATTAAAACCTACACAGGTATGTACATAAATACATATAAAAGTATATATCAAAATATTACAAATATATCTAACTTCGTTAAAAAATGATACTTTAAAGCTTAGATTAGTGTGTTTAATAGCGTGGAAAGGCTGGCATATTTCAATTAATGTGCGAATCACATAAAATTTAATTGGATTTTAAATCGGATATCAATTTAGCAAGAGAGCAAGGGAGAAGAGAGCGGCTCACGCATAATTTATAAAAAAAACTTTAAAAACCTTTTGAACAATGGAAAATACTCCCACTACGTCAACAAAAGCGCAGACCGAACAAGACATGATCCAAATTCATGTAAGTATAGTCCCATGAATCCCTCCCACATATAATTAAAGCAACTTTTAATTTCTAGTGCGGAAAATATGGCCCCTTTATTATATCTTATTATAATTAAAGAGGGCCAGGTCAACCTTTTAGACGAGTACCACTTGCCGAAGCTGGTAAGTTTCAAAATATATTTAAATTTTATAAATTTAAAAATTCATAAATTAATTATGTACAGGATCATAAAGGGTTTCGTGACGCAACCTTGAAAGTGTTGGCGTTGGCGGCGGTGGGGATAGATGGCTTCAAATTTAGATACGTCTATCTAAAAGTGGTAAGTTAAAGTTTTCTATATTCGTACTCGTCTTATTTGAAACTGATATAATATTTACCCATTCCTTTCACAGGTTGAAGTGGGCACTCAAATTTTAGGCGCCGCTCAAATACAATTCGCCATCGATATGGTGTATGAAAAAATAAAGAGCCTCGGCTATGAAGAAAAATTAGTGGGTATTGTGGCCGATGGATGCCCGGCCAACCCACGGCATGAAGTGCGCGGCATACCGGGCATACCTTTCATATGGGATGCCCAGCATCGTCGGTCCATAAAGTCAAAACATTCAAGAGACGATGCTAAAATTCAAGAACTACATAACATGGAATTCATAATGGAAAATGTTCAGAAAATTTTCACTAGCCTTGGCAGCTTTGGAGACCAAAACGATAAATTTTATATCGAAAGCCTAAGGGCGACTGTTGAAAAGCGCTTATATATTCAAAGAAACCCATTAAGTTGGATAGCTTTACCAAAGATAAGTTAGAATACTTGGGAAAAAAAGCTAACATTGAATATAAAAATGTATTAAGCTATGCACTGCTGCTCCCAAGTTTTAATGATTCAATTTGCAAAGACAAATGAAATTACATTGCAAAAATGTATGCTGCGATCCTTCTGATCCTGACTCCGCGCTACGACAGAGTCCATCGCTAATGGCAATATTTACGTATAAACAATAAATTGTTTTTAAATTTTGTATTTTCTTTTATTAGGGTCGCAATTCAATGTGTACGTTTTGCTGAACTCAACTCCAGCTGATTTGGCCATCTTGGGTACGTTATTGGCACAGGTAGTGAGCATTCTCTGCCAGTACGAGCTTTGCTCTTTTGGAAAGAAAGCTAAGACACTTTTTGTCAGTGTGTCCCTATTAGCTGCGCTTAATTTCAAGTTCTTCTTGACATAGTATTGGCCAATTTTTTTAACTATTTGTGATCTCTGACTATGTGTTTGTACAGTATGTGTTTGATTGGAATAGTAAGTGTTTTTATTGATAAGAAAAATGAGGGGTAAATTGCAGTTCAGCTGCAGTAAATTCGTGTTCAAAAACAAAATCCAGCCACCTCTATCGCCGTTTTTGGGCGAAATAGCGACGAGACATATCTATCTTAGCATGCTGATACTTTATACACCCCTTGTAGGCGCTTATATGCTGTCCTTTGCAGTTAGCACAGGTGGCGGGGATATTCCTTGGTTTCCTACAAGTTGAGGTGCAGTGCGGTCCAGCAAATTTCATGCATACATACGGGCGGCTACAGTATGCATGCGTGTGACCAAACACCTGGCACCGGTGGCACTAAACAGGGATGAGAGACCTGCGATGCTTGGTAACCAAAATTTTCCTGCCGTCAAACCGTGACATTCCTAGGATTTCCCGTTGGTGGCGTTTTGACTCAAGTGACAGTACTACCTCAAATGTTTTTATCGGATGTGAGTCAATCTGGTCAAACATTGAGGTCAAATCGTCGCTGAATATGACGGTATGGTCTCCTTTGCGAATCCCCTCCGGATCCAGTCATTGTTGACTTCAGTCATGGAGTCTTTTGTGCAAATGACCTGGACCAGTAGCCTAAGTCCTTGATCCTTTGATGCCTGGTGAGTAAAGCCATCCGTAACTGAGCAGCCCTCCCGCGTGTCCCCGTCCCTAGGTAGACACGCAGTAGGCCTCTGGGGAGCCGCTGGTCGTCCCTGTCTGGGGGGAAGCGGGTCTTCAGATGATGATGAAGATGATGCTGACATTCCTTGCAATGTACGTTGTAATCGGAGGCTTGCTCTGATACGGCGACGGAATTCAGGGGAATTGCGGCGTTCAGCGTATATTTGGAAGAGGCTTGGCATGTTTTATTTATTGTTTCTTTCCTTTTGTGCACGTGGTGTGTTTTTAAGAACGTTTTTGTTTTTTGATAGTTCAGTAATGTTTGAAGTTATTGGATTCGATCTTAATATTCCAATCAAATCCTCTAATTTTGTATTAGTCTCCACTTCATTTTTAGAAGAAATTTCTGAAAATGTTTTTTCCATAGGTCGGTCATTTTGTCCAATTCGTCCAACACTGTGAATGTCTGAAGTGATAGTTGTTTTCGTTTCGTGGTGAAAGTGAGGTGGTGCCGCTTCAACGAACTTAAAGTTTTCAATATTACGAAATTTTTTCCACATTTCGTGCAAGTTGCCGTGCCCTCTTCTTCATTATATACGAAATTATCCCATACGGGATTTAAAGGACTCGGCTTTCTCCAAAAATTGATTTCATTTGTATCATTCGTAGGCTCAACGAACGTCGAGTCCTTACATGTATCGCGCTTATGCCGTAAGATCGGTTGTGTTTTTTTAGCGCACTTCAATGTTATTGAACATTTGAGGCATGTTGCCGTTTCGTCTTGTGCGTTATATTCGAAAAAATCCCATCCTGCTCCTCCGAAACTCTCCACATAGGTGGCTGTCTACCACGAGCTCCGCACTTGTGCTGCAGGAATGTTTTTTGTCCTTCCCGCAGAACCCGCACTTCGGACAAACGTGCGGCTTCGTCGTCACCGCGCACACCGCCGTGTGCTCCGCTTTCTCGGCTGGCTTCTTTGCTGACATCAAAGTGCCGCAGTGTCCTTTTCGAAGTGCCGAGGGTTTTCCCAGGTGGGGGCGCCGCCCACCCCCTCGGTGGCCCCCACTCCAACGTCCCGCAAGGGAGCCGGCATGTGCACTCCCCTTCCATCCGGTTGTCCGGGAAGGGGGGCGGGCCAAGGTTCACAACTCCTCGCAAATGTTTGTTCTGGGACTGGGGGTGGTTTGCCCGCTGCTCCACTCCGCCCATCCGGCGCGCCAGCCTTTTCTCCCTCTTCTTTCGATTAATTATATCTAGCTGCTCCCTTGTTTTTACCTTCTTGCGGTTAACATTGGTGGAGCAGCGAGGCGTGGTGTCCATGAAGCTTGGGTTGGTCGTTTCAGGCAGCTCTGGTGCGACACTTAGCCTTGCCCTTGGCGACGAGAGTGTGGAGCTGGCCAAGGGCAGAAGCTGCCGTCTCGCCACTGAGGTTGGCGGTTCTGGCGCGTGTGTGGGCGTGGGCTCGTCGGAGGCGGCGGATTCTAGCGCATTGCGCATTGCCAGCCCTCCGACGTCTTCTTTCGCCACTGCCGCTGCCGCTGCCACCTTCCGCGTTTCTGGCGCCAATGCCTGCGGTGTGGGTCTGGCCGCGCGGTCTTCTTCCGCAGAAACGCAGAAGGCTACGTGGTTTTCTACATACTGTTCAGCCAACCTGGCCATGCGAACCTCGTTGCTCCCAACCCCATGCGTCAGTTCCAAAAGTGGAATGCTTGCACGGATTGTTTGCAACCTCGCTCGCGCCGTTGCTGAGGCCATTGGTGTGGTGAAGCAGAACAGGTTAAGAACGTCCATATTTTTTTTTAATATATAATATATAATAGCGGTGACCGTGAGTGTTGCGTGTTGCGTTCCGTGTGGGTGTTGCGCGAATTCAAATGGCGGCCATTTGCATTGCGGTAAAAGCACGTTGGCGTTGCCAGTGTTTTCTTCGTGTCACGTCGCCATTCAGCTTGCTAATTTTTAAATTCTAAACGAATCAAGATATCTTTATGCAATATGCAATATCACTACATATAATAATTTTAAATTTTATTGTCCATATTTACGAAGTTGCGAAGTTACGTAGCTACGCCACTGATTGTCATGTGTGATCAGGAGCTGTTGGATTCGGCTGGAAATGTTACGTATAAAGAAAGAGAAATCGCTCTTCCTCATCAGCGATCTTTCATTTTTCAATAAAGAAAAATATGGTAAATCAGACAGCCTACATTACTGTAGGTGTTATGAGTATCGTTTTAAAAAAAAGTTTTAAAGTTTAAAATTTTGTAATTATTTTCTAATCACAGAAACCATTGTTTATTATGCCTTTTATCTTTTTCACATATATGCGCTTTTCTTTTCAGAATACATTTTCCCTTTTTCATCTATTTTACTATCTTTCTCTTTTCTTCGTTACTCTGATTTATGTCTGATTAAGTGCTCTAGGATTTTTTGTCTATGAGAAGCACATGGATCGGAAGTCTCAAACCAATTTGTATCATTCCTAATGCATTTTTCAACAATATTTTTTTCAACATTTTTTGAGAATGGAGTTTTATGGAAGAACTGTGAAAACATTCCAATGTGTTCCACTGAATGTACAAAAAGAGCTGCAGTTGGAATTTTAAGTTGGTCAATTCTTTGTCCATCTGAAATCACGTTTTGGCAGATAGAAACATTTTAGGAAGTGTTCTGTGTAATCAGAACATTGAATGTACATACTAACGGCAGAGCTTTCATCAATTTTGACAGTTGGTGCGTTTAATGTTGAAGAGAATGGAGAAACATTTAAATGGTTCCCAAAGAAAGCTGCAGCAGAAATTGGGCTGCTTTTGGTCTTTCAGATTGCCACACAATATTTCGTTTCAAACCATCAAAGTATTCTTCCAGAGAATCTTGATTAATCTCACTGGTATTAACTATCAATTATACTTTATTTCTAAAAGATCTTCGGAAATATTATTAATTACAAAATTCCTCTAAGCGAGTTTTAAATGTTTCATCAGCAAACAATTTAAAGCCCGTACTGACCGCCAATGAAGTACTCATTTTTCCAAATTCTTGCGGACTGATGTGTTTTTTCCGTTAACTTTGGTGCCAAACGATACAAGTTTGATGAATCAACTTCATAAATCTTTTTAATTATATCCCAAGACACTTGTCTGGTGTTGTCACATCATGTGTCAAGAAGGAGTACTGTTCCTTATCGGAAATACTGTCTCCCAGATCTATATAACCAACAGCTCGGTCAGCATTAGGAAAATACTCAATTTTAGGTTTGATGAGTTTTTCATCAAAAAATCGATGTGTAGCAACGGCTTCATCTTTGTCATTAAAGCAGTACGATCGGGAAACAATTTAATGCCAGTACTGACCGCATTGGCCAATGAAGTACTCATTGTTTGGTGCCAAACGATATAAGTTTGATGAATCGACTTCATAAAACTTTTTAATTATTTGCCAAGACGCTTTACCTTCTGGTGTTGTCACATCCAGTGACAAGAAGTTATTTCTAACACTCTTGAACAAATGTATGTAATCACATACGAATTGGGGTCTAGGCGGATTTAGTAAACAGGCAGAGTTTTTCTTTTCGAGAGCAATTGTATAACCCTTGCCTGAATTATATAATTAACATTTTAACATTAACCAACCAGAAAGCGTTTTAGACGGTAGTGCAAGAAATATTTTATCAATGATTAAAATTAATAATGTTTGCTAGTAATATGTACCCGTGTTTGTTCGCTATACATTTTATTTGATTATCGTGTCCAATCTCTTGTGACAGAAATCCCAAGAGTCATAACTGTGTCGTCTGGGCAAAGACGCACAGGCAAGAAAGTTAAACTTGCCAAAGGAAGTAATCTGTAGAAAAAAATCTGTCTGTAAGCGGCTATCTCCGCAACGCGTGCACCAAATTGCATGCTGTTTTTTTTAATGATAGCCAGATAATGTGGCATGGTTTTCACAATCAAATTTGTACTTTTCTATAAATAGGTTCCTCAAGAATTAAAAATTAATCAAAATAATTTTTAATTTGGTCCAAAAGTGTGTGTTTGAACGCCTATTTCATTTCATTTCATTTTGTGTCTTCTGTTGAACAGAACATTTTATGATAAATTTTGTTTTTATACCTTTTTGTGAAACTAGTGTTCAGGTGGTTTTAAGATATATTAAATTTTCCTTGTAGCTAGAAATTTTAATCACAATCAATAACAATTTTGAAATTTACGCCGGGTTTGCTTGGAGCCTTGATGTAGACTAAAATGCAGCAGTTCTGGTCAGAACGATATGAATATGAAATCACCCCCTGTTTACTTTGAGCGCGAACAATTGTCAATTTCAAAATAAAAACTTTTTGGCATATAAAAACCTGTGTAATTTATTAAAGCAACTTAATGCTATATTTTTTTATTAGCGTACGCATTTGACGGAAAATTTAGCGCGTCTGTGTACTAGGCTTTAAGGGGTATATACGATTTGTGGTAAAAGTGGATGTGTGCAACGCAGAGAAGGAAACGTTTCCGACCCCATAAAGTATATATATTCTTGATCAGCATCCATAGCCGAGTCGATATAACCATGTCTGCTGTCCGTCTTGACTAGCGACTCAGAGACTTTATGAGCTAGAGCAACCAAATTTTATTTCCATACTCATGTGATATCATATTGTTACAAGTGTATTTAATAATTTCGCCACAGCCACAATTTTGAAGATACGAAAAAACTAAACTAAAAATACTGGGTTAGTTGTAGAGAATGACCATATCTACCAGAGTGCCGAATCTGAATCAGGTCGGATCATAATTATAGCCAGAATGAAGAAATTAATTTTCAGTTACTTCCCCGCCTCCTTCAGCAAGAGACCCGCTACTCATTCTCTTTCTCGCCCGTACACTCTGCCTCGTTATGTACGCAAGCGCTTTCCAGAAAAAAATGTAAAATGTAAAATATTTTTGTAAATTCTAAAATTCTGAAAAATCATAAGCTGAAAATGTATATACTGACTGAGTACGGGTATAAGTAGAGTCGCGTCCTCAGAAGCGACTCTCACCTTCTCGTTATCTTCTCGTTTTATAGTGAGCATTATTATATTCCGCGGCTTAACTCAAGTGGTTCACCTGTTTAAATAGAGGGGGTTATGTGGGTTAATCCTTGATAAGTTGCAATGGGGTAGAATTTACCTTGCATGGGTTGCATTTTCTGTATCGTTTTTGCCTATTGCCCATACCCTCTTTTTTCTTAACAGTTTCAAATTGTTTTTTGGTTTACCTTCTCGGTTGTTACAGCAACCGACCAATCAATTAAATGCACAATCAATATGCAAATCGATTTGTGCACCTGGAAGGATGCAAAAAGGAAACTCCGACGAGGCAGCTGCTGGGGCAGGTTCCGTCCAGCCGGAGGAGCCGCCGTCACAACAGGCGCATAAATCTGTCGATGCTGGCGCCGAGTTTCAAATCAGCTTGAACGAATTTTTGGAGTTTTTGAAGCTTTCCTGTCATGTAAACGATATGATAGAGAAAGCAGATATGTCAAAACCACACACTAGGGAGCCAGTGCCGCCCATGGAGGGTGGACCCGGGGCCTCCAAGCGAAATTCTAAAAAAGACGAGTTCGACTTTGACAATTTGGCCGACAATCATCTGGTAAACGAGCTCCTGGGGCTCAAGCGCAGTCATCGCCACTCAAACACTCGGGATGACAGCCGTGGCAGTGTGCTGGGCGAGCAAAAATCCAGCCTACGTTCTGGCCATGTTCACAAGAGGACAGACGCCACCTACCACGGCCTCCACCCAAAGCTCACCGAGCAATTGGATTCCGTCATCAATGAGGGTGTTTTGGACTCGGTGCTGTCCTTTGTCTGTCCAGTTCCAGTGCCCACGGCGCTCACAACCAGCGGACGAGCGAAGACCAAACAGCAGCTGCAGCAGCTGTTTCCCAAGGAAGTTTTTACACTGCCCACACCGACGACCAGCGCGTCGTCCGCACTGCCGATGGGGACAGCCAAGTCCATGACAGAGATTACCCATGTGCATTCATCCATATCGACGACAGCTTCGGCACCGTCCCTGCAGCAGACCGCCAACAATGCCCCGCATGCGGAGCCTCCATCCTCCAACAGCATGGTGCGAGCTCTTGTCAAGGAGCCGACTGCCAAGGCTATCGTGAATCCCACTGTAAGGCGCAAGTCCGTGATGCTGCTCAAGGACAGCAAACATTCGAGGCAGGAGAAGAAGGAGTCGGTAGATTTAAATATGTCTCTGGGAAATCTCTAATCCTTTCCCATTCCTTCAGGCCCGAGGTCGTCATTCATGTCTGCGACGAAGTGAAGAACACCTCCCGTGACTTCAGCTGCCCCCAGCATCTGTTGGTCAGCAAGATGGGGTACTTTGCCGATGTGACTGCCGGCCAGCGCCTGGAGGAGATGGACATATCCGTTCACTGCGACATTTTAATATTCGACTGGCTGATGAAGTGGATCAAGCACAGTGCCCAGAGCCAGGACATGCCCGGTCCGGGACAGAGCAGCGCCGCTGCTTCTGGGCCCCAGCTGGATGGAAACAATGTGGTACCCATTCTGGTCTCTGCCAGCTTTCTGCAAATGGAGCCACTGCTTCTCGAGTGCCTGGCCTTCTGCCATGCCCATCTGAGCGAGGTGGTGCGCACGTCCACCAATCTGTCGTGCCTCAACGATGCCCTCGTCACCCGTCTGGCCGCCATGTTCACAAACCTCGAGCTGGAGATGGTGCGGGACAAGAAGGAGCGCGTGACACCGCGCCTCTGGACCAAACTGATCCAGTCGCTGTGTGAGCCGGACCCGGAGGCCTTGCGCGGCCACTTCTACAGCATGTCCGGCCTCTTCCGTTGCGCTCGCTGCTTCAATTGCGTGACCAACACCATGAAGTCCTACGTCAGCTGTGTGCCCAGCAACATCCGCCTGAACCGCTGGGGCCAGCTGATGAGCCACCATGTGCGGGATCCCAACTGGGACCTCAACATCTATATCATGCAGCTCTTCAAGGAGCTGAAGTCCTGGCGCAAGGTCTACTGGAAGCTTTGGGGCAGCTGCCACTATCTCTACTGCTGCACCTGCGAGGCGCATTTTCCCGTCTACCAGATGAACTGGTGCCGCTTCCATCCTGGGGCACCCAACTTCCTGGGACCGGTTGACTATGCGGGACCATCTGGACGCTTCGCATGCTGTGGCCAGCAGGCCTTTCGCTATGAGACCCTGCCAGGACCCAACGTATGTGTCACTCACCGACCTCTATTCCGCTCTAATCTGCTTGTCTGGCCTCCGTCTTCTTAGGGCTGCCAGTTCCGGGAGCACAGCGTCCTGGTGGAGACCGATCGTGAGCGTGCCATTCTGGCCATTGCCCAGCTGGTGGGCGAGAACTATGCCCTGTGTGAGATGCCGCCGTTAAGGGTACAGGAGATGGCCGCCGCCGGCGAGATAAGCCCCAGCTGGCAGGGCATCTCGCTGACGCCACAGCGCTGCCGCCAGGGTCTACTACCGCAACTCTGCATGGACAGTGTGTTGAAGAAGGGTGGGTGAGGTCCGGCAGCCCGCTGATAACCGCTCTCTCAATCTTTGCTCCACAGTGACCAATCATCGGGTGAGCCGACGGATGCGTGCCTCGCGCTACCAAATGGACACCAGCACTGACTCGGAGACGACATCCACCAGTGAGGAGGACGGTCGCTGTCTGCGCCCCAAAATGCGCAATTTCCATGACGATGAGAACTACAGCTCCAGCAGCGATGGCTGCGAGTCGGAGCACCGTCCCCGCCTAGAAAGGCACGCGGAAAGAAGAAACGCAAACGGTATATCCACCATATACTATTAAGGATCAAACTAACATTTGCTTGACACTCTCTCCCTAGTCCCACCGAGGTGTCGGGTCGCTTCTGGTCCGGCGAGCTGTCTGCACGCAGTAACCAGGATCATCAGCGCGACTTTGAGGAGAAGATCATGAAGCAGGTGGCCACGTACGTGACCAAGAAAACTGGCAACGACCAGAGTCTGGTGCAAAATGCCCAGCCCCTGGGTGGCACCTATGTCCGCCTCGAGTGCGAGTGGAAGGAGATGATCAAGCAGCGTCACAACAACCACAATATACAGGGCGGCACCAATGTGACTGGTCTGGCCCAGAACAGTGGCAGCAACATATGCCTGGGTTCGGCCGTAGCTGGCGGTGGGTCCATGGCTTCTGGCATGTCCAAGCAGAAGCACAAGTAGCAATCCAACCAGATATATCGTAGAAATCGTTATACACACATACCATACAAATTTCTTAGCAAAGATCGTAGACAAAATGTTTAGTCACCAAAGTTCTAGTCAAATGTTTAGCGCAAATTTAAATAAATCATAAATAAAACATTCAATTGGGAAAATGGGGGGTATGGGTAAGGTAGGGGAATGTGGAACATGATGATGACGCAAATAGATCAATAGATTATTATGCACTTCTTAATATTTTTTATTTATTTAACTTAACGCAATTTACAAAGACTTTCTTTTGTTATACATTTCTAAACTTGTTTTTTTTATGTTTTTTTAATTTTAAATCATTTAGGGTTGAAAGAAGAGTTGGAGAACAGACTATTAAAATAAATGCGACGGCACATGTAAAAAACAAATATAAACGGAGGCCCCCCAGGTCCAGGGACATGCACAGAAATATAACACATGATTGATTGATTAAGAGGATCGTGGGCAGTGCCTGAGGCTCAACCTGTAGCAGGAGACCCAGCGACCAAATGTACAATTCAAACAAACAAAACAGAAACATAAAAGGTTTATGCGTTGAATCTGGTGTATTAAGGAACGAACTAGTTTTAAACCAAATAAAGCACTTACAGCATTTAGATGTGCGAGTGGGGCAGGGGAGTTGCTGTTTGAATAACTGGAGAAAAGCATTTAAAAAATTGAAAATCGGGTCTCGTGGATCCTCCTGCACCAGTATCAGCGTGCTCCTAGACCATCTGCTGCCTGTTCGAGTTCTATCTGATTGACAATCTAAAATTTTGCATAAATGGCAATCGAATCGCGACGGCTTGAATTTAGTGGTGTTTTTTTTCGGGAGCTGTGGCTATTGTAGGTGCTACTACTGGGCTCTTAGCAAGCTAACTGAACAGGCACTCGGTGGCCTTTTCCAAGTTCCAGTTCTCCTTAGAGAGGACTCCGCGCGCATCATGCTCGTCGACGCCCATGTCCCTAAGGCGTTGAATTTTTGAATCACAATCTGGGAAGGTGTGCGGACCTCCTGCGTAAGCATTCGTCCAGTGCTTCGCAGTAAGCAGAAACAGATCGTACTTGTCCTTGAACTGGTATGCTACCACAGCGTCCTGCGGATCGTCGGGTTCGGCAGCGGCCAGCAGGGCCTGCAGGGATAGCAACACCGTGCGCAGGGTCATCGCCGCTGCCCAGTTGTCCTTGAGTATGTCCAGGCAAATGGCGCCAGTCACAGATGAGATGTTTGGGTGCCAGATGCGCGTGATAAAACGAACCTGCCGACAAGATGCAGTTTGTTTTAGCCATCTACCTGTGGTTTAGTGCTGCTCTAGGATACCCACCTTTGGGGGATTAAACGGATATGTCTCGGGCACTTTAATTTCCAGTATAAACTTTCCCCCTTCGTATGGTGTGTCGGGGGGGCCTGCTATTTCGCCCCGTAGCTCTGTCCAGCTGTCATTGACAAGTTCGATTTTGATAGAACACTGCACGATCTGTCGGAGAAAATTACATTACGGAGAATTAGTGGGGACGCACTAGTAGTATTGCTTCTCCACACTCGTCGCACGTCCCCAAGTACTGGTCGAGAGTAGAAGCCCCAAGGACCCATAGCACTGTCGCGCGCCAAAAATGGAACCAAAGTCCGCTGCTGCTGCCGCCACCACCTCTGCCGTTGGCGAGGGTGACGCTGGTCATACGGGTAAGCCTCTATCCATAGCCATGGGCTGGACTCGCACTCTGATCGCCTCAACTTACCTCCTCGCTGCGCATAACTTCCTTGAATTCGCGCTTTATGCGTGATACAGCCATATTCGCCATGATGCTTGTGTGGTTCTCTAGTTCTTGTTGTTGCTGCAATACCTGCAATCGCTCCGCTCCGCTCCAAGTTTTGTTGCGTAAAATACGCCTGGCTCAGCTTGCCGACTGTTGGCCTTTTATTTGGGAATTTTGATAATATTACGTACTAGCAACACACACGACAAAAGAAAATGTGTGAGCTGCTTTTTTTGATTATTATTCTGACTAGGGCTGCAAAAACATTGATGTTAACATCTATATATCAAAATATACTTAATATACTGACCAGCGTGATGAAAATACCATCCAGCCAAAAAATGAATACCATTAAATACCAATTCAGTTTCGAGCAATATCCTTACCATAAAAAACCAGGTCAATCCGACGATCAAACGACACTTAACCAGTAACCATACAGTATATATACTGTATGGTTAGTGCTGTGAGGCATATTCCTCGATTTTGATATTCGACTTAATATAACTAGCCAGCTAAGACTTCCTGCGCTGAGCATATATTTTTCTACGATTAATTAATCAATTTCCTAAAAGATTTGCTAACTTTAAGTACTGATTGAATTGAATTTGTCATATTCAAAAATCAATCTGGTGGAAAATTTTATATTTTACATGGTAACTACACGCTAACTACATTTGCTGCAAGAAACACTACATATTCATGTAAGACTCGACAGAAAATGTAGCCGTCTTCAAAAATACGGGAAAGAAGAAAATACTCAAAAATACTAGCGACTAATATAGTCGATATATATAAATATTTATTTTTTTCGCGTTTTTCGTATCATTGTTCATGTTCAAATGCGAATCCGGAGCAGTATTCGAACTGGGACTGGCAACAAGTTGACAGAAACAAATATGTAAAATATTCGATTAGCGTAAAATATTCATGTAAAATATTCAAACGAAAAAACCAAATGTTGCCGCAAATTGCGTACACATGATCATGCAATTTTCTTGGATAATCCTAAATCCCTTAACGCTAAACCACGCTTAACAACATTTAGATTTCATGTATTGATTTCAAATGTAACAGCCTTAAAAAAATGGTGATAAAATTAGAGACGCACACAAAAATATCAAACAGTATCGGTATTTTTGTGCGATAAGCAGAACTTGAATTTGCGTTTACGAGTTACAGGTGGCACTTTAGTGGCGTAAATGGTGTGGTGTGGGGGTGGCCTATGATCAACTATACCCTATCTTTAATTAACACTTCTTTTTCATTTTCTATTTGTTAGCCTAATTCTGGTTGGGTTGGGTTGCCTCTGTGATACCCTAGGTATATACCCTTTCTTTTATAAGTTTTGAAACGAATTATAGTGACTTTTCTGCGGTTTTTTCCCATTTTGAATACCAAAAATCGAATATATATGCATATATTTTTAGATTCTATCAACAGTTTATGCTTTAGATACCTACATATGTACATATATCTGGGTTAAGGGAAAATATAGAACCCAAGACAAGTCATAGGCATATGTATATGTATGCACATCTGCATATGCACAATGAAAAATAATTAACTCCATGAAATAATATATGAAACATTAATATTAAAGGAATAAAGAGTTATGTGGCTTTACAATTTGATTTCGGCCTACAATTCTTTTTGCAACCCACTCAAAAATAGTTTTCTTATCAAAATTGTTTCGTATTCGGGGCAAAAAACCCCCACTCCACAGAGATATCTACCTCCAATTCAATCAGCCGCAGCCTTTCATTGGTACAGAGCTGAGGTTATTTTCCATGGCGTCTCTGATCTTGAGAGCTCAGAACACAACTTATTCTGACCTTAGCAAGATGGTTTCATTACTTGTATGTATGTGGTCTGAAATACGAAACCCGTTTGGCCTCTTATAAACAAATCTAAGTTTTGTACGTACTTCTCAGGCGTAGTCCTCCCTTGGCAACAGTCCTAAAAGAATAGAAATATCACTAATTATGCTACACGAGCTCATTTTCATGCCAGATATTTGGGGTATATAACGTTTAACGGTCGTTTCGCTCTCATTGTCCGCTTGTCCGATGTTGGGGTCAGGAGTCGCTGTTGATCGGTGCATATTCAGTGAGACTATAAATATCTAGTCGACCTACATACAGGATATATCCGGGTCGAGTAACCTTTAATTGATCAATTCTCTTTTGGTTCACGTTCACGTTTTGCCCGAGTCCAGACCCAAACAAAGCCCCAAAACGTGCCCAATAAATGCGTGTGTATTGGGGAGCCAACGAAGCAACCATTCGGATCGAGAAGAACCCAGCAAGAGGCTCTTCGACAGAAATTGTTTGTTGGGAACACACGTGTTGGAATGACCAATACAAACAATATACATATGCCGGCTCTCTTTCCCTTTCAGTGCTATCTGGTTCCTTGCTCTCTTTCTCTCTCTCTTTTTCCACACCACAACTTCAAAACTTCGCTCGCTCGCTTGCTGCTTCTGCTGACATAGTCATTCTCTGATTCATTCAGCTTTTGCATTTTCGGAGAATCGGCTGCATTTTGTGGGAGCTGAGAATATAGAACCTCCCCAGGGGCCATCTCAATAGTGTGTTTATTAACCATACAACAATATAACTAGATATTACTAATTGTGAACCCAGTAATTGCAACACTCTTGCCTCTGCACATGGTTCAAGTAAGTAATGTCTCTATATCTGTATCTGTATCTTTTTCTGTTTGTGTTTTTGTGCGTGAGTGTTGAGTTTTGTTTTGTCTCCGTGGAAAAACGTGCGTCTCAAAATGCGGCACGTGGTTTTTCCACTCTCTGCGGTGCCTCGCTTTGTTTAGCATTTGCAACGCCATTTGCGTCAGCCGCATGGATAATACCGTGGAGAGTGCGTCAGCATTTAGCTTTAGTTCATTTATATTTAGATACGCAAAGCATTTGACAAATCGCAGATCTGGCATTCCTCCGTTCACGTACAGCATCTCAAGTACAGTTGTACAACAACAGCAAGACGAGCCCCCCATCGATGGATAGACTGTACACGGCCCAGCGCGACAGTGTCAGGTAGAGGAGATGGGGGCGTATGATTGATTGCAAAAACATGATTAGCCCCTTATAGCTTCTGTGGGTTGCATTGTCCTCAGAATATGCACATATTTTTGTTAGAGTTTTTCTTTCAATTTCAAATTTCCTTCAATCTCAAGTGCAACATGGAGGGAGGTACCTACATATGTACATATGAAACACAAAACAACAGATTCTCTGTCCTTCGTTTAGTATAAAACAGCTGAGCGTGAGCAAGAGAAAGAGAGTGAAAGCACACAAAAATTGTGTTGTTAAAAATATAAAGAAAGCTTGCTTCCCTTCGGCATTCAACTGCGCATATCATCCTTTGTCACTCACTCTCTTTGACTCTCTTCATCCCTGTGCTTTATTTGGGTGCGTGCTGGTGCTGGGCATTGTGTATGTGTGATGGATGCATACGCCATGTTGTACAGCGCTCAGTTCCATTTGCTCGCTCGCTGCCGCTGCTGCGCTCATGTGCTGTTTCTGCTGCGGCCCCAATCTCCAAGATTCTTAGAAATATTGCATTAACACTAGAAAAACAGCTGTCTATCCGGCAGAGAGAGGTGGAGCGAGAGAGAGAGACCTGCGTAGGACTGGCACAACAAAACGGTGTTTCAGTCGCCGCTCACCTGACAAACGAGACACGAGCAGCAAATCGATTCCTGGGTACAGTATGCCAGATAAGAAATGCTCCGAGCCCCAGCCAAATGGTGCGTAAAAATCTATCCAATATCCTGAAAATATACCGTGTGTGAGTGTGTGTATGTAAATTTCATGGCCACTTCGTGAATATGCAACGAACAGCTGTTCGTTGGGCGCCAGTGGATCTTTTTGGCGCGCGCCTGTTGGCATGCCAGCATATTTTGTATGCTCAAGCAGTGAGAAAAAAAGAGAGGATTTTATGTCCTCTCGGCGTTTTGGTTTGTTTGTGAAGGAAAATAGTGAGAAGATACAGTGTTTGTAGCCGCAGAAATACTTCCGACATTGATCTATACTTATTTTGGGTGAAAAATATTTTATTCTTTTTAAAAATAAACTGTAGGAACAAAAAAAATAATTTCCTAAAGAATTAAAAAAAGAAAACATCGCCTCCGACCCAATCGATTAGATTCAAACAAACATCGATTCTGTTCCAGCTCTAACGCGGGAAGAGAACGGTCGAAAAATCACATGGCTTTCAAGTTTTGTCGCTCTCACACATACACTCGTGCGCTAAGCTTTTACGCTGCTGCCTATATGAATGAAAAACTGTCGTAAGTGTGAGAGAGCGCATTCTAGCTTCTGATGCTTTTACATGCGCCGCTATTCTCTTACAAGCGCCTTTGGCGCTCTTACTCACTCTCTGCTCCACACAAACACAAGCATGCACCTTCACAGATGGGGCGGCGACGTCGCTGCCCGATGGCGCTCTGCTTTTGCAAAAAAAATTTATAATAAAAACTTCTACTCGTAGATTGTGTGATGCCAGTACGTTCTGCTAATCCGATACGCGCTAGAAGTTTGATCCGAGACAATTTGGAGAAACAGGCTGGTAGTCTAAATTTAATCCACTCCAGAATGCCGAACATTAAAGTGTTTTCGGGCACCTCGCATCCGGACCTGGCCCAGCGCATTGTCGATCGTCTGGGCATCGATCTCGGCAAGGTGGTCACCAAGAAGTTCAGCAATTTGGAAACCTGGTAAGACTAAGCATTTTCCTCGCAAAAAAATAATTGAACCCCCGAAAAGTGAAAATTTTAAATGAACAAAGTGAACTGATCCGCGGTGAAAAAGTCCTTCGAACGTATACCAAGTGCTAATTGGATGCTTAGAAAAATGATGTCTCGTGTGAGACATGTGCTAGAGGCTATTCAGTGCCCAGTGGTCCTTGACATTCGCTGAAGGTTGCCCGCCTAGACAGCGGGGCCCTTCCCCAGGGGCCATAAATGTGCCTCGGGTTCGATCCCGACTTGAGTGGGGAGCTATGATTGTTTTTCTTAAAGTTTGTGGCAATCTTTTTCCTCGATTTCTTTTTATTTTTATTGATTTAACAAGTGGACTGTACACCGTCTTTGTCGTTGTCGCTGCTTGGCCCTGCCGCGTGTGTGTAGCGTGAGTGTGCCTTTTCGAGTGTGTGTGAGAAGCTCCCTCTGCTCTTCTCTTCCGCTGGCACGGCAACATTGGCAATGTCGCGTGCAATTTTCGCCAAAAAATTAAA